AGGGATTTCTCTGCTGTCTCTGGGCCATCCTGGCAGAAAGGTTTGGGGTGCTTCTGGGGCCCCCAAACTCCAGGCCCAAGTGGAGGCGACAGGGTGCAGATGAACAACTCAGACACGGTGTCCGCTCAGCATAAAGGAGAATCACCTCGTTTTCTGAGCTCCTCTTTAGATTCAGTTTACTCATCTCAGTCTTGAGTTTAAAAATAACAGCTCACTCCAAATAACGTGGAAAGTACACAAATCAAACAGAAAATAATTCACCCCTCATACTTTGCCCAGAAGGGCCACTGCTAATATTTGATACACTTCTTCTATTTTAGTTTGAACTGTAACAGCCATAAACTGTATATATATAAATATATCTGTGAGGTTTACACAGTAATAATAAAATTAGCGTCAAGGCCTCTGGCCTCAGCCCTGTGCATGGGTCCCACCACTGACCTTGGGTTGACACTCCCCACAGGGATCAAAGGTCATGCCTGTCTAAAGGTTTGGAAGCATGCTCCAGACCCAGCTCCAGAAAGGCAGCATGCACTACCCCCTACCCCTCAGAGCCTGTTAGGACCCTTGGGCCCTAACAGAGGGACAGAGGTGCCCCCTACCTGTCCTACCCCTAACCAGCTTTTCCCTGGGGCAGGGGGCAGAGAGGGCTCCAAAGCCTCTTCCCACCTCCTGGGAACTTGTAGCCCCAGGTGGCCTGTGCCAGGCAGGAAGGCCCCACCCCCAGGGAGGTCTCAGACCCAGCACCCCCACCCCTCACACTCTGTGTGTCTCTGTGCAGCACCAAGCCCCCTGCTGGGAGAGGAAGGCTCTGGACTGTGAGCTCAGCCTCTGGCTACCGAAGGTGGGGGGCATTGGGAGGGTGGGAGCACTGGGAGTAGGGGGCCGGGGATGCAGCCTGAGATCATAGGGCTGGGCACTGGAGACTCTGGGGTGCACATATGGGGCTGTGGGTTGGCATTCCCCACAGTCAGGGCCCAGGGAGGGAATTCGTCCTCTGCCCCAGATAATTGCTGGCCCATCCGTTTCTGAGACAGAGAGCCCAGTCTGGCCTTCCCAGGCAGCTGCCCTTGGTGGGGCAGGGGGTTGCGGGTGGGGGTTGAGGGAGACCTCCAGCCCCAGCACCTCCAGCAGCAGGGCCTGGTGCCCCCACCGTGGGGGTCTCAGAGCCTGGGCTGTCAGGCCCAGCAGGCATCAGGGCTGCCCAGTCCGGCTGCCCCAGACACTGGGGGGCAGTGGGAACCTGGAAGGGGCCTTAGAGATGGGGCCCAGCCGCTCAGCTTTCACAGGAGAAACCAAGGCCCACAGGGAGTGTAGGACTTGCCCCAGGCCACACCGTGAGCCCAGCCACAGCCTCGAGGCCCAGTGCTCGCCCCCACACAGCGCTCACATGCCCTTGGCCCTAAGGGGCGCCCACTCGGCCAGGCTCCAGCCTCAAGGTCTGTACCCCAAGACTCAGCATCGGTCACTCTGAGCTGAGAAACCCCGAGAGCCAGCACTCCCCACCCGGCCTCCCCTCGGGCTCCTCTCTGGTGTCGGGGCCCCAGCCTGGCTTGTCTCCTGCAGCCCCGGCTCCTGCCTGCCTTCCTCGGGGCCCGCGGAGCTGAAGCACATTCAGGACCTAGCGTCACGGCCCCGTTTCTCAGCTTCCCACCCGACCCCCAGCCGAGATCCAGGCTCAGGGGCAGCGCCCACAGGGGCAGGGAGCGCCCTGTGACCTTCCCGTAGGTGGGTCTCAGTCCCCCGGAGCGGAAAGCTCGCGAGGGGGCCAGGGAATGGCGACTGGGGCTGATGTGCCGTGAGCAGGAAGGATGCGGGTGCCTGAGAGGAGAAGTCCTCCCCTCCTGCCTCCCCTTTCCGGGCCTGGGAGCAGGGTGACCCCCCTGCCTGCACCTCACGCCCCAGGTCCCTTCCGATGGGCCCGCTCCCCCTCCCCAGGCTCTCCCGGAGCCCGCGGGCCTCAGGCGCCTGTGGAGAGGAGCTTAGGCTGTCAGGAACCCACTGGGGAGCAGGGGCTGACGGTGGGGACCCAGCCAGGCGGTCACCCGCACACTGCACAGGTGTCATCACACAAGGATGTCACGGCCCTCACCTGACTGTCCTCCGTGGACCCCAGGGAGGTGTCCCAGCTGCATTCCCGGTCAACATACCCCAAGTGTCCCCATACAGTGGCCCTCACACTCACACACACCACACATGCTCCCACACACACATGCTCACACACACTGACGCCCACGCCAAGTGCACACACAAAAGCTCGAGCTGGCAGTGCCCTCTAGTGGCCGCTGCTGTCACTCTTCTAAAAGGTGATAGTCACACCCTAACAACCCCAGGCCTGCTCTGCAGAAATCCCAGATGCTCAAGTCTGGGAAAATCATTCTCTCCTTTCACAGACGGGGATGTGACCTGGCCAAGGTCACACAGCAGGTAAGCGGTGGAGCCCTGGCCCCCAACTCCCACCCCAGTGCTCTCGTCCCCTCCCACGTGGCCTGGCACTCAGATTCCAGCTCCTTCCATCTTCCAGGGCCCCGCCAAAGCCCAGAGGCTGGGCCCTCTGCTGAGGCAGGGGTTGGGGCAGAGGAACTGGGGGTCTTGCACCCCTCCCCCAACATGGTTGTGCACTGCCCCCCATGAGGGAAGAAGTCACCTTGGGCGAGAGGAATTCCCAGACCAGAGCACCTAAGACAGGTCTCCTCTGTCGGAGGGGAGGCAGCTGGGCTTTACGGAAACTCAGAAACGCCCAGAACACTGACACAGGCGATACGCCACCACACAGAAGCAGCACATGCTGCCCTGTGGCCAACTAGCTCAGATTGTTTACCAGGAACAGAAAACCAACTGGTCCTGCCAATTCCCCTTGCGTCCCCACCCCTTCCCAGTCCCACAGGCTCCCACCTTTCCTGGAAGAAACCCAGAGCCATTCATTCCACACGTAGCCACTGATCAGCCCCCAAGCCTGGTGCTGCTTTAGGCCCTGAGGACGCAGCAGTGGCCTCAGAGCCTAAGTCCTGGAGCAAAGTTCCACTGGCTGAAGGAGGTCAGAACAAGCTGCATGTTATGCTATAATATGTGGTGTGATTAATTCTTTAGGAAAAGGAAGGGGTTGAGGGGGAGAGTGACAACTGTTGGTTTAGATGGATGGTTGGGAGAGGCCACGCCTGAAGGAAGCAAGGGGACCAGCCAGGGAGGGGCCTGGGAAGGAGGGCTCCCAGCAGCAGAAACAGCAAGTGCAAAGGCCCTGGGGTGGGATGTGCCTGACGAGTTGCAGGAACGGTGGCGAGGAGGCCAGTGCGGCTGGATCCAAGGAAGTGGGAGGCAGGAGAGGGAACCAGCTGGTCCCTGGGGCCTCGCACGTCATGCTGAGCACTGTGCCTTTTGTTCCAAGTTTTCAAATGCACGTGAGTGACGTGGGTACACCGTGCTCCTTCTGCCCTCCTACCTATCTGAGTCGACGACTAGCATGTAACAGGTTCGCAGAGAGCTAGGCAGTTCAGTGTGTGAACAGACAGCATGGCACTGGCCGGCTGGCTGGAGGGACACCCGGGCAGTTCCTATGCCTCTCTCACAAACAGCGTCCCTGTGCACACCCCAGGGCTCTGGACGGCACACCCCCGACTTGGCACCGTGGGGACATGGGGAGTCTGGGTTCGGGTTACTGTGAGCTGCGGCCGGTTCTCCACAGCAGCTGGTCTAATTTACAGCCCAGAGCCAGGCCCGGGTCCCTCTGCCCCGTCCGCCCTTCCTCGGATTGTGGACGCCCTGATGTCCCAGTCCCTAGCGGTGCGCTAGCGGTGCGCATCCCCTTGCGGCATTGAGAGCCCAGGTAACGCCCATCGGCCTCACCCGGCAGTCACCAGGCCCCGCTGCCCTGGTCCCCACTCTGTCCCTGTCTGGTGTGACCTGGACACCTCAGGTTCCTGTGGCGTCACTCGGAGGTCCTAGCCCACCATCCTCCCATTCAAGTACTCTGCGCTTCCAGCAAGGGGACAGAGACCCCTGGCGGCCAGGGATGGTGAGACAGGTCCCGGAGCCGGGGTGCGACTGCCTGGGGTTAACTGGGGACGGGGCGCGACGACCCCCGGAGACCACAGGAAGCCCCACTCCTACCCAGGGTTCCCGCCTCCGGAGCCCCTCTAGTGTGCTCCCCGGCAAAAGCTGGGTCTAGGGCGTGCCCTTAGGCGGACCCCTCCAGATCACTCCACAGTTGGGGGCTAGGGTGGCCCGGCTTCTGGGGTTGGGGCCAGGAGGGTCCTGGAGCCAAGGGCCCACCCCCACCCCAGGTCTCCGCAAGCTGCAGGTCATCGCTGGCCCCGCCGGTCCTCTGCTGGGTTCCCATCCAGTCCTCCTGTCCTGATTCCCTTCCTTGGCCTGAGGTGCTTCCATGAACAGTAGGGTTCCTCCCCTGGCTCAAGTGGATGAATGAATGCAACAGAGTGAGGCTCAGAGAGGGGCGGGGGGGTGGGGCCTGAGGAGGAGCTCATCTTGAGTATGTGTGTGTGTGTGTAGGTGTCTGTGAACACTTGTGAGCGAGTGTGAATGGAGGTAGGTGATGTTCATTCTTCTCCTGCCGATTGACAAAAACGCAAACACATGTACCAAGTCAAAGACAAAACAAAGCTGGAACAGAAACCTGTTAAAATAAAGTGAAACCTCACTAAAATGAAGTCCAGAGGCCTGAAGGGAGCGCTCTAACTGCCCTACCACTCAGGTCAAGAATTATCCATCACAAACCCAACAGCCAATCATCAACAGAAAGGGGGGCATCCATTCCAGCCTCCGACAGGAGAAGATGCCTACTGCATCGTCTCCTAGAAGAGACGGACTAGGCCAGCAGCTCACCGTCTTCACCCTGAACGCTTCCCTTTCTCCAATTGACTTTGGTTCAGAACAACCCCTCCCAACTTCCTTCTTCTCCATAAAATAATGGTCCTTTCCTTTCTTGGAGAAGCCTATGGTTTTTGCTATAGCTTGAACGTCCTGAATTGTAGTTCTGTGCTGTTCCGGAATAAACCCATTTTTGCTGGTAAAATAACATTTATTTTAAAGATCAACAAGTTAAAGTAGTAAAAACAGATCTTACTCAGGAACTACTGGAACAGGGAAAAAGTGACCTCATTTAGAACCAGGATCAATTCCAAATACAGCATGGGCAAGTGGGAGGTTGCTTGCCAAAGACTAGCACCGACTCTGTGACTCCACATGTTTGGCAGAAGCACGTAGAGAAAGAAGGCAGCCCCTAGTCACAATCCCCAGATTTCAAGGTCCCTCTCCCACAATCCCCACCCTCCTGCAGGACCTCTCAAGGAGGGTGATCCCAGTCTCATGGCAGGAAGCCCTTCTCAGAATTATAGGTCTGGACCCTTATAACCATTGTCCGTGGAATCCTAACGGATCACCTTTGAATCCTGGTTAAAGGGAGAAGTAACACCACAGCCTGGTTTTCCGGATTCTTGCCTCATGCTCCAATAACACAATCTGTACTTCAGCCCTTTAATAGCTGCCTGTACTTTCTTTAAAAGCTAGCACTTTTGCTCCATGGGTGCTTGGAAAGAATGTGTGCTATGCACTTGGAACACACTCTCCTCCATGGACGGCCAAGAGGTTGTTAACGACCTCATTCAAGACGCCATCAGATGCCTATGCAGGGTCCTGTTATTCCATTAATTGCTAGCAGAGATTTTTTGCTACATTTGACATTATTTTCTAAAAAGTAAAGCACAATGTCATTATCTGGCAGCACTCATGCATTAAGCCAGGATCCCTGGCTTCCTGGGACCCCATATCTGGAGCTGGGCTTCCCAGGCAAGTCTGGCTGCAGGCCTGCAGAATGCCTGAGGCCAGGGGGAGCAGGAGGTGACTGTGCTGCTGGAAAGAGGCCGGGGGAGGCAAGCCAGCAGGCACCAGGCAGGGGTGCGGAGTCCTGCTCCCAGCCTCTCTGCCCAGGTCAGACTCACTGCACCCTGGTGGCCTCCCATCCCACTCACACTTATGCCCTTTGGGGCAGGGCTGAGGTCTGACGGGGAGACCTGCTGTTTCCCCAGCCAGGTTCCCCCTTTTCTCTTTGGATTGTCGGGTCTCTTCCTCGCCCTGCCTTTCACTCCCCTTCCTGCTTCTACAGGGAAGCAGGCTCCTGCCAGAGCTCTCACTGTTGGTACCTGAGCCCAGGAAATGACAAAGGGCCCAGTCAGATGCTTGAAACCGGCTCCAAGGCCTTCCCACCTCACTCTGCTCTGAACCCACCTTCCCTCGAAACTCCTGCTGGGCCCAGGCTCCCATCACACGGGGAAGAAACAAAGCATGAGGCAAGCTTCAGCCCTTGTGAGCATCCGCCTGAGGCCTGGCAGGTCCCGGTCAGGAGCCAGGCTGCAGAGGATGAGGACTCGGGCCAAACCATAGTTGGGGTGCTTGTGAAGTACTTTTCAGGAAATAGATAAAATAAGCCAGGGTTAAATGATGTGACAGTGACCCAGTGACACATAAGACAAAAGTCACCCTATCTCGGATCCCTCTGTCTTCTCACTCACCACTAACCGGAGTGCTGTTCCTGACCCTGAACTTGGCCATCCTCTGTGGCTCAGTCGCTCCTGACGCCCAGAACACAGCACAAGACCAAAGGGGTTGGGGTGGCGCTAGCCTTCCTAGCATGGCTGACCCTGGAAGAGGCCTCCCCGGCTTCGGCCCATGCTCCTCTCGTGGGTGGGAGAGGAGTGTCCCCCAGAGGACACCCTTCCCACCAGAGGAAGTCATGCTTGGGAACCTGGGAGCTGGGTGAGGCTGCAGCATGGCCTGGGAAAGGAGGGCGTGTCAGATCGGGACAGGTCTGCAGGCTGGCCTTTACACTTGTTTACCTAGAAACCAAAAGGGGTGGTTGAGGGAGAGACCCCATCAGACTGCGGGGTGGAACAGTCACTCTGGGTGCTGGAGGGAAGCCAGGCCGGAGGTGGGAAGCCAGGGAGCCAGCTGGGCAGTGGGACGACAGCAGTCCCAGATGGGAGCCTGAGGATTATGCAGGGAGCCTGTTAGTGGTTGGCTGCGTGTGACCCCCTCTCCCACGTCAGGGGTATCAAGAGCTGGAAGACCTAAGAGAAGTCTGGAGGGGAGAAATAGAGGTGCTTCCGGTTATCTCTAGGAGGAATAAGAGCAGTCTGGCTAAGGGTTGGCGGCAAAGGGAAGCAGGGATTGAAAGCCAACAAGAAGACCCTTCTCAGTTTGGGGAGATCTCCTGAGAGCCATTCAGATGCTTGCAAGCTTCCACTGGAGGGTGACAGGGCTTGGGGGGGATCACGAAGAGAAGGCATCCATGAAGGGTACACCCTCTAAACCTCCTCCAAGGAGAAGGCAGCAGGGGCAGGCTGCTGACGCACTGACAGACAGGCAGCAAGGCGGCAGACGTTGGACAGTGTTCAGCACGTGCCTCCCACAAGCATTCCGATGACTGGGTGGATGTATGGCCTGTGGTGAAGGGGCAGTCCATCTCACTACACCTGAATTCCACAGTTGCCAGGCAACCTTCTATTTGGTTTCTTGGGCTATTAGATACTGAAGATGGGGTTCCCCCACAAGAAGAGGGTTTGTTTCCCCAACCCCAGTAACTTGATGCAGCAGCATTGGGACAAATGCAGCTATCCTGTGTGGTGTTGGTGAATGTCCATCTGTCTGCAAGAGCTGAGCAACTGTGAGCAGATCTGAGGGCATTTGGTTGTCACCTTGGTCTGTAGTGCCAAAACCACTTGCCATCTCTGAGAAGTCCTGGCAACAGCTGACTGGGGCTTCAGCATTACATCCCGAATTGTTCTTCCCCATGGCTGCTGCATAGATCTGACAATAAATTGCCACATCTTTGGTAAGCCATTGGCTTCAATGACACACCTGCTACAGGCGTGGCCAGAAGGGACCATCTTCAGCTTTCGCAGTGGTGGCGGTGCTCTTCCCTTCTCCCCAACACGGACGTGGAGGATGGGGGTGGGGAAGACTGAGGGGGCCAGCCTGGGACAGAAAGGTGGAGGGGATGGAGACATGAGCCCAGGGTTCCCAGCTCTTTCAAATAACTGTATGGGTTCCCTCAGGGAGGGTGGGACAGATCTGTGATATCTGATTCTTTGCTACATTTGACATTACTTTCTAAAAAGTAAAGCACAATGTAATATTCTAAGTATGTTGAAAGAACTTTGGCAGTAAGAAGCACAGAAAATTAAAGAAATATTTCAAAATACTAATTGTATAATAATCTGCGCCCTCAGCTTACCATGTGGGTTTGCATTTCTTACTCCTCTGAGCCCTACAAGGCTCTGAGGTAGCATCAGTCCTCCACATTACAGCTGAAGACACTGATGCCAGAGTCTGTGGCTTTAATAGTGGGCTCAGGACAGCCTGACACTGACGAAGGCAGGGAAGAGTAGGTGCGCCCAGTGGCAGACCTCTAGTCGACTTAAAAAATCACACATAGTTAATAATTGATAGAGACGGAGGAGGGATGAACATGGCCTTTTTGGGTTAAATTAGTTAATATATAGCAAAATATTAAGATGAAAATAAAGTATGTCTTACTCTAAACAATGTTAATGATATAAGAACTTAGAAAGAAGTAAAGAATCAGAAAACAAAATCCAACAATTTGCTGTTTATGTTACAGATATACAGCAAAACATATACACAAATTTAAAAAATAAAATGCTGAGCTAAATGATCTCTCGTGCAAAGGCAAATTTTAAAAAAGCAAGAGTCTTCAGTTATGATATTTGGAAAAGAGAAGCCTTAGAAGAGACAAAGAGGGCACTAAAAGGCACAGTTTTTCAATATATCACTATTAAATATATATGCCCCAAATATGATGGTACTTACTTATTGGTCATTTGTATCCTGTGTATTTCTCAGAAAGGATTTAAGAGAACTGCACGTCTAACATAGCAACAACATACATAAAACAGAAACAGAAATTAGAGTGAACTAGAAATACATAAACAAAAAACACAAAATCAGGCTATGATTTGACCAGATAAATTAATGTTCTTAACTATTTGGGTCACAGAGCTTTTCCAAAATGTGGCGAATGATACAGACCCCCTTCCCAGAACAACTCATTCACGCACATATCCACAGTTTTGTTCAATCCCTATGGGTCTGCAACCTCTAAAACCCCTGCAGGCTCAGATTCCTAATCAGTCCACGGATCCTAGGTTAAGAACTCTGACGTAAACAAATATGGATTTGAATAATTTAAAAACTGAGTTAACAAATAGAACTGATAGAGTAGAAACACATTTCTTGAAAGTACACAAATTCTTTATAAAAACTGACAGTATATTCAGGCCCAGAGAAGTTTTATGGAAACTTAAAAATGTTGACTCCACGGGGTAATAAGAAATATCAGCAATGACCTAAACATTCATTATTTGGCAAAAAAAAGTAACACAGGCCAAAAGGAAATTCCTAATACAATAACAAAACATATCACATGTCAAATTTTTGGAGTGTAGAAAGAACTCTAACTATATGAAAAAATTATAGACCAAAGCACCTATATTTACTAGAAACATTAAAAATATGGTAAACCATATCAAAATAATCTTAGGAAGTAAGATATTAAGTTAAATAGAAAAGAGCAGAACACATATATTTTGACAACAAAATTCAGTTAGTAAACAAGAGTTGGAGATTTACAACACTCAACATCACTCAGTAAGAAGGAACAAAATGTAAGATAACAAAACAAACAAGTGACAACTAAATTCAAGGACAATTAAAATATTTACCAGGACGATCTCATGTTACACTGTTTGAGAACCTAAATAAATGAAAGGAATTAAAAATAAGTAACAAAATAGTGAAGGAAATTGAACAGAGGGTACTAGGTTCTGCTCACTTTCAAAAGGAAAAAGTACCTAGTCTTACCATGGTTATGTGAGACTCTGTCAACTCTTCAGAAAGAGGGTCTTAATCCCCATGTTCCATAAACTGTCAAAAAGGTAATAATGGAGATGGGGGGAGAGGAGGAGAAAGTGCATATTCCAAAATGTGAGAACTGCATAAAATGAATTGAGAGCAGCTGGGCATAGAGAGGGCATCTGGGCAGGGGTGGCATGAACTCTATGTGGCTTGTTTAGAGGGGGTAAACTAGATGGCTGAAATGGGGCTTTACCCTGAAGGTTGGTTTTAAGGAGAGTGGTGACATGTGCAAAGTGATGCTTTAAAAAATCAATTTGGTTGGGGTGTATGTAAGTATGCCAAGGGAGACAGCAAAGGTAGGAAACAGATGAATGCCTGATGACAGGCCCAGTCAAGTCTGAGGCTGAATGGGGGTACCAAGGAGGTAGACCTTGTGGGGGCTGCTGTCCCACCACACAGAGCAAGGGTTTCCACATTCCCTCTTCACTCCAAGAAAAAGACTTAAGATCCTTGGTGCAGACCACCTGCGGACAACACCCAGGCATCATCCCATCAGGCCAGCCTGCTGGTGCAATGGTTTCTAGGGGGCCCTAGGGTGCTGATAAATGTCTCAACTACACAGCAAAGAGAAGAGCTGGACAGAGAAGCAGCTGCATTTCCATCTGGACTCCCACTGTGAGCTCCCCAGCTCTGTCAGACCTATTCTACAATCTCTGGCCGACCAAACCCCTCTTACTAACTAGCAATTAGGGATTTCCCATTTTTATTCATTAAAAGTACACATAACTGCCAAGAGGAGCTTCTGATTAGCTGAAATAAGCAGTATTACTGCGATGAGTTGATGGGATTCCAGCCATTAACTTTCAGAAACCTTCAAAATACCTCAGACTGCCTCCCTACCACACCCGGAGCCCGGAGAAACCAGTACTCGACTGCTGTGGCCCCACGAAGGCCGGAGGGCCTGGGACATGCTTATCGACCTGTCAGACATACCTAATCCCAACCTGGGGGGTGGGGAGGCAGAGGACCAAGACAGAATGGCTGTCTTCAACTTCTGCTCGGTCAGGGTGAGCAGGCCTGACATTTGGGAGACCCTGTAGCTACATAGATGCCTGGCACAGGGCTCACAGCCTGACTAGGTGTTAGAACGTTATAATCTCCTGAGGAGCCTTAAAAACACACCAGTGTCTGAGCACCACCTCTGGTGATGCCACCTGAATTGGTCTGGACAGGTTTCAGGCAATGGTACTTTTTAAACAATCCCCAGTGGGGAGGAGAGAAGTACGGGGACACAGACCATACTGCCACCCCAGGGAGGCTCAGGGTGGTGTCTGGCAGCATCCACGTCACAAGGCATCTGCAGCCCAGGTTGCAAGCTTGAGGGAGGGAAGGAAAGCCCTGACTTAATGAGAGGGCCTGCTATAAGCCCTGCCATCTGGGAACCAGAAATGGTTCTCTGCTCTATGGGGAAAGCATCTCCAGGTGGGGCAGAAGTCACTCTGGGTCTCCATCCTTAATCGCCAGTTGCCAAAGCACTTTCACACAACTGTCTCATTCTGAATGGGAGCCTTGCACGAACCCTTAGAGGAAACGAAGCCTCAGGGCTTCCTCAAGGTCATGCAGTTTTGGGGGTGAGGGGCTGGAACTAGGACCTGAACCCAGATCTCTGACTGCAACACCCTGCTTTCTACATGCCCTAGCACTGGAAGGCAGAGAACAGAAATGGGCCCTGCTGATGTCCCAGGCACGAAGTGGTCTTGGAAACCCTGGGTCTGGTGGGCAGGTTACTCCTAGAGGGCATAGTGGGTAGTGCCCAGGCTGAGTTGGAGCCAATGTCAAACGTCTCCTGGCCTACAGGACCAAAGCTCCTGTAGAAAGCTCCTGTACCTCCTCAGAAAGAGCCATCTGCCAAAGAGTGCCCTCACTGTAACCCAGAATGAGCGGTGAGACACCACGCCAAGGGCTTAATGCCCTCTTCCCCAGTCCCAGACCCCCCCTTTGTCCTGTAACTTGTTTTGCTGTCCCCACCAATGCCCAAGCCAGGCAGAAGATTCCTTTTGCTGCTGATGCATCTACTTGGGGATTCCTTTTTTTCCAGCTGATTTGGACTGGGGTCATGGTTTCTGTCTTCTAAAAGTGCCAGACTGCAGCCTGACATTAAAGAGTCCATCTGACACTTTTGAGGATTTAACTCAGCTTCCTCCCTCTGATGTTTATTCTTCTGGATTCTGGCAAAAGCAAAGAGAGGGCAAAACTAAATCTCACAGGCTCAGGAGTCAAAATCAGAATGAGACAACCAGAGGCCAGCTCTCTTTGGGCAACCCTCCCTTTCAGTGGCCTTGCCATCACCCCACTTCCCCTTCCACCCAGCAAATCTAAGCATGGGGCACCTGGCTAGCAGCCACATAGGAATGGGGGGCTTGTTGCTACTGGGGGTGTTCAGGAATGCCTAGGTTGGCACCTTTACACTTGGCACTGTCATCAGGGAGGTGGGTGAGGTCTTACAGACAGTAACCATGGTGAGCTCTGCCTGGGAGAGGCTTTCAAACTTTGGTGTGAGCTCCTCTTCTAGAGCTTCTCCCCAGCATGAATTTTCTGATGTCGAATAAGGTGCGAGCTCCCCCTGAAGGACTTGCCACATTTGTTACACTCATAGGGTTTCTCTCTGGTGTGGGTTTTATAATGCTCAATGAGGGCAGACCTTTGCCGGAAGGCTTTGCCACACTCATTGCACGCATAGGGTTTCTTCCCAGTGTGGATTCTCTGGTGCTGAATCAGTGCAGAGCTGTGGCAGAAGGCCTTCCCACACTGGCCACACTCATAGGGCTTCTCCCCTGTGTGGATCCGCTGGTGCTCGATAAGGGAGGAGCTCTGGCTGAAGGCTTTCCCACACTTATGGCATTTGTAGGGTTTCTCACCAGTGTGAGTCTTACGATGTTCAATCAGGTTGGAGCTCTGGCTGAAGGCCTTCCCACACTCTTCACATTTGTATGGTTTCTTCCCTGTGTGTATCCTCTGGTGCCGGATGAGGTGGGACCTGTGACAGAAGGCTTTCCCGCAGAGGTCACATTCATGGGGTTTCTTTAGAGTGTGGATTTTCCGATGCTGGCTCAGGCCTGAACTCTGGTTGAAGGATTTCCCACATTCCTTACACTGATAAGGTTTCTCTCCAGTGTGAATTCTCTCATGTTTTCTGAGACTTGAGCTCCGACTGAAATCTTTTCCACATTCTCTACACTCATAGGGTCTCTTCCCAGTGTGGGTTTTCTGATGTTGCGTAAGGGCTGAGCTCTGGCGAAAGGCTTTCCCACATTCCCGGCATTCGTAGGGCTTCTCCCCGGTATGGATTATCTGGTGTCTGAGAAGGTGTGAGCTCTGGCTGAAAGCCTTCCCACACTCACAGCACTCATAGGGCTTCTCCCCCGTGTGGATTACCAGGTGCCTGAGAAGGTGTGAGCTCTGGCTGAAGGCCTTCCCACATTCCCGACATGCATAGGGCTTTGCTGGTTGCGCAGTCCTGTGAGATTCCTTAGGGACCAAGTCCTCCCTGCCCACTTTCCCACAATCATGTTTGCTGGGTTCTTCTCCACCGTGGATTATCTGACACATGCTAAGGTCTGATTTCTGGAGGAAGGCTGGGGCAAATATTTCATCATCCTGGGGTATGTTCACTGAGGGGCCACTCTGATGCTGAACAGGGCTTGAACACAGACTGAAATTCCCCTCATAATCATCATGCTCCTCGTCTTGTTCCCCAAGAGGAATCTCCTTGTAGATAACAGCCATTTGTTCTAAACCTCTTTCTTGAAGAAAAGGGTCCCCCAGGTCCTCCTCTGGGAAAAGTTCTTCCTGCATCTCTAACCTATCCTGAAATATAAAAGTCTCACCAAGCTTGGTTGCTGGGGGTACCTCCATTGTGAATCTAGTATCACCCCCAATAATTATATTTCTTGAAAGATGTTCTTTGGGAGACACTTACTATTTTCACAGTCTGAAAAGAAAACAGGCGATATTATCAAGTCAGAAAGTCAGTTACCTTGAATGTGCCCCCTTCCTGTGCCAGAGTCTATGGTGGATATAACAAAATAAGTATAAGAAACAATCTTGACCTTGAAATGATCCCCACTAACTTAGAGACAAGTTTGATTTATCAGAAACAACTGTAGGAAAGACAGACAGACTCAAACACCACACCATGGTGTCTAAACTCTAAAGGCTGAGGGTATTCAGAAAAGTGGGCTAGAGCAAGAAGTGGAGCCTTTGTGGAAAAGGGGCAAGACTCCAGCTACTGGCGGATGTTGGGGATGGGTTTTTGAAGGAAGAGAGCAAACACTTCCTTCCTACATTGGGTCAGCTGCACGCCCTCCAGTCAGGTGTCCAAGCCAGAACCCTGGGAGCAGCCTAGACCTTCTCCCTCTGTTACTCCATATGTCCTGTCTGTCCATTTCCTGAGGCCTTATTAAGGGGTCTCTGCCTCTCTGTCCTCATTGCCAGGCCTCCATGTGACTCCTTAAGATTGTTTCAGTACCCACCTCCCAACTGACCACTTAGTTCCAGCTTCTACTCCTCCCTCTGCACTGACACCAGCGTCAAACACCCACACCACATGCCTGGTCGTGTGGTTTCCTGTCCTAGAATCTGAGGCAGCTCAACTCCCTACCAGGGCCCTTCATGCCCCGCCCTTCCAGGCCAGCTCCTGCCTCTCTTCAGCACACCCTTAACCTTCTAGCTCACCACCTCACCGGTGCTGCTGTTTCCTTCCCCTAATGGGTCCCTCCCCTTTCTCAGACTGCCACTGGCTCATCCTCTAGACCCAGTCCGTCTTCTCTGCATCTTCAGCCTCTGCTGGTCTCAGGCATGCCGCCTCACTGACCCAGAAGCTCTGTACACACTCCTGCTGTGGCGCTCAGCATCTGGGTGGCAAACACTGTTTGCGAGACTCTCCCCACCACTGCCTGCGAGCTCCCTAAGGGCAAGGACCGTGCTTCTTCACTTCGGAACCCCCAGCCCCCAGAACAACAGAACAATTTCTGCACACACAGATGTTGAATAAATACATGACTGAATGGAGGAAAAGCCATTTGTTTTTGTGCTAGAACTGATTGATTGCCACATTTTTATTTTTATTTTTTTTTGCCAAAGAACTCTTTACTCAAATAAATCAGTCATCTGGGAGCTACAAATAAAGCAGACAAAAGCAGAGGTGCTCCCGCTGAAAGGCGGTGTTTATGTAGGGACAAGGAAGGAACATAGAACACCCCAGTCAGCCCCCATCCCACTGCGGTGGCCCCTGAGGGAGCTCCTCAGGATCCTGTTCAGAAACTGTGGTTAAAGGGAAGCTCATCAGGAACCATAATAATGAGAACAACAGCTGTGTCCACTGAGCACCTACTATGTGCTAGGCTCTCCCAGACCATCTATAAACACATTGTGTTTAATCATCTTAACTCTATACTAAGGTATTATTAGCCTTAAGCTTAGAGAATAACTAGCTCAAAGAACACACTCTATTAATCAAAATAGTTGTAATGGAACTCATTCCTATTTGGAAATTTTTTTTAATGAATTTTCCAATTGTGAAAAGCACAGTACTGAAGTAGTCTCAAATATTCTTTGACAACTGCAGGGCTTCGTCCCCTCCTCTTCGGAGAATTCTTCCAGTTCTCTCGCTTGACTGCATCAAGCCCATTAACCCACTGCGGTGGTGGTTCTCCTCTTCCGGCCCAGCCCTGCCCTGTCTAGCTTAGGCCCTCTTCATCTGTCCAGAGTCTAACTGCAAATGTCACTTCAGCTCACTCTCTGGCCAGCTGCTTGAGCCTTACTTCCTCGCCCGGGCTGCAGTCAGCCTCTCACTACCAGCCCTCTCTGTCAATCACTCCTAAGATCTTAAATATTGCCAAAGAAAAGCATGCGACCGTGTATGGCACCGAGACAGGTGTCAAGTTTCCGATTTCAGCTGGGACCTCAGCACTCAGCTCCCGCAGGCAGCGGCCTCCCTGTTGCCGGTCCCTCTCTGCGCAGTCCTCGCTCTCCCATCCCTCTGGCATTCCTCACCAGTACCTCGTTCTCATAACCCTTCATTCCGGAAGCTGCAGATTGACAGCCTGGGGATCCTGCCACAGACATATTTTGTTTGGCTCTCAAAGAGCTGGGCTTTGCCTTTTCATTTGAGTTAGCTGCCAAAATAAAAACTCAGTAGATTTCTGGCTTTCTTTTGAAAAATGGTCAGGTGTAACTCTGTGGGTCCACCCCTTCACTAACCCCACCTTGCCTACCTGGCAGCTTCAAAGCTTTGAGCTTGACGGCAAACTCACCCCCACTCCCAATGCCATGCTTTATTCCCTTGGCTTCTGGAAGTTATTCCCCCCGCCCCTCTGATCCCTCCTTCTTGGTATATGTGGGTTGCAACTCCTCCTCCACCCACCTGTTCAATCCTGGTGCTTCCACGGTTCACCCCTTAGGGGCTTTCCATTCTCGCTATGTACCACCTTCATACTTAAGTATCTACTCTGTTTAAAAAGCTGGCAGTTCTTTATCTGTCTCCAACAATGTTTTAAATGTTTTTGGACCGATAATCCGAAAGTCTGGAACCCCTTCTTCCCACCTCTCTCGGAGCCTTCCCCGGCTCCTCCTGCATCCGTCACCCCATCCTCGGGGCGGTGGCGGGGGGCCGGGCCCGGGCACCCGGCAGGCCCTCTGTCCAGTCAGGGATTCCTGGTTGGGGGCTCGAGAGCTGCCGCGGACCCGCATACGCCGCCGGGGCGGCGACGCCAGCGCCCGTATATGCTTCCCACCGTTGGGGGAGACCTACAACCGGGGCCACCGGAGGGACAGCTGGGCACACTGGCTGACGCGGAGCCGCTTACCTGGGCCGGGGCGGGGCCGCTCACCTGGGCCGGGGCGGGGCCGCGGGCAAGTGGGGCGGGGCCGCACCTGAGATGCTCCAACGCGCCGCAGATCCGGCCTCGCTCCGCCGCGGCTGCTGACGCGGACCCCGCGGCTCCCCGAGCGCCCCCAGCCCCGCCCCCGCCTGCGGGCACTTCCGGGACCGCTCTAGGCCGCGCGGAGGTCCTCGCGTCTCGGTGGTCCGGCCGCACTGGCGTAGCCTCCCGGGTTCGGGCTCGGGCTCGGGCTCGGGCTCGAGCTCGGAGGTGGGGTGGAGGGAAGGGAGAAACAAGGACAGAGGCGCGCCCTCTCAGTGGCTCCAGGCTGTCCCCGAAGTGCGTCCGGGCTGTGTGGAAACTAGAGATGGGCGGGAGTTGGCGGGAGTGCAGAGGAGGAGGAAACAGGCCGGGAGGGGCGGCCGGGGAGCGCCGTAGGTGCGGGGCCGAGTTCCCGCTGCACTTGCCCTGAGGGTGGGGGCAAGCCGGAAGCCGCGAGGGCGTCTGGGGTCTTCTGGGGTCTTCTGGAGAGGGGAACGGGTTCCCGGACCTGCGGAGTCCGTCACCCCGCACAGGCGCAGGGTCCTGTTAGGATTCCCCCAGCCCCCTGGGTAGCCCTGGGCCCGCCTGCCCACCCAGTCCCCGCAGAAACTGAGATGGCAAGGGGCCCAGTGAGGCGATGGCGGAGAGTGTGGGTGGGACTCTTTCTGGACCCTGGGATCCCCAACTCCGTGCATCTGAGGAATGGCCTCCAGACATGGGGTGACCCTTGGAACCTGTAGGGAAGAGGGGGTGTGCTTTAAGCTCCACCCCACCCCCATTCCCAGAGGCTCAGCTCTGCTTCTGATGATGAGACTGTCCCTCCAGCCAGTGCTTGTCCCTCAGTCCAGGGCTGCCCACGCGCCTCCTGCTTCTGGGAAAGCCTCCTTCAGGGGGCCATAGCCCTGTTACGGGAGACCAATAGAACCCAAGTTCCCGAGAGGAGGATGCTGCCCACTCCACCCCTGCCATCTGCCAACTGCCGTCAGGGCCTCCGGCTGTGGCCCACAGGTGCCTCTGACACACACACACGTCTAGCTGCCCCTCCAGACACACACACACACACACCCCTAGCTGCCCCTCCCCAGACTAGCAGCCTGGCCTCCATGGGGACCCAGTCACCCCATGAGCATTGACCACAACCAGCCATGCAGAGCTGGGAACAGCAAGGGCTGGTTCCTTTTTCTCTCCCTCCAGCTCCTTGGGTCACAGGAAGACCAGGCCACCATTCTGAGCCTCTGGGGACTAGTGGGGAGGCTGTGCCCCACCCCAAGAATATCAGGTGCTTCCTCTTCTGCAACAATCCAAGAATCCCTACTTCCCACACTCACAGACTGACCACAATTTTCAGCAGAGATCTCATGGCTCTCAGAAAAGTTATTGTTGACATGGTGAATATTATTAGCCCATTTTACAGAGGAGGAAAATCAAGGCTCAGAGAAAGTTGGGGGCCCAACATCAGGGGCAGAATTGGAAGGCAGACAGGAGGTGTCAACCCACACTCCACGGCTAGGACAGGTAGCCCACAGAGCAGTAATAATCCGCGTCGTCCTCAGGCTGCACGGGGCTGATGGTCAGGATGCAGGCATTGTGGGCTATGTCTGTGGCTGCTGAGAAGCGGTCAGGGATGTCAGGGGACCGGTGGTAGTCCTCCTCTGAGCGGAAGTAAAGGAGGTAGCGGGGGGCACTGCCTGCCCGCTGCTGGTACCAAGACACACCATGCTCCCCGATGGTGGCATGGCGGGGGCTAAGTATGCAGGAGAGCTGGGCCACTTGGCCTGGGAAGATCAGCAGTGCATCAGGCTGGGCCAGGACTGGCTGGAAAACTGAAAGAGACAGACCCACTCAGGCCTGGTCTGGGTCCCCACTCTTCTCCCCCTGAAGGCCTGGTCAGACTCAGAGGAGACTCTGGCTCGAAACAGTTCATGGCCCAGTACCATGGGGTCAGCACTGGATGGGGCACAGAGTTGGTGAGCCCTAAGTCCCCACAGTGCCTCACCCCTAAGGATTCATGTTCAGATGAAGGCCTAGAGTTCAGAGGTGGGACTGGGGGCCTCCGGGTCCTTCTGCTGCTCTCCCCACCCCTTGCCCTGCAGACTCCCATTCCTTTGGTCTTACCGGCTCCTCCACACCCTGGCTACAGACTAAGCGCCCCCAGGAAGCCTCCTGGGCTGTACCACCCATCAGCTCAACCTCAGGAACTGGTCACTGGGAAACTTCCTGGGGTTCGGTCATGACTGAGGCCCTGTGGGGAAGGGACCACCCACACGAACTTCCCCTGTGGAAAACTAAGAAGGCAACCAGCTCCAGTCTCTTCTAAGACCCTAACAATCAGAGTCTGAAGGGACGCTACTGATTTGGTCATTCACAAATGGGGAGACTGAAGCCCACACAGAGATGTGACTTGCCACAGGTCTAGAGCAGAGCCATCTGTAACCAGTTCTCCCCTCCACCTCAATGCCCTTTACAGAGCCCTCTCAACTGCCCACATTGAGTTGCCTACTTATAGGAGCCTTCTGGAGCCAGGGTCATCCCCCATCCCACCCCCAGGTGAGCCAGGCCCAGGGAGGGCTCACCTGCCAGAAGGACCCCAGTAAGAAAGAGGGCCAGATGCCAGCAGGCCATGGCCAGACGCAGGGAGGCAGGCGGGAGTTGTTCTGTGTTCTGTTGGGCAGGCTCCAGGTGCTTCAGGGCACATGGGGCAGAAGAGGCTGCTGGACCACAACAGGGCATGCAAATAAGCCCATTGACGGGGGAGTTTTTTGGGGGTGTGGGTTGTAGTGCTGGGTCCCCACAGCCAGGCCTCATTTCCCCAAACATCAGGGTACTGGCCCCTGGGGATCCTTTTGAGAACAGGAGCCCAGAAATCCACACAGGCATTTACAGCAGGTGGCTGCTTTTTTACTGAGTTATAACTCACTTACAATAAGGTGTACAAATCTGAAGTGTATGGTTTGATGATTTTATGTGTATATATATACATCCCTGCAACCTCTAGCCAGATCAAGATTTAGAATATTTCCATCTCCCCAGAAGGCTCCCTCATGCCCCTCCCCCACTGGTAACAGCTCCTGCACCCACAAGGTGAGCATCATGCTGCCTTCCAGCACTCAGATTGGGTTTGCTTGTTCTAGAATGACAACTATAAATGGAATGATAGTGTGTTCTCTTCTGCTCAACTTCATGAGAGTCATCCGTGAGTGCAGCGATGTTTAATTCATCCTCATAGCTGTGTGTAACCTATTGTGGGGATAAATCACGCTTAGTTTATCCATTCTCCTGTTATTAGGCATTTGGGTGCTTTCCAGTCTTTGGCCATTATGAAGAAAGTTGCTGCAAACTTTCCTGTCAATGTCTTTGGTGCACATGTGTTCTCATTTCTGCCGGATAGACTCAGAAGGCCAGAACTGCTGGGTGGTAGGGAAGATGTATGTTGCACGTTAGTAAATACTGCCAGCGATCCCAGTGTGGCTGTGCCAATCTGCACTCCCACTAGCGGGTAAGAGAGTTCCAAGGACCTCCATGCCAGTACTTGACATGATCAGTTCCTTTGATTTGCCGGATGGAGGGGAACTGACTTTGGTTGGGATTCAACCCAAGCTGGGATTCAAGGTTAAATCCCAGATCCTCCTCTTAAGAAGATGATTTCAGCCAAGTTACTGTGCCTCAGTTGCCTCTTTGTGCCTCAGTTTCCTGCTCTGGAAAATAAAGATGAGCATAGTGCCAGCCCAGGAGTTATGCAGATACAAAGGGCTTGTCTGGTCAGTGCCAAGCACAGTGTATGTACTGCCCGTGCCTTTTATTTTCTGGACATTGCTGCTTTGGCTTCTGAGGCCTTGCTGACCTTGGAGGGAATGCTCTGCCAGGGTGGGCCAGTGCCTAGAGATAGTAATAACTCCCGTGAGCGTGCACACCAGTGGACCCAGAGCTCGGGCTCCCAACCACCTCCCTTAGCATGGTGCCCTCTCACTCTGGACTGCTGTCCACCTGCCCTAATCCCCCAGGGGGTACCAGACAGCCAGGGAGGTCCCTATGCCCCAGAGCCCTGAAGGCAGTCCAACTAGCCCATCCTGAGCCTGCTTCCCCTGCCCACGGGCTCCTCCCCTCAGAAACCACAATAAAGGCCCCTGTGCACAGCACGGCTCCCTCGGCCTGCCCCAGCCTGGTGCCTCTCTTGGTGGCCGCCTGTGGTGTGGCAGCCCCTCCTCTTAGGATCTGTGGAGAACAAACTATTGTTAAAAAGCAAAACTCAGGCACATAAATTTGAACATCTAATTGACTATTAAGCAATTTGTGAATGGGGCACATCCCGTCTAGCAAGTAAAGATACTCTGAGGGGCTGCAGAAAGGGAGAGGTTTTTTAAAGGCAGGACAAGGAAGGTATAAACAGAAAAAGGGATTATTTGCGGTGACGTCACCTTCATTTGGGGACAAAGGGGTCTTTTGAGGTGGTTTACCTCTTCTCCCTTTGGGGAACAGAGAGGCCACATGAGAAATTACCTCATCGATGCTGCCCAGACAAATGCCTGACTGACCACCTTTCTTGGGGAGGCCAAAACTGCAGTTACATCGGGCATTCAGTCTGGCCTGGTGATCTGACCTAGTAGTAGGGACCCCATGTTAGGCCTGTGATTTTCTTTTTAATACTATCTTCTCCGCAGTAACCATCTCCTGATCTGTTGGCCTTGCCACACCTAACTAATAATAAAACTAACTAAAACTGCTCTAGTCAACTAGCAGCCTCAAGAACTTCCTTGGGGGAGGTCATAAAGCCCCTCCACAGGTCCCTTTCCATCCTGACACCTCCTTAGGGCATCTTCATGACACTCCAGGCACAAGAGCCCTCCACCCCTTCTCACAAGTGCTGGAGACAAACCCCCCAGATGACAGAAAGCCGGCTGTCAGAGCAGAGGCGCTGTTCTGGCATCTGATTGCAGCCACTCCTGAGCTGATTCTGCAGGACACAGGTCCCCAGATACAGTGGTGTCCCAGGAATAAAGTGCCCTCTTTTAAATACGTTTGGGAAATGCTGCCAAATGCACGGTGCTGATTCTGACGCTCACTGCGCACTGAGCACCACGGTAGCACTTAAAAGTGTCAAACCACATTTAATCCTCACAAGAGCCCTGCAGAGAGGTTGGAGGCCTCACTGCTGGACAAACACAAACACCTAATCATCGGTGAGGGTTTGGGGGTGGAGGGAGGGGATTTCTAAAACCCTGGGGAAAAGGGAGCCAATGAAGGTTAGGGGCCTGCCCCAGATACCCACCCACTGGGTACCCTGGCTGGAGAGGTCTGGTCAGGGCTTGGCGGGGCCAGAGATAGAAACAGAGAGACAGAAACCAGCCAGTGTTGGGGGCCAGGGTGCAGATAAATATGAGACAGGGAAAGATGCCAGAGACAGAAGGGAGATGAGAGAAGGAGAGCCAGAGAGAGAGACGGCTAGGAAGCAAGTACACATGACCCACTAGGCATCCCAGAGGCCCAGCCACAGCCAGACAAAAAGAGGGACAACGCAAAACACTGCTTTCCTGTGTGGCACGCTGGAAAACATCGGCAGCTTCTTACAGAGTTAAGGATCCACTCACCGTATGACCCAGCAATCCTGTTCCTGGCATTTACCCTAGAGAAATGAAAACTTCTTTTCACAGAAAAACCTGTAAGTGAATGTTTATACCGGCTTTATTCATAATCAGCAAAAGCTGGAAATAACCCGAAACAAAGGAGGTGAATGATCAGCAAACTGTGGTACACCCAGACAATGGGATCCTCCTCAGTGATAAGAAAGAATGAGCCCTGATACCCGCGACAGCCCGAGTGAATCTCAGATGCATCGTGCTGAGTGCAAGAAGCCAGACTCTAAAGGCTCTGCATCGTGCAACTCCCTTTCCATGATATTCCGGAAAGGGCTGGGGCAGAAAGCAGAGCAGTGCTTGCAGGGGCTGGGGTCCACTACAAAGGGTCATGCAGGAATTCGGGGGGTGATGGGAGTGTTCTGCATCCTCCACTGTTGTGGTTCTATGAGATTGCTCCCGACACAAAAACACTAACAAGGGTGAATGTTACTGTATGTAAATCACACCTCAATAAACTAGACCTAAAGGAAAGAAACAAGGACAGAAGAAGAGAGGTTGGGAGCGAGCAGGAAGGCAGAGGGGGAGAGGAAGGGAAGAGGCCTTGAGTCGTTAGGAAGTCTGCAGAGATAGTCAAGATCCCCCGCCTCAGCCACGGCCACAGCCGCAGCCCCACCAACTCACCACGTGGGTTTTCCAAGGGCCAGCGCCGGCCCCCTGGAACCCGACCCCCTTTCAGCCTGGGGACTGCCTCTGCTGGTGGGGGATGTGGACCCCACAGCTCGGCTAGTTCCCCAACTATAGCCTTGCCTCAGGGAATGCTCATACTCCCGCCCCAGACCCTGTTTCTGGGAAACTGGTGGGGAAGGCATTTCCTGCCCAGACAACTTGGCAGCTCCCACTGCCATGGAGACCAGCCTGGAAGCTGGGAGGGGCTCAGTCGTCTCCTGCTGCTCTGACCCTGTGAGCAGAAGAGGAGGAGGCCGGGGGTCCTGGACTAGCTGCAGGGACCCCTCCAGCCCCAAGGGTGACCAGAAAGGGACCTATATAAGCCTGGGTGCCCCCACCCGTCCCCCCAAGTGTACATCTCCTGGCAGGACCCCACCCCAGAATAGATCTCAACCCCAGCTCCTTCCTTAATCAGGAAGTGGAGGGCTGGGGGATCAAAGCCCCACATCTGCCTCCTCTCCCCTGCAGCATGCTTATCACAGTGATGTTTGGAGGTAAGTGGGGTCGCCTGTCCCCACAGACTGGTGGGGGTCAGTGCACTCAGGGGCTGGCTTCCCTCTGCCTGGCCGAGGGGAGGGGGGCAGTACAGGGAAGGGGGGTGCATATGGGGCAGGGAATGGGGAATCTGGGGAAGTGGCTCTGTGCGGAGGTCCGTCCAGGGCCTGGAGTCCCTTTAGGAGAAAACTCCAGCGGGGTCTTGGGAAATTCACAGGAGTTCCTCTGGTGGCATTTTTTTAAACCGCACAGTCTCTTAGCCCTTCAGTCAGTGGTCCTCAAGCCTCGGGGCACACAGGCACCTGAGGCTCTAGACACAGGGGCGGGTTCCTCCGCGAGCAGGCGGGGCTGGAGCGGGATCAGGCCTGGTATGAGAGGCTCGAGTTGTGCATCCGCATCTCAGGAGACGGCCGGAGGCGGGGCACAATGCTAATCCTGTAGCCCAGCACTGCTCCCTGCTTTGGTTAGGGAAGACGAGTGGGGGGAAGCAAGGGTCCCAGATTAGGGGAAGTAAAGGATTTCACCCACTCGCCTCTTCCCACAGCGGGCTGCAGGGAGCTGCTGAACCCCTGGTGCAGCCTGGTGACCCTCACAGCCCACCTGAGGCAGAGGGGGCAGGTGCCCCAAGATGGTGAGGGGGAAGGGAGAGCTGCTGGGGAGGAGTGGCCCAGGGCCTCCAAACAGGGGTACCAACCCTGTCCTGCCTCCCTCCCTGGCCTCCCAGCAAGCATCGCCCTCCTGTCTGAGGATGGACACCTGGTGAGCCTGGAGGAGGGGGCTTCCCAGGCCCCCCCCATGGGCAGCACCCTGCTGCAGGAGCGTGGGACCTATGTCCTCGTGCAGATCATTAGTAAGTGGGGCCCAAGACCCCTGGGGTTATTTTGGGAGGTAAGAGGGGCTGTTACAGTATGTACACAGCCAGCTGGGCTGGGAGGAGGTTGGGAACTTTGGCCGGTTTACATCCGGTTAGATGCTTCTGAGCGTTCCCTGTACTGTTGTTCTCTTGGGATATGGGGAGCGAGGGTATGAACAGACCTGCTCACCTGGCTGGTTCCAACATGGAGTGGACCCTGACTTCACACCCCTTGGCGCCTAGACAGCTCCTAGGCCTGCCGTGCAAGGACCAAGGGAGGGTGTCACCCTATTTCCCAGAAATCCCCTCCCTCCTGAGAAAACCCCACCTACCTCATGAATACTCCACCCCCTGCTTAAACTCCCTCTTTAAGACCACCCAACCCACTCCCACAGGGCTATTCACCTTGTCTCTGCAGCTGCCCTGCTCCCCATCCTTGTGTATACTTTGCTCTAAGCTGCTCTTTGCCTGCACCTGCTGCACCTGCCTGAGATGAGTCAGGAACCCTCCCCCTGGCTGAGGTTTCACCCAGAATGAGGGAGGTCTCCCCAGACTGGATTGCCCAACAACAGGGTAACAGCACCTAGGGACCACCCAGGACCCTGCCCAACACCCCCCACACCCACTTTGGCAGTGATCTAGTCCAGACCCTAGCCAAGGCCTGCTAATAGGTTGAGTAAGAAACCAGAATGGGGACCCCTGGGCCAGCCAGGAATCTGCCTTCTTCGTCCCTCCACAGAGGGGGAGGGCGGGGCGCTTACCCGCTATGAGTCCCTGCTGGAGAACCTGGGTGACTGGTGTCCAGAGCTGGCAGGTGAGTGTCACTGAGGAGCCCCGTGGGGAGGGTGCCCCTTTTCCCAAACTCCCACAGGCAAGGTTTCCTGGGCCTTCCAGAGGAGCTACGCTGGCTGTCTGGCCTACCCCCGACGGGTGATGGCCGGAGGAGACGCACAGGCACACGGCGTGGCCACCAGGAGCAAGGTCCTCCTTCAAGGCCCCGAAAGGTGGGCTCCTTACCATCAAGGACCCACTAGCTGGGACCAGGAGCCAGGTAAGGAAGAGATGAGACATGGACACCTGGGGGGACACTGATACTGAGAAGTGGGACCTTTTCCCAGGGGAACAGCTTGTTTGTGCTTCGAGGTAGACCCCCAGTGCCAACCCTCTCCCCCACCCCCACATATACCCACAAGATGGCACACAGGCTGGAAACAAGACAGGACTCCACCATTTGGCTGGAGTGTAAGTGCTTAAGGGCAGGCACGTCCTCAGTGCCCAGGCATGTTGTAGGGCCTTGTATACAGTAGGTATTCAATGCAGAGCTGTCAGATGAACTCAGTGACTGGAAGCAGCACAGTGTGACAGCGAGGCTTGCACTGGTTCTGAAGGGCCTGCTTCTTGTGACCTGGCACACCACAGCCAAGTGTCTGGGCTGGACTCAGAGCCAAGGCAATTGGCCCTGACCTCTGTCTTGTGTGATCAGGCCTAGAGACCCTGCAGCATTCCTCTTGCAGAATCTGGGATTACTGAGAAATTGCGTTAGCAAAAGGAACAAGGTCACAGACAGGACCTGAGGCTGCCTTGGGGTGGGGGTGGGGGTGGGTGGGAGGGTGTCCCCTAAAAAGTGACTACAGAGAAAGGGATCCAGGGGCAGAAGGGTTGAGGGACCATCCCTGAGGGGGGTGACAACAGGCTCCCCCAGGGATTCCAGCTGAGTCAGATGCCCTTGAGATCACTTGCTAATGCCTCACCACCCCCACCTGGAGTGCCTGAGGCTGTCAGATTACAACAGGGCTCCTCCCTCCCCACCCAGTTTACTTAAGGTGCAGCATTCCACCGTGGGCAACATTCATCCATCTACCCTCCCCAGCCCACTTGCCATCTGTGGTGACCCCAGCAGACAAGCCAGCTTGAGAGGCACACGGCAGGCTTTGGTCTAAAATAAACTCTTTTAATTGCACATTTGCGTCTCGGGTATTCTGTGGGGTGAGAAACCCCCTCCTCACTGCCAATCCCAGCTACATGGGTACAATCTGACGTCGTGGTCGGCTGCCGGTGACAGGGTGGAGGTGGGTGCAGGGCCCGTTCAGGAATCTGCACCCATCCGCGCAGTCTCTTCACGGCAGGGAGCTCAGACCTGCAGAGGGAGGCACAGCGCAGGTTGGTGTCAGCCTGCAGGAGCAGAAAGATGGACTGCCGCCCCCGCGCCCTTGCCACAGCCAGGGCTGCCTGCTCACCATGGTTGTACTTGCACTGCTTCAGGGCCTCACTGAAGCCCTCGCACAGGGTCAGGTCACTCTGTGTGGTGGAGCAGTCCAGGAACTGCTTGATCTCGTAGGCACAGGGCCCCATTTGCAGGGCCTGGGGGGCAGCATGAGCAGGGGCCTGGGGCATGGCACAGCAAGGTCAGCTTGGGGTTGGCACCCCAGCAGTGGGCTCCAAAGCTGGGGGCCACCTGCCTCTCCACAGTCCCAGCCCAGGGGCTCCTGGCAGGCTGACTCACTCAGACAGACAGGGCCTGTCTAGCCTCTGCTGCTTCCTCTGTGAAACAAGGTGAGCCCAAAGCCCTCCCACAGCCACTCAACTGACGCTAGTGCTGGTGTAGATGGCATTCCCCAGCTGCCTCACAATGGGCACGCTGGGCAGGGGCATGGTGGGAGGCAGGAGAAGGCTTTACATAAAAGCCTGGGGCTTGGAGTATGAGGCCCAGCCCCACAAGTTCTAGCACCTTCGTAGCCACGCTGATCCTCATGACCCCTGACCGTGCCACTAAGTCTGCATTTGGCTCAGAACTGGTGGGGCACCTGGTTTGGACAGGCCAGCAGGGAACAGGCCCAGAGTCACTGGCTATCCTTCGCCCTTGGGTGCAAGGGTTATAGGGCAGACCCAGAGCTGGGAGAGCAGGGACACAGAACTCGAACATTCCTCCCCTCTGCTAAGGTTAGGTCACATGGGCCGGTCTCTGAACCTCTAAAGGCCTTGGCTTCCCCATTTTTAAAGGGCTGGTTGGTGTCTGTCCCTGAAACTGTAGGGACCCTGAGCTCAGAGTTGGGGCTGAGAGCCTGCCTGTGAGTGACAGGAGGCCAACAGCAGAGTGGGGACCAGGACCCCGCTTAGGCAAAGTCCTGGGCCCTCGGCACTCGTGGGACAGTCCCGCAGCTCCCTGCATGTGTCCTTCCGAGGGGTCTCTGTTTCTCCGGAGCTCCCTGCTCACCTGCTGAGCGGCAGGCTGGGCAGGCTCTGAGTTACCCCCGCTGAAGGCTCCGGTCAGGGCGCTGCCCATCACGTGTCCCACGGCCGAGCCCACGGCTACCCCTGCGGCCGTGGACGCCATCTGCGCCATCAGGCCCGGCTGGCCTGAAGGCGCTGGGGCCTGGGCCGCGGCCGAGGGCGGCGGGTGCGCGGGCGGATGGGCAGAAGGCGCGGCGGTGCGGCTGCGGGACGGGGGGAAGCCGGGTTAATCCTGGCCGGACCCCAGGGGGCCTGCGGCTCCTGGAAGCGCCCCCTCTTCCTCCGGGAGGATGGGCGACCGCCGTCTTAGACACGCGGCTGCGAACCCCGCCGCCCCTCCCCCCAAAGATGGCGCAGCCGCCGCCAAGGTCGCGCTGTCACGCCCTTGGGGACGGGCCCCTCTTCCCTAGCCTTCTCCACTCCCGGCCCGAGTCCCGCTCGAACCTGGCTGACCGGGCAGCCGCGCTACGACTCCCACGGGGCATGGTGGCGGCGGTGCAGCCCGGCCGAGCTGAGACACAGACGGCGATCGCGGCAGCAGCTCTGCCTCGGGAACGACCGGCAGCTCCCTCCGTGGCCGGGGAAAGGGGCGGGGCCTGGGCGGGGCCTCGGGGACACACCCCCAGCGGTAGGCGAGGGGCAGCACCTACCCTCACGCTGGTGCCCGGGACCGCTGCTGCCAGCCGACCTCCCCCTCTAGTCTTGGCGCCGGTCCCTCCTGGAAATGTGACCCTGTCACCTGCCCGAGCTGTGAGGTCCCTGGGGACACAGGCTAATGCTGCAAAGTGCCGAGGGCTTATGCTGAAGCGATGGAACAGGCCCTACAAAGACCACCGCGGAGCGCAGAGAGTGGAGTTGGGTGCTCCCCGAGTTCCAAGGGAGTGAAAACAGGGACGTGACTGAGGCCATCAGGGAAGGGGCACGAGGTGCCAGGCCAGGCTCTACTCCTCTCCCTCCTATCAGACAGGGTTTCCTGACTATTGCGTAGCCCCTGGGTCGCGGCGATTCCAAAGCGGGACGAAGTACCCAGAAGTCGGCTGGGCGCGACCATTCCCCAGAGCTTCCGCCAGGGGGCGTCCGGAACCTCTCTTCTACTCCATCCCTGCCAAAATCCGCTGCAGACGCGGGCAGCCGTGGACAGCACCTTGGAATGCAGTGAGGCCCCCCAAGCAACCCTGCACCCCACCTGACCTCCCTGCCCCACGGATGCAGCGCAGGACACTGACAGCGCTTAGGCGACATTAAAGCAGCATGTCCATCCCAAAGGCTGTGACCTGAGTGTCTAGGGGCATTTACGCAGGTTTGAATCCTGCGGCCTCACGATTTTACTACCTTGGTTCCAGGCCAAGAGAAGGGGGGAGGCGCGGATTTAGGATGCTTCCCAGCCCTTGAGGAACTTTTTTTTTTTTTTTTGTATCATTAATCTACAATTACATGAAGAACATTATGTTTACTAGGCTCCACTCTTCACCAAGTCCTCCCCACAAACCCCATTACAGTCACTGTCCATCAGCGTAGTAAGATGCTGTAGAATCACTACTTGTCTTCTCTGTGTTGCACAGCTGAGGAACTTTTTAATGGTCTGTTTTGAGTGACTTCGCAGAGTTCATGTTAGTATCCTGGAGGGGAGAAGCCCTGAGTACTTTACCCTTCCCCATCAGAGTCCGGTGCCCCCGTGGGAAGTCTGTGGCACCGGGATTGTGGGGAGGATGAAATCACCCAGAGCGAAATCGAGTCACTTTTGAAGAAAAAGGTCGCTTACAGTCCGGGTAGTAAAAATCACCACTGTCTTCCATTTCCTCGACCTGTAGGGGTCCCTGCGGGGCCTTCTGGAGAAGCTGGGGAGGCTCCCTGGACTGATGAAGAGCGGGGTGAACCGGTCAGATCGCCCTCTCCTCGGTCCCAGCCTCTCTCCCTTCTTAAGCCCAGCATGGGTGCCTGCATCCTCTCCTTGCGGCCGCTCAGGAGCCTTTTCGCCAGGACAGACGCGGCTGCTGGATTTTGGCTCTGCAGGGTGCCCGTGTTGGAGCGGGCACCCTGGTGAGGTGGCTGGTCACCTCGGGCAGGATGTGAGGGTGTCCTTCCAGCTTACGGAAACCACCTCCTCCTTTGATTCTCACCTCCTCTCCCTCCGGTCTCAGGAGGCTGGCCCAGAAGGGCCTGAGGAGCATGTTAGTCTCTGGCCAGTGGACAGTCTGGGCGGCCAGTGCCCCACTCAAACATGGCCCCCCACCCCCATGGCCTTCTGACTGTACCCCCCTTCCAACTGACCAGTTGGAAGGCCGGCTGACCCCCCCCCCCAGGAGCCTGCTGGTGTGCAAAGCCTGTCTGGTCCCTCTCTCTTGGGGCCTCAGCTTTCCCATCTGTAAATTCTCTATGGTTCTGCCCCAAGCTAGGGGGATGGCCAGCCGCCTCCATATGCCTCCGTTTCCCCTGGGACACTTCCCTTCTCTCACAGGGGCTCTTGTGCCAACTTCCAGATGGATCCGGAAGGCTGTGAAGGGGGAGGGGGGCCTTGCTCAGGGGCACAACCACCTGTCACAGGCTAGCAGGTCAGAGGTCAGGCCACCAGGGAGATCAGCCGGGGATGCGCCTTCCCTTGGTGGGGGTGGGGACGGCGAAAAGTGAAACCCGACTCCTCTCGGACTCCCCACCGCACAGCGGGGAAACTGAGGCCCGTAGCAGCACCAGCTGGCCACAGGTCACCCAGCACCGGGTTTCTGAAAAAAGGCTCGGCCCGCGCCGAGGAAGGACCGGGTCTCCGGGCCCCCTGCTGCTGCCCGGCCACCTCGTCCACCTCCCCCACGCCGGCCGCCGCGGCCACGGGGAGCCTCCAGAACAAAAGGCGCGGGGGCGGGGCCGGGGCGGGGCGGAGGCTATAAGGGGCGGCGGCCCGGCGCGGCCCAGAGGCCCAGCAGCCCCGGGGCGGATGGCGCGGGCCGCCTGGCTCCGCGGCGCGGCCCCGTGTGCCCTCCTGCTCCCGCTGCTGGTGCTGGCGCTCCCGCCGCCGCTGGCCCCGCAGCCGCCGGTGAGTGCCAGCCGGGCGGCCGCTCCTCGCTAAGGGGGCGCCGGGCACGCGGGCTGGGCTCAGGGGCCCGACTGCACCCACGGGGGCGCCCGGGGTGGCCTGGCCCGGCCCATTTCCCGAAACGCTTTGTGGGTCCCGGTGGACGTGACAGACGGTGAGCTTCCCGTCCCTGGAAGTGTGCAAGTGGAGCCGCGCCGGAACGCTCCGGCTGATGGGGCGCGGGACTGGGCACTAGACGCTCGCCCTCTCCCAGCGTGGGGACCTGCCCCCCCCCGGGCCCCAGCCGTGTGCACCAGCGCAGGCAGCAGCGGGAGTGCCTACAGGGTCCCCTGTGCACCACAGGGACAAAGCGCAGCAGGTCTCAGGCTGGCGGCAGCCTCCAGGTGTGTGGCCTCGGTGCACACACCTCCAGGGGTGCCATGGGCCATGGGATTATAAAGGGCGGGGGTGGGGGCGTGGAGCGGGACTGAACCCGAGCCTGGAGGAGGTACTACCATATGGGCCCCTGCAAGTGACAATCTGGGGAGGTGTGGAGTTGGGACAGCATGAGTGACAGCTACAGTGCGGATGTGTGACTGAAAAAGAAGACGGCCAAGGGTGGGCAGTTGACACCCTCAGAGAGCAAAGCGAAGAGGAGAGACAGTGTGAGCAGAAGGGGAGAGAGCAGTGAGGGCGGAGCGAGGAGAGGGGGACAGCCACGGGGCGTGTGTAACAGCCTGCGTATGCCCAGAAGGCTGCGCCCTCCCTTTGAGCTGGGGCTGCAGGGGGCCACTCGTAGCTGCTGCCAGGCAGAGCCTGGGCAACTGCAGGCCCACAGCCCCCTGGATGGGGGGGGTCTACTCCCACCACAGTTGAGGCATGTGGGCAGCTCAGGCAGGGATGTGAGCCTTAGGAGGTGTGGGGGTCAGGGGGCAGGGGCTGGTCTGGTGAGGAGGGAGTCCTGGTCCCTTTGTCCAGCCATGCCAGCTCTGTCCTAGCCCTGGCTGTGTGGGAGCCAAAGGGGGTGGGGATGGAGGGGAGAGGGGGCACCTCAGTGCAGAGCTCTGCCTCTTCCCAGCTGCTCCCAGGCCCCCTGAACTTGGATCAGAGTCGGGAATCACCTTGGGCAGCAGCTGACCCCGCTGGTTGGGGAATGGGAGCTCTGGGTTTGAACCCGGTGATTCTGAGTTAGTCTTCTTGTGCCTCATAACCTCACACCCTCAGTCTTGGAAGGGTGGGTGGGAGATGACAGTGCCCACCGCTAGGCACTGAGTACTAAATGAGGGGAGGGGAGGCAGGGCACAGCCAGTCACACTGGAGATAGTATGTCGTCTGTGGCCACCACTTTGACACTTGTCCAGGGTCAGTTGGGGCTGGATCTGAGCGGGGCTGCTGTCTGTCACTCTGCAGATATGCAGGGAGCATTTAGGGTCGCCTCCTGGTGTTTATTCCCAGGCTGTCATCAGCAGGGCCAGGAAAGCTCTGTAAATATTTATCCGTCCCACTTCGCAGCTCTCCTGGTTGGTGAAAGTCCCCACTGCAGTGGGATGGATGCTACGTTCCCTCCTGGAGCAGGGTGGCTGGGAGAAAATTAGACCATAGTGTCTGGGGAAAGAGGGACTTCTGCATGCTGGCTGTGTGACTTAATCAGGTTGCTTGATCTGAGCCTCAGAAGGGCAATGGTGATGCTCCTCTTTCTTACCCTGTTGGACCAATAGCAAACGGAGGCCCAGAGACAGGCACAACTAGCCTGCCCTTACCCAGCAGTTTCGTAGTCTGGGGCCCTCCTTTGTCTCCTTCTATAGGGTGCCTACCTTTCTCTAGATTGGAAGTTGATGCAGAGGCTGCCCCCAAGCCTCTAGACCAGGCAGGAGATTGAATCAACTGAGAAAGTCTGTGAACATGTTTGAGGCTGTGGTTTGGTGCCCTCCGGAGGAGGGAGGGGTGAGCGAGCCAGGCACCCACCACATGGCAGGTGGTGGGAGGCTGCTGGTCGAGGAGTAATAGGAAACGCACCGGAAGAAGAAACACTTGTTAGCAATGTGGGGTTTGGAGACAGGCCAAGAGCTGAGGGGCTTGGATGGAGGTATAAGCCCCCGTCTAGGCCCAGCTCTTGCCTGGCTCGCTCTGTGGCTCTGGGCAAATTCTTGACCTCTCTGGATTCTATTTCTTCCTCTGGGAAATATAGTGATGCCTGCTCCCCTCCCCACCCAGGGCTTTGGACAAGGCCACGGGTGTTCCATGCCCACCACTCCACCTCACTAAATCCCAGCAGCCCTGGGAAGGCCAAGCACACCCATCTTAGAGATCAGCAAGCTGCTTCATGCCAGATCGTACAGCTGTGGCATCTGGCCCCAGGCCAGAAAGGACGCAGAAAGATGGAATATGGGAGGTCAGCAGGGCAGGGAGCACATATTCCATCCCAGTAATGGGGAAACTGAGGCCAAGAGCTGTTAAGTGATGGACCCCTCCCCAAAAATCCCAGTGACCAGAAGCCTCAATCCCAGTGCCTCCAAGGCCCACGAGTGTGACATGGACAGGGGTCAGGAGGCCTCTGACTTTCAGGGAGACCCTGAAATGACTCTTCTTCTCTGGACCTGCAAGCTCCCTCCAACTGCCATTCCTGCTTATGATTTAAAGACTGGAGATTTTGGGAGAGCTGAATACCATGGGTGTTGGGAGCTATAGGACATTTAGTGAGAGCAGATTCATAAGTGTAGGAGGGAGGGTCCCCAGGAGCAAGGAGCCAGGCCACGGAAGAGGCCCTTCTTTGTGCCAGAGCTGCAGCGAACATCACAGAAGAAGGTTCTTTAGCCCTTTCCATGGCACCATCCCCATTTGACAGATGGGCAAGTCAAGGCCAAGAGGGCAGTGACTTGCCCAGGGTCATTGTGGCAGGCACAGGGCCTTCTGAATCTCAGACTGTGGCTCTTCCAGCTGCACTGAGAGGGCCAGAATCCAGGGATCTGGGTGTGGGCTTTGTGTCCCGTTGGGGCAGGAGAGGAAGGGACGATGTGTGTGCCTATTACCCACCCTCCTTCCAGGACAGGCTGCTCCAGGGACAGAGGAGAGGGGAGGTTTCTGCCCACAGGCATAAACAGCGGGCATGCTGTGCTGTGGGCTGTTCAGAGCTCCCAGGGGATGACACAGCCCTGCCCTTCCCAGTGGTGGGGGAAGGAATCTGTTTATCCTGGAGGTCAAGTGGGCTGTGGGAGGGGCAGGCCCTCACGGCTAGTCACACAGACCTGGAGCCCGAAGCCTCAGCGTGTGACCTTGCATACACTTTAACAGAGGCTTGGGGGTGGAGGTTCGGTGAGCCTGGAGAGTGCCTGGGAAGTAGCAGGTGCTTAATGACTTCCTGCTCCTTCTCTCCTCTCACCAAGTGAGGCCGGCCTGGATCCCTCCCCTCGGGGATGGGCAACTACATCCTGAAGAGCAGAGCGGAAGTAGCAGGAGGGAGGTGGACTGTAAGCAAAGACTGCCCACCCTTGCCAGCTGTTACTTGGGCAAGCTGCTTACCAACTCCGGGCTCTATTTGCTCCTCTGAGGAATGGGGATGATGGCAGTGATTAGTGAGAGGCCCCTTCAGGGGCTAAGTGCGTGGGACTGCTGGCAGGGACCCGGCCTAGATACATGTGAAGCACAAGGGCGAGAAGTACCTGTAAGAATAAGCCCAGTGACTGGGCTGTGCCAGGTATCAACCATTCGGTGAGCATGCTCTGAAACTGGGGGAAACTGGCCCACGGTTCTCCTTGTACCCCATGTAGCTGCACCCATGGGTGTACAGAAGACTCTTTCCTAGTGGGGTGCTGTCGGGGGTTCAGTCTGATGGCTTTGGGGTTGAGTTTTTGGTGGCCCCGGAATCAGGAGCTCGGGAGGGCTGAGGCGATGATCAGAGCCCTGGGGCAGCTCAGGGCCTGGGAGAACCGCCAGAAGTGGAGGGCGAGGGTGGGGCCTGGGCGCCCAGCTCCCACCCCAAATAAGGCTGTGGGAAAGCCAGAGCCGCCTAGACCCGACAGGCCCAGACCAGACAGGCGCTGAGTCTGTCAGCAAACAGCCAGGTCCGTGCCTCTCCAACTTTGCACACACCCAGCCTAGCCTTTGCCTGTGGCCAGGGATGCCAGAATCCTCATCCAGCCCCACCATGCCCTTGCTGGATGGCCTCAAAGGGTCTCCCCACCTTCCTGGGCCTCTGCTTCTTTCTTGCATGAGAACTGTGACCCGGGCCCTGGGACTCCCAGAGGCTGGGAGCTCCAGGTCAAAATCATCTGCACGCACGGCTCCAGCAGCCCAGGGCTGGGCATCTGGTAACTGTGCCCCTGCACTGCCCCCACCCCCACCCCGTGGAGCAGGCAGACAGACCGCATCTAGCCCTGCCACGTGCCCAGGCCTGGTAGGTGTGAGCAAAACTGCCTCCTAAGAAATCAGATCTTAGCTCCAGGTACTCTTACCAGGTGCCTCGCCTCACACTCTGTTTCACACATGTCACCCTAGATCGGCACTAAGCGAGGTTATCATCCCCTTTGGTCAGGTGGGCGAACCAAAGCCGTGCCCCAGGGCTGCGGCCCCTCCACAGCGGGGAGTGGCGGTGCTGGGTGTTCTGGGCAGGAGCTCACTCACATAACTGGAGGGGGTCCTGGGAAGAAATGGAGAAGCAAAGGTGTTTGCCAGGGTGGGAAGCAGCGCGGGGAGCAAGAGGGGATCACGTGACCTTTCCTCAGACATTGTGTGGGGTCCATTCCTGGGTGTGTGTGGAGAGTCCGGTCGGGCTGCACCCCCACCCAGACCTCATCAGCCCCAGGGGATGGAGTAGGTGACAGGTAGCCCGGGACCCTCCAGGAGGAGGGGGCTGGGAGGCAGCAAGATGCCTCGGCCCAAGCCAAAGGGCCCTGCTGTGTGTGGCAGGCGCACCCCTTCTCTTGCCCACAGTGTGCCCATCCACAAGGCGGGCTGGGGTTGGGCATGTGTGTGCCAATAGACCACGAGAGCCCAAGGCCTGATCAGGCCTTTGTATCCTCTTTCCTGCCCAGGATGCCCACCACCGCTACCCCACGAGGAGGGGGCCGCAGCCCTGGCATAAAGCTCCTGCCAGCAGCCTGGCACCTGCCCCTGACACCCAGGAGGCCCCCCGGCCTGCTGGCAGCCCCAGACCTCCCCGCTGTGGTGTGCCTGACCCCCCAGATGCGCTGAGTGCCCGCAACCGACAAAAGCGGTTCGTGCTGTCGGGCGGGCGCTGGGAGAAGACGGACCTCACCTACAGGTAGGGGCCAGCGGCCAGGGAGCATGCTCTGGGCCTCCAGCCTGCTACCTCACATACGTTTCTTGAGACACATGCTGGGGCTGGATCTCCGTGGTTAACACGCCTGTGTGTCCACTGACCCCCGCCCCATCCACAGACCAACTCCCTAACCCCCCAGTTCAGATGCATACACAGACAGTACCCCAACCCCTGTGCCCTCCCACAGCAGAGGGGCCGTGCCTCTGTCAACACAAAGTCTCAGCACATGTCTGGTGACCTGGCCACAGCCTTTAATCACCCAGGCTGCTTCTACTGGGGACCTACTAAGGACCAGGCCTAAGTTGGCCATGGCGAAGGAGGCTGGCACGGCCTGTCCTCTGGGCGAGGTAGGCATCAACCACGTCATTGCTCGGATCTACCTACATCTTGGGTCTGTGCAGCTGGGAGCAGCTGGGAGCAGGGTGGGCAATAGCTTGGCAATCTAAGGCCCCTGGAACTGAGGCGGAGCCTGAGACTTGCACATCCTGCAGGCAGGGACCTGGCCTGGGAGAGAAGGCACATAAAGAATGATGTGGTATCCCGTGGTGTTGGAGCTGAAACTTCTGGGGGGCTCAGAAATGTCCTGAGTGGGGAACTGAGGACCAAGGAGGGGACCAAGGGGCCAAGATCACCCCACTTAGTCAGGTCTAGAAGGTGGGTCTTCGGGCTCCTGGTCCTGCATTCCTTCCACCCAGTGCAGGCATCTGTGTACACATAAGGACACACAAACCCACACAAAGAGGTGCCACGTGGCAGAGGGACTGGTGCGCCACACCTGAGGCCCAGAGCACACCTGGCCTGTGTCCTGTGTGCATGCATCCCCACCGAGCATCGGGCAACTCCTGCCAAGAGCTGTCAGGGCTGGCCTTGCCCTGAACAAGGCCCAGGCCCTTCCTCCTCCCTCCAGGATCCTCCGGTTCCCATGGCAGCTGGTACGGGAGCAGGTACGGCAGACGGTGGCAGAGGCCCTACAGGTGTGGAGTGAAGTGACACCACTCACCTTCACCGAGGTGCACGAGGGCCACGCTGACATCATGATCGACTTCACAAGGTGAACCAGTGGCCTGGAACCCCTCTGGGAACTAGCGCCACCTATCAGCAGCCACTGACTGCCCCACCCACCTGCAGGTACTGGCATGGGGACAACCTGCCATTTGACGGGCCTGGAGGCATCCTGGCCCATGCATTTTTCCCCAAGACCCACAGAGAAGGGGACGTCCACTTCGACTATGATGAAACCTGGACTGTTGGGGACAACCAGGGTATGGGCTAGGGATCCATCTTCCAGATGGGGCGACTGAAGATCACAGAAAATGGGGACGGGTCCCTGAGCTGGGGTCTGGAACTTGGGTGTCTGGCAACAAGAGATTCAGGGACTGCTGGGCTATCTCCCTTTTCCAGGCACAGACCTCATGCAGGTGGCAGCCCATGAATTTGGCCATGTGCTCGGGCTGCAGCACACAACAGCTGCTAAGGCACTTATGTCCCCTTTCTACAACTTCCGCTACCCACTGAGTCTAAGCCCAGATGACCGCAGGGGCATCCAGCACCTGTATGGCCAACCCCGGCTGGTCCCCACCTCCAGTCCCCCAGCCCTGGGACCCCAGGCTGGGGTGGACACCAACGAGATTGCACCATTGGAGGTGAGACCCGGGAGAGTGGGAAGACAGGAGGGGAGGCCCTGCTCCCAGCTCCCCTCAACCCCTGGCCCCTGTGGCTCTAACATGGGCTCTCTCCTGGCCCTTCTCTCCCACCCCAGCCGGAAACCTTGCCAGATGCCTGTGAGGTCTCCTTTGACGCGGTTTCCACCATCCGGGGCGAGCTCTTCTTCTTCAAGGCAGGTTTTGTGTGGCGGCTGCGTGGGGGCCGGCTGCAGCCTGGCTACCCTGCACTGGCCTCTCGCCACTGGCAGGGGCTGCCCAGCCCTGTGGATGCAGCCTTTGAGGATGCCCAGGGCCACATCTGGTTCTTCCAAGGTGGGTGGGGGCTGGGGAATCACACTCAGGAGGTTCTGGGAGCGAGGAACATCATGGCCAAGGGCAGGGACAGCCAGACTGACATGACAGGCAGGGGGAGGTGCCCGGAAGGCGCGGGGCCCAGGAAGAGAGTGGCCTACTTCTCTGGGCATACCTGGGAGGCCTGGGAGGAGGTGACTCACCAGATGGGAGCAGAGCAGCACACCGGTGCAGTCAGGCCTCAAAGCCTCCCGGTGGGGCTGCTAGGATTATTACCCCTGGCCTCGAGGCGAGGTCAGGTGAAGTGGCTCGCCTGAGGCACAGCTTGGAAAGGGCAGAGCAGGGGTCTGACCCGGGTCTGGTGGGCCCGGAGCCCTGGTGGTAATTCAGCCGGCAAACACAAGCGCCCAGAGCACTCCAGGTGGCAGGGCTTCATAAACACAGGGCCAGCCAGGGCCTGCTGAGCCAGGGAATGGTCAGCAGGCACTGCCACGGGCAGCCACGTGCCAGGGGAAGATCTCCCTCCTGCTTAGAATGACCTCTGTCCACGGTCCCTCCCCGGCACACAGTGCCCAAGCTTATGCTGCTGGCTCCCACTTCCCTCTGCCAATGGGGGTGCTGAGTAGGATTATTGGCCTGGGTGTTTTATGAACAGAGAAACTGAGGGTGGGGAGGCCCATGAAGGTGGTGTTGCGGTGGCCCAGTATGGCAGTTGGGCAGCTCGGTTGCAGCCTCTCTCCGCTTCCGACAGGTGCTCAGTACTGGGTGTATGATGGTGAGAAGCCAGTCCTGGGCCCTGCACCCCTCTCTGAGCTGGGCCTGAAGGGGTCCCCTATCCATGCTGCCTTGGTCTGGGGTACTGAGAAGAACAAGATCTACTTCTTCCGAGGTGGAGACTACTGGCGTTTCTACCCCAGCACCCGCCGTGTGGACAGCCCTGTGCCCCGCCGGGCCACCGACTGGCGAGGGGTGCCCTCTGAGATTGACGCCTCCTTCCAGGATGCTGATGGTATGTTGGGGGCTGGGAGGCTGGTGGAAGTGGTGCGGCAGCCGCATCTCCCACACAGTGGTAGCTGGGCGATGGCTCTTCATCACAAGTCATTGGTCCAGCGCCCTTGCTATCTGCCCTCCACCTCATGCCAGGGCAGCGCTATACACCCATGCTGCAGATGAAGGGACTGAGGGCCAAAGAGGACCAAGGACTTGCCCTGGTCTCTCGGTCTTAGCTGGAAAAATAATAACCCTGCACTCTGAGCAGTGACACTGTTCCAGGTAGTGCCAAGCTCCCTATGGGTCTCAGACAGGTCACAGGTCTGCCAGCCCTCTGACAGAGTGTGTTATAAACCTAGTTCTCAGAGGGGCAAATAGAGGTTCAGGTAATGAGGTCCCTAAGTGGGACCACCCTGGTAGATAGTGGGGAGCCAGGACTCCCACCCAGGCAGTCCCTGTTCCTAACCACTGAACCACCTGGCTGACCTCCCACCATTTTGAAGGACTAGAACTGGACTCAAAGTGTCCCCCATACCCTCTGCTTCTGTGCTCCCCCACATCGGGACCTGCTGAGAGAGCAGTCCTGTGGTGGCCTCAGGCTCCAGGTCACCTGTGTGGCTCATGTTGCCTCAGGATGCCTGGCTGCAGTAGAGTGACAGTGGAGGAGGGGCAGTGAGGTTAGTGGGACTTGTTTGCCTGAGGGGTTGGAGTTGGGCTTCTGAGACTCCAGGCATCTATCAGGCTGTATGGTAGCTCAGAACAGATGCTGGGGCAGATGGAAGGACCTCCCTGAGGGACAGGAGGACAGGGAAGGGGACCTGCAGGTTTCCAGGAACACAGCAGTGGCCAAGGCCTGCCCACCTGGACCTCCCCTGTGCCCATCCCTGGGCACAGCCGGACAGGCAGCCTTGGGTCCTGGTGTCCACTTGCCCCTGACCCTCCTCTCCTCTCAGGCTATGCCTACTTCCTGCGCGGCCGCCTTTACTGGAAGTTCGACCCTGTGAAAGTGAAGGCCCTGGAGGGCTTCCCCCGTCTTGTGGGCCCAGACTTCTTTGGCTGTATGGAACTTGCCAACACTTTCCGCTAACCACAACTTGGATACCCTCAGGGCCCCGACCCCTGCCAGGCCACTGACATTGGCTAGAGACCCGTAGCCATCTTTGTGGCTGTGGGTATCAGGCACTGGATGGAGCCCATGTCTCCTCAGGGAGGTGGAGAGGGGGGCTGCCACCTTGACAAACGCAGGAGGCCACGCGGGTCGTGGGCACCTGCGAGCAACTGTCTCAGACCAGGCAGGGAGGTTTTGACATTACTTGAATGAGAGGGAGGTCTTGGGCCACTCTGCCCGACCTCTGCAAGTCAGTCAAGCCCTGCTGCCCTGTCTGTATCCCCGGAGCCCTCATTCTACCCCTGCCCAGAGGCTCCTGCAGGTACTGGCACAGCGGTGCCAAGGGCCCCATGGCCTTCTGCCTTTTTCTGAGAAGTCAGCTCTGGGTAGGCGCTGGGAACTGGCTGCCTTCCAGTTGGTGGTCCTGGAAGTGTGTTCCCTAGGATCCACGCTAACATGGCCAGAGTCAGCTGGGGAGGGGGGTACTTACTGTTGGGGACCCTGGGCCCTGGAGACTCCAACATACCTCAATCCTGTCATGGGCCGGATCCTCCCAACCCTTATCCTAGCACTGGGACCCTCCAAAGACATGTAAATATGTGTACAGTGTGTATAAAGCCTTTTTTTTTTGTACTGAGGAGTGTCATTAAAACATGGTTATTTTCTACCTACCTGCCTGGGTTTTCTCTGACTGCAAGGCCAGAATGGGGAAGGAGTTGGGGAGTGCGAGCTGGCTCAGGACCTGATCTGTCCTGGGAGCCAGGGTCGCAGCCTACTCCATCCTCACAAGGTCCTTGGGGCTGAGCGCAAAGCGTAGGGCTCGTTCCGTTCCATTCCGCCACCTCATGGAGCTGGACACCTGTAGTGGCTCTGTAATCGATTCCCTGCTTCCTGGCTCGCCCCTGGGGTTATCCCCCGCTAGGTGGCGGTCACTTCATCTGATCATGCTACACCCCAACCCCTCTCCCAAAGTTCTTTCTGCTGTCAGGTCACAGGACAAAGCTCCCGGTTACCACCGCTGAGCCTGCGTGACTCTCCAGTGTTGCTCTGCTCTGCCCTTCAGCCCCACGTGTATCTTCTTCATAGTAGCACCTATCACAGCAACAACTTTACAGACAGAACCATATGAAATTGTCGGCAGTGGCTATAATGGTGCTTTCGTTAGCACTCCTGGCTGCAAGCCCCACTGGGCAGGGTTGTCCAGCTTTGCGTACCACCCCACGCGGCGCCCGTTGGAGGCACAGAGCACCGAGTTAAGGAGGGAATGGAGGAGTTTCCTCCCTTCCAGTTCTCATCTGATGCACTAGCCAAACCAAACACCACCTGGGCCTTGGAACCCTGCCAAGCCCGGGATCCTCTGCCCATGTCAACTCCCACCTCATGTTATTCTGCCCATCCCTACAGTGGCAGGGACAGCTGTGGGCCCAGAACTGGGGCACCTGTTCCTAGGCGGCCTCTCATCTACTCAGCTGCACTGCATTTTGCCGGAGGGGGAAACTGAGACAAGGGTAGCTCCGGTCTCCTCCTGACCGTCAAACCTCACTTCGTTCCTCCTCCACTGAGCTGAGTTCCAGCCGCAGTTGGGAGACTGGGAAAACCACTGCCTGAGTCAGGGCCTCGGTTGCTATTTCTGTCCTTGAGAAGTTTCCTCGGTGCTTTGACTTAGAGGCTCCTGCAGGTACTGGCACAGCGGTGCCAAGGGCCCCATGGCCTTCTGCCTTTTTCTGAGAAGTCAGCTCTGGGTAGGCGCTGGGAACTGGCTGCCTTCCAGTTGGTGGTCCTGGAAGTGTGTTCCCTAGGATCCACGCTAACATGGCCAGAGTCAGCTGGGGAGGGGGGTACTTCCTGTTGGGGACCCTGGGCCCTGGAGACTCCAACATACCTCAATCCTGTCATGGGCCGGATCCTCCCAACCCTTATCCTAGCACTGGGACCCTCCAAAGACATGTAAATATGTGTACAGTGTGTATAAAGCCTTTTTTTTTTGTACTGAGGAGTGTCATTAAAACATGGTTATTTTCTACCTACCTGCCTGGGTTTTCTCTGACTGCAAGGCCAGAATGGGGAAGGAGTTGGGGAGTGCGAGCTGGCTCAGGACCTGATCTGTCCTGGGAGCCAGGGTCGCAGCCTACTCCATCCTCACAAGGTCCTTGGGGCTGAGCGCAAAGCGTAGGGCTCGTTCCGTTCCATTCCGCCACCTCATGGAGCTGGACACCTGTAGTGGCTCTGTAATCGATTCCCTGCTTCCTGGCTCGCCCCTGGGGTTATCCCCCGCTAGGTGGCGGTCACTTCATCTGATCATGCTACACCCCAACCCCTCTCCCAAAGTTCTTTCTGCTGTCAGGTCACAGGACAAAGCTCCCGGTTACCACCGCTGAGCCTGCGTGACTCTCCAGTGTTGCTCTGCTCTGCCCTTCAGCCCCACGTGTATCTTCTTCATAGTAGCACCTATCACAGCAACAACTTTACAGACAGAACCATATGAAATTGTCGGCAGTGGCTATAATGGTGCTTTCGTTAGCACTCCTGGCTGCAAGCCCCACTGGGCAGGGTTGTCCAGCTTTGCGTACCACCCCACGCGGCGCCCGTTGGAGGCACAGAGCACCGAGTTAAGGAGGGAATGGAGGAGTTTCCTCCCTTCCAGTTCTCATCTGATGCACTAGCCAAACCAAACACCACCTGGGCCTTGGAACCCTGCCAAGCCCGGGATCCTCTGCCCATGTCAACTCCCACCTCATGTTATTCTGCCCATCCCTACAGTGGCAGGGACAGCTGTGGGCCCAGAACTGGGGCACCTGTTCCTAGGCGGCCTCTCATCTACTCAGCTGCACTGCATTTTGCCGGGGGGGGAAACTGAGACAAGGGTAGCTCCGGTCTCCTCCTGACCGTCAAACCTCACTTCGTTCCTCCTCCACTGAGCTGAGTTCCAGCCGCAGTTGGGAGACTGGGAAAACCACTGCCTGAGTCAGGGCCTCGGTTGCTATTTCTGTCCTTGAGAAGTTTCCTCGGTGCTTTGACTTCGGAGAAAGAGAAACAGGTCGTGGTTCCTTTAAGAGGCCCGCGGGGACGCGCCCCGGCCTTTTGTTTAGACTGCGGTCCCGCGCGCGTAAGCGTCAACGCTCGCGCATGCGCACTGAGGGCGGCCTGGTCGTCGTTGGGAGGCAGCAGCCGAGGATTCCTGCAGCGACGCGAGCCCTCGGCCCGGCCCGCCCTTCGCCTCCTTGCCCCGGCCCTCCTCGGCTTGGAGTGCCCCGGCCCCTCAGCCCTCCGATCCTTCGCAAGGCCGGCCCTGGCCGCCCGCCTCCGTCGCCGCAATGATGATGATGGCACTGAGCAAAACCTTCGGGCAGAAGCCCGTCAAATTCCAGCTGGAGGATGATGGCGAGTTCTACATGATCGGCTCTGAGGTAGCCCGCTGCGCGTCTTCGCCCTCCCCGGGCCTCGGCCCGCGGGAGCCTCGGGGCGGGCCCGCGCACCGGGAACGCGCTTTTCCATTCATCGCGCTGGGCGCGCGCGCACGCGCGCTGTGCCGCGGGGCGTGGCCTTGCGGGGCGTGTCCAGCAGGCCCCGCCCCGCGCGCCTCGCCGGTCTGGATTTACTTAACCTATTTCGCGGTGGTCCGGGCTGCGCCCCGTTGCCAGGGCTTGGGGCGCCCCGAAGGGCCACTGGTTGCGCACTGAGTTGGTACACGCCCAGCCAGCCGCAGAGAAACGGGATGTTTTGGTGAGCCCCTGAGGCACTTGGGAGAGAGTGTTGGAAATCCCATACACACCCCCTCCTCCGTTGTTAAATCTGGGATTCTGAAATCGCCAGATGGAAACCTGAGCCTTAGTGATGGCTCCTCCGCCACCGTGTGTGTTGCCTTTGAGGTGGGCAAGAAGGTGTTCTAACCTTTATTTACCAACAAGGAAATAGGTGGGGAGGAGGATGCTTGCTTTTGGGTGGATAAGTTCCCAGTGCCCAAGCTTAGATGTATCAGAAGAAGCAGTTAACACTGGATATCTTGTACTTAATTCTGAATTATTAGTAGGGGAAGATTCTAAATATCTTTGATACTTACTTAGAATTGCTAGAACTTTGTTGAATCAGCTGCACGACTGATTTTTAAGGAAACCCTGCAACTGGTCCTAAGTCGGAGTTTATACTAAGGTCTTTAAGTTTTTCCAGGTTGCTTCATACTAGCCCTTTTTGGTCCAAAAGCAATCCCAACTAGTGTATATTCCCTTTATTTTATTTTTTAACTTGTGGATATACAATTTAGATGTGCAAATACCAAGCAATAGAGTCCGTCATGTAAAGAGGTGAGTACCGGTCCTGGAGAACTGAAGCAGTTACACAGTGTCCAGGGTTACCTCCCCTTGTAGCAGTTGTCGGTACCATATGTTAATATTTCATTCCTGTTCTTAAGAATATTTCATGCCTGCTTTTCTCTTCACAACCGAACATAGTGTGAATGAACTAAACCTCATAACGGTCGCACTGAGACTTTGAGGACACGCTGTGATTCCCGGCTTGTCTTAGTTGTATTGAATTATGAGACCAATGTTCTCAGTAGCGTCAGAAATTTAGTGTTTCCATTTTTCACCGATTTTTATAAAGCAAAAAAAGCAGGATGCAATAAAATTTTCACATTATCCCATAAATGCTACTCTTCCAAAATAGTTCTGGGAAAAAGAGCCAATGCCTATTCATCTCCCACAGCTCAGAATGGTCCCCATCGATCTGTGGGAACCTTTCTAAATACAGGCTACAAAAGGCAATTAGAGAGTTCCAGTATGTGATATTGGGCAGGTTGTTTAAAGAAACCTTTACCTGATGGACAGGAAAAGTAATCGGTTTGGCCTTGACTCTGAGTGGGTGGTAATTCTGAACAGCCAGCTTTCATTTATTAGGTGGAGTAAATTGGGAGATAGCGTGGGGCCAGGTTGGGAGGCCTGCTTCCAGCCCTGCTCTGCCTCCTTCACTTTTCTCCTGCGTATAATGAGATGCGTAGACTCGTTTGTGTCTAATGTTTCCCTGTAACACATTTGAGTTTCTAGAAAGCTAACTGTAATCTTCTCTTTCAGCCCGGCTGAGTGAGAACAATTGTCCTGAGACCCAGTCTGTGAGAGGCCCGGATGGGAGGGGCAGAGGCAGTCTGCCTTCTCAGGCTTGGCTTAACAATTGTCAGACCATTAGAGGTCTGGGAAGGGTTCAAGGTCTGGCTCTTGTGACAACACTGGGTACGTGCCCCAGGCCTCTTCCCCTTAGAAAACAGGCATTGCATTCAGAGAGGTGGACCTGCCGTAGCAACGCGCCCAGCACCCTGCGCCCCGTGGAGCAGCCCTGGGGATGCAGTTGCAGTGAGAGTGTTTTGCTCTTGTCCTGCCATCTGCCGCTGCTATGTTCACCAAGCCAGAGTCACAGGGCCGAGAGGACCCTAAGAAATCCCCAGGCCCACACCTTCATTCTACACTGGGGAAATTGGGTTCAGAGGAGGCAAAGGCTGGATGCAGGAAGACCCCGGAAGGCAAGTCCCAGTCTCCTAAGTTCCCAAGGGTCCCAAAGGGTCAAGGAATCCTGGAACCCAGCAGGACTTAGGAAGTAGTAGTGGGTGTGGCATTGCTGTCAATTTATTTTTAAAAAAACCTAATGGAAACTATACATTTACCCTTGGATGGTGCTGACATTCAAGCCAAATAATGCAGAGGGGTCTGTGCCTACTGCATGGAGCCTGAGCTACTTAACTGTGGCCATTCTCCTCTTATGCTTGTACACAACTCTGGTTGTTGATCGTATAGATCTTTGACTTATGAAAAATGGAGAAACACATTTTAATTTAACAAATGCATGTTGCTGGATAGGTAAATGGAGAAAATAATTCAAGTGGTGTTCCATGGGGTGAAGTTAAGAGTTGCTGAACATTTGACAGATAAGTAAGGAGACCCAGAAAAGGGGAGCAGTTTCCGGTCACAGGCGGAGCCAGCACATGGTGCCCAGTCCACTGGCTGTTCCCTGCATGTGACTCAAGTGGTCGTGTTTGAAAAGTCGGTGAAACAGTGGAGTTCTCAAAATCTTTAGGGCTAGATATCTTTTCATTAAGGAAGTCATACTTTTGAGTATTTGGTGCAAACTGAAGCTATTGTTTAAGGCAGAAATGATTTATTTAGCAATCTGGTAATTGTCACTAAGTGTTTTTTAACTCTTAGGAAAATTCCTTTGGTATTCCTCGTTTGAGTTTTGTTACTAAACAAAGCAACAGGGGCCTTGGGGGAGATTATCCTACATCTGTCTAAAATTAAAAGACCTTTTGTTGTCTGTTACATTGTAAAAATATCAAAGTCTTGTTCTTAAGATAAAAGAAAGTCAAAGAAGCCTTACGTTTTGGAAAATGCCAGAGATCCTTAGTCTCAAAATCAAAATCACGGAGAGCTTCTCAGCGAACTCTGGGGGCTCCTCTGTAAGCCCTGCAGGCCTGCCTCACAAGCATCTGGTTAGACCGTTTGGAACTTGGTCCTATCATCAGAATGCAGACGTACTTGCCCCCACTTAGAGGAGCAGATGTGGGCCAGATGTGCACTGCTGTTGAACCCTTGATGTCAGCAGAATGTGTTTTTACTGCTGTGGAAAGCTTGGTGCCTGGGGGCCAACTGTTCGTCCATCACTTGATCCAGCGGAGCCTCTGCGCCTGGACCCTTCCCTTCCGTGTCGAGATGTGACCCTCATAATGAGCCTTCTTGCTTTACTCATAGGTGGGAAACTACCTCCGTATGTTCCGAGGTTCTCTGTACAAGAGATACCCCTCACTCTGGAGGCGGCTAGCCACTGTGGAAGAGAGGAAGAAAATAGTTGCATCGTCACATGGTAAAAAAACAAAACCTAACACTAAGGGTGCGTCTTCACGAGGGTTTGTAAACCTGTTTCAAAACCACTTGCTTATGTCATGAAGATAAAACGTTTTCACTCCAGAGTGTCTTCACTGTAGCCCTGACCTTACTTGGCATGGCAGGGAGCATCCTAGGGACCGGGTCGCCCTGGAACATGTAGCCAGTGGTCCTTTGTTGGGTATTCTCAGCGGGGCCAGTGGGGGCATTAGGGGGTCGAGGCTGGGACACTAGCGGGTGTTGTGAAGACATGTTGGTCTCAAAACGTTTTAGGAATGCTGTGATGCTCTGCCATCTGCCGCGGGCGTGTCGCCACAGTCACCTTCCATGCAGCCCGAGCGGTGGGTGGTGGCCCCAGCTCCCACTCCCCTCTGGGGCTTTCACCGCTTAGCCTCCTGCACACCCATCCCGTAGTGCTTCCTCCTGGCTGTCAGTGTGCTAGAGCTTGTGTGCGTGACCCTGCTCTCTGTGCCTGAGGTGTGCCTTGGGCTTGCTAGGTGAGCCACCCCTGTGGCTGTGGCAGCTCTGAGTGGCACAGAGGGATGGATGCTCTTCAGATGCCGAGGGCTCCGTCAGGAGGGTCTCACTTCCATTTGGGTTTGGGCACAGCAGGGTGTTTGACGGGCATCACACTGCTTCCCACTGGGCCCTGGCTGCCCAGAGCCTGGGTGTAGACCTGCCCTGAAGCCCTGTGCGCGTGCATGTGTGAGTATGCGCTTTGCAGCCTGTCTTGTTCGATTGTGTCTAGGTGCTGCTGTGGTCTTGGCCACTGTGGGCAAAGTAGTGGTTTCTTTTAATACAGGAGCTGGAGCTGCTTTTTTTATCCGCTGCTATAACATTTCCACTCACTCGCTTAAAAAAGTGACCTTTTTGCCCTTGTGCCCCTCAGTGGAGCTCCAGTCACTAATGCAGTGAGTTCTCTGCTTTGCTTTCCTCTCTGCAAGCCTCAAGTGAAGTCTCGGTGACTCTTCTGCCTTGTGCTTTGGAGACACCTTCCCCATAACTGATTTGTGTCTCCAGGAGAAGCCAGGCTGGACCCGTAGACCGGTAACAGCCTGGGCCGAGGGTCCCTCGAGGAGCTATGGGTGGAGTTGTCTGGAATCTGCTCTGCTTCCCGGACAGCCCGTGCTCAGTGGCGCAGGGCCAGCAACTCCAGCTCTTTCCAGCTCTCTGGGCTCTTGTTTTAAAAGAAAATTAGTTCTCATCTTTCATTCCATCTCTCCACTTTGCTTGGTGTTGTGGATCGCGTGGTGTCAGACCTCTTCCCACTGGTGGTATCACTCTGGAGCCTGCCTTTTCCCTGAGAGGCCCCATTGGCTGTGCTGTGCTGTTGCTGTGCTGTAGCCGCTGCTCTGAGCACCTCCTCTGTGCCTGGAGCCAGAGCCTCCAGCCAGATTGGTCCAAATAAGTCCTAAGGGAGTGTTTACCCAGTAGGACCTCTAAGCCAAGCACTCAGTCCAGGTCGCCCTTTTGGAAGAGGCCAGCATGCAGCAGTAGTAAGGTTGACACCTGCTTTTCCCACCGCGTGCACGTGAGGACCTCCATGTGCTGCATCTATTGGCTGCTGCTGTTTGCTGCCCCAGCTGGGTGACCACAGCGGCGTCTCTGGTTACAGATCACGGATACACCACCCTGGCCACCAGCGTGACTCTGTTAAAAGCTTCAGAGGTGGAAGAGATTCTGGATGGCAACGATGAGAAGTACAAGGCCGTGTCCATCAGCACAGAGCCCCCCACCTACCTCAGGTAATGCTGCCCTGGCCTGAGCCTGCTCCTGGGACCCCACGGCTGTTTCTAGACTGGTTGGCGTTCAGCTGAACGGAAGTCCTTTTAAACGCGTTACCCACTGTGCTTACAGATTGTCTTGGCCAGGTTTCCAAGTTCCGTCTGTGTCTTTGGAATTTCCGAGGAGCCCCAGCCAAGCCTTGGATTCTGGAGAGTTGCTAGGAATGCTTAGAAAGTGGGACTAATCTATCAGAAAATTAGTGGCCCAGATAAACTCACAAAAGAAACAAGTAATAGATTTGCATTTGTAAACTTAGGACTTTTAAAAGACTATTTACAGTGACAGGTGAGTAATTGGGAAGTTGTTAGGTTGTGGAAAGAGTCTATTCATTCAGATTTTTATAAGGAAAAGGTAGATTACCCCAATAGATGAATAGGTGAAGGGTAGTCTGCACTGGAGGTACAGGGAACAATGTTTGTCTTCATGTGTGATTTCAAAATTATAGTAAAAAAATTAATAACTAGCCACATGAAGATTAGAGAAGGTGTGCTGGAACTGGCATGCTCATACACCCTGTGGGGGCTCTGTGTGCAGGCGTGGTCTTTCTGTCAATATTACATCGAGCTTTCTGTTACCCCCTGGCCCATTGATTTCACCCCTGGAAACCTGTGCAGAGAAATAATTCAAAAGAACATTACCAACAAAACCATTGTATGTACAGACATGCTCTTGGTAGCGTCGGAAACGCCTTAGGAAAAGGCTGGGCGAATGCACACAGCGAGCTGAGTAGACTCGGATGTGACCCTATAGCCACAAGCTGAAGCACGCGTCACACTAGTGAGACGTGCAGACTATCTCCGTTGGACTTGCGGCTTTCAAGACCACGTGCATTTATGTGCACAAAAGCCCGGGGCACCAATGGTGGGGAAAAGCACTATCGCTCCAAGTGATGTGGTTCCGGAAAATCACTTCTTTCCAGATTTCCTCTCAGCTTTACTATTGGATTGTTTTTATCCCCCTGCCCTCTGAAAAACGTGGCAAGCATCCGGCCTAGCCCGTGTTACAGATGTTTGCTCTGCAGATCCCTTTTCCCCAGAGAGTGCGGTAACATGAGGATGACTAGACTTTCCCAGGAAGTGGCAGAAGGAAATTATGTACATATGGATGGGACTTTCAAGTCTGCACATGTCAGCCGGGAACCTTTTATGGGGTGGTAAACACTTTTTGATGATCGGGTCATATGAGGAACAGCTGAGGGAGTAGCGTGCTGTCACCCAGAGGTCAGAACTGCTGCAAGGGTCCCGGGGTGGAGGTTTGAACCTGTGCGCTCAAGAAGCGCCTTCTGCCACCCAGCCACCCCACAGGAGGACCTGCCCCGGGACAGGTGGGGCAGAGGTTGGGTGCCCCTCTTGGACATACCTCCTTGCAGTGGAGGAAAGGTCAAATTATGTGACTTGGACTCTGCACATGGCTGTGTGTTCACGTTCCCTGTGTCTGTGACATACTTGTATTGTCCTTTTGAAACAGCTACCAGACAGGAGGGGTTGGCAGAGCAGCCCAGACCTAGGAATGAGTAAGTTTGCTGCGGAGACAGGGTAGGATTTGAGTGGGAAAGGGGACCCTCAAAACAAGTTTCCAGGAAGCTAAGAAGAGGTTTTAGTCTAGACCCATGGTTCCTTCGTACAGGCTCACCTGTACTGGCATCGCCCAAGGAAGTTGTGAAAAATCCATACTCCGGGTCCTTCCTAGAGACAGGTGTCACTTGATCTGGGTAAAGCTCTGAAATTTACTATTTAAAAATTTTACCTCTAAGTGAGTCTGTGTGACCAGGTTAGAAACCACCGGCCCAGACAGGCTGTGGTGGGGACCCTGGTCTTGCTCTCCCAGCTCTCAGCCCTGCCCGTACAGGCTCCACAGTCCCAGCCTCCCCGGGCCTCTGGTGTAAGGTGAAGGCCAGTCGTGAGATGTGAGCAAGGGTGCGCACAGAGATTGGTTGGAATTGCAGCTGAATGTGGTACTGTGCATCCCTCTCTGCTCCCACCCTCAATCAAGGGGTGCTTGGGGACCTCAGCATCTGAAGTACATGTGGCCCCCACTTTAGAAGAGCAAAGAGTTAAAGCGTGTGGGTCTGGGCACCCCATGGAAAGGGGAGGGGCTGTGGGCTGTGGATGCCGGGGCACACAGCACAGCAGGAACGCAGGCACTCTCGTCTGTCAAACCAGGCAGTGGAGCCTCAGCTTGAGAGAGTTCGGTACTTTCCTAGTAGAGCAGCCTTTAATGGGACATGGCTTCTTACATTATTTTTGCGCATTGCTTTCTCGGAGGTTTGTGCCAGTACATCTCTCACCTTACTGGTCTGGGAGTCAGAGGCTGGGAGCCTTGCCAAGGTCACCTCAGGCCACCCTGGATCGCCTCCCTGTGTGGGCCCTTGGGGGACTCCAGCCACCTGCCCAAGGCAGTCGGCCTCTCCCCGCCTGGCCCTGTGGAGCCTCCACATCCCACGCTGCCAGTCCCAGCCAAGCCCCAGACCGACCTGTGCGTCCTCCCTGCCGCTGCCTGTGTTCCTCCAGAGATGCCCTCCCGCCTCCAGTCATCCCCCACCCCCTGCCCATACTCAGGCTGACTCAGCGCCTGCTCTGCTGCAGGGGCCGCCCCTCTGGGAAGCCCCGCCTCATGCCCCTTGCCTGCGGAAGAGGCAGTGCTGCCAGGAGCCATGCCCAGTGTCATGTCATGGCTCAGGCACTGGGCCGAGAGCTGTGCTGCTGTGTCTGGGCCCCTCTGCACCTTCCCCTAGCCCGGGTGTGTCTGCGTGGGTGCTAGTGGGAGCCTGGGGCATAGGTACCTGTACAGTCTGGGCTGCACAGAGGTCCCCGCAGGGGCCTGGAGCCTGGCAGGGCACATTGGGTGTCCACTGACCACAGCTTGATGCCTGGCAGGCAGTATCAGGCTCTGAGACTGAGTGAGGAGATTTCCCATGTCTCCCCAGGGAACAGAAAGCCAAAAGGAACAGTCAGTGGGTGCCCACCCTGCCCAATAGCTCCCACCATCTGGATGCTGTGCCATGCTCCACGACCATCAACAGGAACCGCATGGGCCGGGATAAGAAGAGAACCTTCCCGCTCTGGTGAGCAAGCCTTGACATCTCTGCTGATACCCCTTGGTCCTCCAACACAGTCTCCCCAGAGAAACACTCTGCTTTGGCCTTTGTGTTCCCCAAAACGCTACGCTGCCTCCTCCCTGAAACACCCCCTTGGGCTTCAGGACAGCCAGTGACCAGCTTGCTCCAGCCCTGGATTGGTACCTTCTCTCTTGGTTTCAAATGTGGCTGCTGGAAAAAACCCCACCCGCCAGGTGCCTTAAAACAATTCAGATGTATTGTCTACAGTTCTGGGGTTTCCCTGTGCCACAATCAAAGTCTTGGCTGGGCCGCTTTCCCTCTGGAGGCTCGGGGAGATCCGTTCCTGCCTCTGTCTCGCTCTCTCTCTCTCAAGGACACTTGTGGTGTGATTTAGGGCCCGCTCGCATCATCTCTCAAACTTCCGTCTGCCGCCCAGCCACACCCAGAATGCTGTCCTCGGGCGTTGGTCACGCTTCACCTGCATGACACCTGCAGGCATCTCCATCGCAGGGCACGCTGGTCCCGTCCAGCTCGTGCACTCCCAAGCCCTGGAACTCTTTCTGCTCCACTCACCACGGCCCATCAGCACATTCCTACCTTCTCAGCCGTCCAAGTGTCCAGAATTGGACTACCCTTAGCCAGCCTTCACCCTTGCCTTCATCCGGGCAGGTCCTCCAAACTCCATGCCACATGCACCCACCGGGACTGCAGTGCCTGTGGCTGCCGCCTCTCCCCGCGTCTGGCACAGTCCTTCCTCGCTGCTTTCAGAGCCGCCCCGAAGCCTGTGCCCCTGCGGTTCCCTCTGCCGAGAGCTCACTCCTTGACAGCGTTTGCACAGTGCCCTTCCTGTCCCTTTCCTTCCCATTTCTCTTGGATGGCACTTTCTCGGGCTGCCTTCTGCCTTTGAATTGGCTTCTCCTGCCCTTCCCCTGCCCATTTTTCCCAGAGCGTTTGTATCTGGCATACGGTGTGGTTTCCTCATTTGTCATCTGTGCCCCACACTTTCTGAGAGCATTCTTGCCCTCCGTGTACCTGTGGACACCCTTAGGTCTCCCATGCCCTCCGGCAACCCCGTCCCTCCCCTGCCTGTCTCCCCTCTCTGTCTTCCCAGGACAGAGACCTGACCTCGAAACTGCCTTGCTCAGAGCGGTCCTGGGCTTCCCCAGGGGTAGAGGCTGCACTCTGACTGAGACGGGAGCTCTCGGTCCTTTGCTGCCCCGTGGCTTCCCAGAGCCCCCCGTGCAACCCCCGCCTGACTACGTCGTGCCCTCGGTGCTCTGGCTGCTGTGCCCGCCCAGCTCCTCACTTCTGCCCCTCAGCCGTTGTTCCGGTTTTCCTCCTCTGGAAACACCCTTACTTTCCCACAGCTTTCTGTGAAAGTCCTGCCTGCCGTGGGGCTTGACTCTCCCTTCCTTTGGATCGTGTATGTCTAGGTCTTATCCTGCTGTCCAAGTCAGTGGCTCCGTCCCCCTTCACCCGTGCCCATGGACCAGGGTGCTCTGCCCCTGTGACCCCAGGACCCCTGCTGGCCTCCTCTGCTGACTCAGTCCTTAGTTGATAAGTCCCTGGAAAAAGTGGGCTTTTTCCCCCTGGCCAGGTTTGCAGCGACCAGTGGTCCAGAAAGGGAGGCCCAGGTGTGGGGACCCACGATACCCCTTGCTGACTTTTCTGCCACTTCACTTGTAGCTTTGATGACCATGACCCAGCTGTGATCCATGAGAATGCGTCCCAGCCTGAGGTGCTGGTGCCCATCCGGCTGGACATGGAGATTGATGGGCAGAAGCTGCGGGATGCCTTTACCTGGAACATGAATGGTATGTGGGCAGCTGCTGTGCCAACATGTTCTAACGACAAGGAACTCACATGTCCTGCCTGCCATCCGGGCAGATCCTGGGCTTTGAAAGGGGCGTTGAGAGCACCGTAGCCTGGGTCGGGAGGATGTGCACTCTGGGTTCAAATCCTGCCTCTGCCGCTGTTGCCTGCGGACTGGGCACGAGGGCCTCAGATTCATCCCTCTCCTCGTGAGCTTGGGTGGCCCGGGGGCCGGGCGGGCAGGCTGCCAGCCCACAGAGCTCAAGGATGACTTGGTGCTGCTCAGACCGGTTCAGCTGTCTGCCCTGTGCGCACATCCCCTGCAGCCTTGTCCACCTCCCTGCTCCTCGTCCGTGACGCTCTGTGTACGCGCTCACGCCCCTGCTGTCGCCTGGCCCGGGAGGCCTGCCCTCACCCTCACCATTCTTCCCCTTCCATCCTCATTCTGCAAGTCTTGGGGAGATGCCTGCTCTTCCCCAGTTCCAAAAGCCTGGGCAGGACTCTGTGGAGACCTGGAAGAGAAAGCGCAGAAGGAGACGTCCACAGAGTGGCTGGAGTGCTTATCCCATCTGGGAAGGAGGATACACATGGTTATTTTCTGATTTATCTTTTTTCCTGAATCTTCCAGGCTTTTTACAAGCAGCACATTATTTATACTCAGACAGACAACAATAGTGAGAATAATTTTTAATGAATAAAGTTAGGAATCACCAGAATCCCATCACCCTAATAATGATTATGTTCCAGTTTTGCATGCTCCCTGCCAGTCACTTCCACGTGCAAACTGAAGAGTCAAATTACAGTGCAAGTATAATTTCATTTTTTTCACTTATAAGTATCTTCCTGGTTTTTTTGGTCTTCGTAATTGCCATGGAATTTTCTGTTGAGCTGTGGTGCCTCATTTTGCTAAAACTACCCCCGCTATTAGATGTTTCCATAGCAGGTAATGTAATTACTTGCATTTGTCTGTCAGGAGATTTCCTCAGGGAAGAATGTGTGCGGTTGTTGAGAATACAGCTGCCCTGAGCTTTCTGGAAGGATGAGGCTGCTGCCTTTGGTCGTCCCCCTGGCACTTGGTGTGCCAGGTCAGAGGCCAGCCCCGGGAACGAGGCTTGAGAGATGGGGTGCCTGCCCTCCAGAGCTCACAGGCTAGCTGGTGAGAGAGGATGTTGGCAAGGGGATGATGAGGCCGAGGGGGAACGTCAGTGAGGGGTCCTGGAGGTTGCCTTGAGTACAGACAACGGGGCAGGTGCAGTGCACTTTTGGCGCCCCAGGGCAGGGACAGGACAGCAGCTCGTGGGTGCCAGGCCACTGCCAGTGCTACCCATCAGTACCATTCCCCACTTACCTCAGATGTTCTACACAGTAGTTATTTGTTCATCTCTCTCCTCCATTTCAACCCTTAGAGGTCAAGGATCTTGTTTTTTATTTTATTTATTTATTTTTTGCAGGGTGGACCAAGGCTTTCCCTTGCTCCTCATTTTTTTCTTTGTTAAGGTATCATTGATATACATTCTTATGAAGGTTTCATAAGAAAAACGATGTGTTTATACATTCACCCTTATTTTTTATCGAGTCCCCGCCATGCCCCACTGCAGTCACTGTCTGTCAGTGTAGCAAGATGCCACAGAGTCCCTGTTCATCTCCTCTGAGCTACACGGTCTTCCCTGTGGGATCTTGTATTTTATTGCTGCTTTTAGAGCATCTAACATAGAACCTGGCCCAGTGTAGGATCTGAGTTGTTCATGTACACAAACTCTTCCTCAGCCCATAGTGGTATTTAGTGTGTCTAAGTCCTATGATTCTTAGGATGCTATGATATCTTAAACTACTTTTCTTTCAACAATGTATGGAAAGCTCCTTTTATTATTTATACCCTGACCCTGTTCCAGAGGGATAAGGACACTCGGTGCAAAAGAATGAAGCAAATGGAAAAGGAGTGGTTAGGAAAACCCAGATAAGGGGGGAAGTGAGACAAGGAGATGTAAACTGAAGCCAGTGCTCTGGTTCATACTCAAAATCCAGAGGAAGGGCCTGGCCCTCGAGGGCCTTGTAGAACCACGCAGAGGCAGGTGTGAGGATCAGTCTGTAGTTCTCAGTGTGGTCAAGATGAGCAGCAGCCAGTGGCTCGGAAAAAGTAGAATCACACGTAATACATCAATCCAAGAGACCCTTTTCTTACAGCCCTTATGAAAAGGGTACAGTATAATGTAATGAAGACCAGCATCTGCCCAGGAATTCCCCTGTGAGTCTCTTCAGGCTGTGCCTCATAGGAGTCCTCATGTAACATACCATATCCCACTACGTGTAATTTCATACAAACACTTGGAGAACCAAAATAATTTTGTTCGCAAACTCTTCCTCAGCCCATAGTGGTATTTAGTGTGTCTAAGTCCTGTGATTCTTAGTTGGTGGTTAGGAGGCTTTGCGTATTCAGAATTACACTTGATTTGCTGGGGGTATTTTGCCAATCATACCTAATTTACTTTGAAATTTCAAGTAACCTTAAAGTTGACATAAGAGTCTTTACCACAGAGGGATTAAAAATGTGGCCCGGCACTAGCTGAGCAGCACAGATGAGCTCCATGTCTTCAGACTGTCCTTCATACCCAGGGTTTGTCTTCAGCAGGTTTTTGGCAGGCTTTAGGTAACGGTGAGTTCAGGTCATCTTCCTGAGAAGGATGTGAAAGGGGCTTATCCGAGCTGTGGGTGAAGCATGGCATCTTCTGGCTCAACCGTCGGCCTACACGTGCCTGTATGGATGCCAGCTTGGTCCTAAAGTGGGAAGAGGGAATTCCAGGGCTGGGCCGTGAGCTGCCTCAGGGACAGGTATGGAGTCTGCTCCTGCACGCAGGCCAGGAGTGATCAGGGTCCTGAGGGCTTACTGTGCAGGGCATGGCTACAGGAGATGTGCTGGAGATTTGTGTCCACATGCTCACTTTGGATGCTGGAAAACACCAAATGAGAGATTCAAGAAGCTGGGTGAACCCCAACAGGATAAACCCAAAGAAATCTACACCAAGACATATCATAATTACACTTCTGAAAACTAAACACAAAGAAAAAGTCTTGAGAGCAGTCAGAGAAAGGTGACACCTTACCTTCAGGGAAAGACTTCGGATGACAGCAGATTTCTCATCAGAAACCCTGGAGGCAAGAAAAAATGCACAGTGGGCTTCAAGCACTGAAAGAAAAGAACTGCCAATCCTGAATCCTACCGCCAGTGAAAATAAATATTCTTCAGTAATGAAGAGGGAAAATCCTTCTCAGAAGAGAAACTATGACCTATTGACGTGATCTAAAAGAATGGCTAAATGAAGGGAAATGATAAAAGAAGAAACTTTGGAACGTCAGGAAGGAAGGAAGAACATGATATGCAAAAATATGAGTTGATACAATATGCTTTCCTTCTCTTTTCTAAATTATGTTGAACAGTTGAAACAAACATGACAGTCTGATGTGGTTCTAAATGTATGTGAGGAACTCATTTAAGACTATATTGTAAATGGGGGAGGGTAAAGGGATGTAAAGAAAGGTAAGATTTATTTCACTTGAATTGGTAAAATGAGGAAATCAGTAAACTGATAATAACATAATACAGAGAGGGCCATTTAAAAATACTATACAAAGAGAGTTTCTCAAAAATAGCTCTAGGTAAATTAAAATGGAATCTTAAAAAATGTTCAAGCAACACACAGGAAGACAGAAAAAGAAAACCGAGAACAAAACAAAACAAAAAAGGCGAGCATAAACCCTAATATTGTCAGTAATCACCAGTTAAAAAAAAACAGGGATTGGTAGAGTGGGTTTTTTAAATGACCCAGATTTGTAATCTATGTGAAACTCATTTCAAAAACAATGATACAGGTAGGTTAACAAGTAAAAATATAGAAAAATATATCATGCAAACAGCAAGAGTGGCAATATATTAGTATTAGATGAAACAGACTTAAGAGCAAAGAAAATTACCAGCGAGAGAGAGGGACATTAAATAATGAAAAAAGGGTCAGCCCACCATGGGGACATAGCAGTCCGGAATGTTTATGCACTAAACAACATAACTGGGAAATGACGTGAAGCAAAACCTGATGAACTAAAAGGAGAAATAGACAAACCCACAGTGATATTGGAGACTTTGATAGCCCTCTCTCAACTGATAGAATGAGACAGAAAATGAACAAGGTGATAAAAGGACCCAGTAACACTGAACAAAATCTGACTGGCATTTGTAGAACACTGCACCCAACACAGTAAAATACACATTCTTTTTAAGTCTATGGAACTTAAACCATATAAACTATATCATGAGTCATAATACAAACTCAACAAATTTAAAAGAATTGAAATTATATAGTATATGTTCTCCAACCAACATGGATTCAAACACTTGCAGACTAAAATAACAGTTCTGAATTATTCGTGGTTCAAAGAGGAAACCTAAAGGGAAATAAAAAATATGTACATGGATCTGAATGAAAATACAATATATCAGAATTTGTAGGATATTCCTGAAGTAGTGCCAACAGGGTAATTTATAGCACTAATGTATACATTGGAAAAGGGGAAAGTGTCAATAAACTAAGCTTCCACCTTGAGAATCAATAAAAGTAAGACCAAATGAAACCAAAGCAAGCTGAAGGCAGGACTTAATAAAGAGAACAAAAATCAATGAAACTGAAAACAAACAATAGAGAAAATTGATAAAACATAGCTGATACTTTGAAAAGATAAGTAAATATCAGGAAAATTGACAAACCTCTAACAAGACAAGAGAGAAACATAAATTACCAAATTCAGGAATTGAAATGGGCTATCACTACAGACCCTGCAGCTATCAAAAGGGAGAAGTATAAACAACTCTACTCATATAAATGTAACAAATTAGACAGAACGGAGGAGTTCCTTGTAAAACACAAGCTACCACCACTCAATATCAAATGGATTATTTAAACTGCCTTGTAACTATTAAGGAAGTATGATTCATAATTTAAAACCTTCCAAAAAACAAATCTCCAGGCCCAGATGGTTTCTCTGGAGAATTCTACCAAACATTTAAAGAATAATTAACACAAATTCTATATAATCTCTTCCAGAAAATAGAAGGAACACTTACCAATTCATTTTATAAAGCTAGTATTACCTTGATACCAAAGCAAAAAACAGTACAAAAAAAGTAAACCATTAGACCTATAATATCTCTAATGATTGTAGACTCATAAATCCTTAACAAAATATTGACCCATAGAATTCATCAGTATATAAAAATAATTATTCACCATGACTCAAATGGGGTTTATTCTAGGGATACATGGCTGGTTCAATATTTGAAAATGAGCTAGCATAATCTACCAATTAACAAACTAAAGAAAAAATAGCACACAGTCATATCAATGCTGAGAAAGCTTTTAACAAAATTAAATGCCCATTCTTGATTTTAAAAACTTTCAGAAAAATAAGAATAGAGAAAAACTACTTTAACTTAATAAAAGAGCATCTGTAAAATTCTTTATAGCTAACATTATATTTATGGTGAAAGGTTGGGTGCTTTCTCTTTATGATCAGGGACAGTGAAGGATGTCTGCCCTCATCACCCGTCTTCAACATACTGCTGGAAGTACTAGCAAGGGAAATAAGGCAAGAAAATGAAATGAAAGATACATAGAACAGAAAGAACTAAAACTATCACTATTTATAGATGACATGATGGTCTACATAGAAAATCCCAAGAGAACTATAAAAAAAAGCTGGTAGAACAATTGACTAAGTTCAACAAGGTCACAGGATACAAGATAAACATTCAAAAATCAGTTGTGGTTCTATATACTATCAGTGAACATTTGAACACTCAAAAACACATTACTATTTGTAATCACTTTAAAAAAGGAATACTTTAAGTGTAAGTCTAACAAATATGTATAGGACTTGTATGCTGAAAACTACAAAACATGGATGAAAGTAGTTAAAGAAGATCTAAATAAATGGACAGACATGTTCATGGATTAGCAGACTCCAGAATACTCTTGATATGCAAATTTAATGCAATTCCAATTAAAGTCCCAGCAAGATTTTTTTTTTTAAATATAGCCAAAATTACTCTAAAATTTATATAGAAAGACAAAGTAACTACAATAGTTAAGGAAACAAAGAACAAAGTCGGGGGAATCAGTCTCCCCAATCTCAAAGCTTACTATATTGCCACAGTAATCAAGATTGCCTGTTAATCTGCAATTAACTCGAATTGAAAAGGTTAACTTTTAAAGTGCTCTGGACAGTGTATGCGTAGGGTGCTTTGCCTGAGCACGCTGGCCTCAGGCCACAGTCTCCAAACTAAACTGCGCCTGCCTGCAGTATGAATTACCTACTGGTCATCAACAAGTGTCCGTGATCTTTCCTGGAGGTGCTGCCAGGGCGGCTGATCTGAAGCCCTTCTGGGCTGGTGAGGAAATAGTGGGGTCATTGGTCTATTGAGCAGACTTGGTTCTTGGTGACAGAATCATGCCATATGCTGTTGGGGGAATTTATCCTTGGTTTTCCCTTGTCTGTGGTTCATTGAAGAGGGGCACATGGTCACTGAGGTTTGGGTTAAGGGATCAGGGCATAATGGGGAGAAAACATTTGACCACATGGGGTCTTGCTATAGTCTGGTTGGTCACAGATGGTCCCTTCAAGTCAACACAGATCCTCACATCTATCACCTTGTTGAGAGTAAAAATTTTGGTGCTGCCCAGAGTCAGAGACTGAGGGAAGGTCTATAAAAAGCCACAAGCAGCCTGATAGGATCTCTGAGGGATTTTCCTCCTGGTGAGGAAGTGGCAGGCGGTTGTGTGCCTGTCCCGGTCCCCCAGTGGGTCACTGCCCTCAAAGTGGCCCGTCTGGATGGAACCTGCCTTAGTTTGCCTGAGCTCTCAAGGTCGGGGAACTAAGTACCACAGACTGGGTGGCTTAAACAGCAGAAATCTATTTCCTCCCAGCTCTGGAGGCTGGAAGTTTAAGATCGAGGTGTTGGCAGGCCTGGAGGACAAGGTGTGTGTCCTCATCCTGTGCTCCCCCCACCCCATGTCTGGGAGGGCCACCCTCAGTTCCCTTGTTGTTATCCTCAACTTCATCCAAGAGGCTCAGCAGAGGAAGATGGGGTTGGGGGAGGCCGAACATAGTGAGATTAGTTCCTGCAATCTGTCGGCAGTCCGTCCTCTCTCCTGATTTTAGAGAAACTGATCCGTCCTCTCTCCTGATTTTAGAGAAACTGATGACCCCTGAGATGTTTTCGGAAATCCTCTGTGACGACCTGGATTTGAACCCACTGACGTTTGTGCCAGCCATTGCCTCCGCCATCAGACAGCAGATCGAGTCCTACCCCACGGACAGCATTCTGGAGGACCAGTCAGATCAGCGTGTCATCATCAAAGTAGGCAGCTGTTCACTCTACACCTTCCTTGTCTTGGGCGTCACAGGCCGCCGAAGGCCTTGGCAGAAGCGTGTCTTTTGGGGTCTGTGCTCTGGGGCGGGCCTTCCAGAAAGCCGTCTTCCAGGTAGCGCACGGCTTTTTTCACCCGCAGAGGGTGTGGGCTGACTTCCTGGAGTAAGGTATCACATTCAGGGGTGCCACTGTGGCACTGCCAGGCACTGAGCAGAGCCTAGGTGGTACGAAGCGATGCAGCCAGCCAGAGGGCAGAGTGGGGGAGCCCTGAGCAGCAGTGCCACACTCTCCCTGTGGGCTGGCTGGGCCGAGCATCCCCGACGGTTCTGGGAGGAGACGCTGCCCCATCTGCTGTATTATGCTTTCTTTAATTTCTTTGAGCAGTGTTTTATAGTTTTTATTGTACAAGTCTTTCACCAACTTGGTTGATTTCTAGGTATTGTATTCTTTTTGATGCTATTGTGAATGGAATTGTTTTCCTGATTTCCTTGTCAGATTGTGCATTGTTAGCGTGTAGACATGAGGCTGAGTTTTGTTCTGTTGACTTTGTATCCTTCTACTTTGCTGAATTTGCTTATTCTAGTAGTTATTTTACATAATCATTAGAATTTACATGAAAGAGCATATCATCCGTGAACAGATACGGCTTCTTTCTTTCCGATTTGCATGGCCTTTATTTATTTTTCATGCCTAATTGCAAGAAATTTTAATACCATGTTGAATAGAAGTGTCAAGAACAGGTATTCTTGGCGAGTTCCTGATCTTAGAGGAAACACTTCCAGTCTCTCACTGTTAAGTGTATTTGCTGTAGGTTTTTTGTACATGGGTTTTATGATGTTGGAGTAGAGTTTCTTTCTGTTCCTAGTTTACTGAGTGTTTCTATCATGAAAGGGCACTGAGTTCTGCCAAATGCTTTTTCTGCATCAGCTGAGATGATCATGTGGTTTTGTCCTTCGTTCCGTATGTGTGACACCGATGAGTTTTTTGCTGGAACCATGATGCATTGCCAGAATAAATCCCACTTGGTCATGGTGTGTAATACTTTATAATATGCTGCTAAATTTGGTTTGCTAGTATTTTGTTGAGGATTTTTGCGTCATTTTTCATAAATGATATTGGTGTATAGTTTTCCTTTCTTGTAGTATCTGGTTTTGGTGTCAGGACAGTGAGTTGTGAAATGTTACTTCCTCTTCAGTTTTTTGGCAGAATTTGAGGATTGGTATTAGTTCTTCTTTCAATGTTTGGTAGAATTCACCAGTGAAGCCATTAGGTCCTGCAATTTTCTTTGTGGGGAGATTTTTTGATTACTGATTGAATCCTCTTACTAGTTAATTTCATTTGAAACAACTAATAATTTAGATTTCTTAACCTGACTAGCAGAAAAAGGGCACGGTTGAGAAGGAGGACATCATGGGGTAGAAACGGGGGGTGGGAGGGTGCGGCAGCAGGAGCCCGAGCTGTGCCTGTGCAGCCTGTCACCTCTGGAGGGTGGCCCCGAACACTCTGCTCTGTGCTGCATCTTCTCCCTGTGACCGTGGAGGGAACGCAGCCTCGTGAGGTTAGCCACACCCAAGCACGCGGTTCCAGGTGGCCAGGGTCGGCCATAGGAAGGGTCCTCACCAGTCTGACAAACAGGCTTCCCTGACCTTTTTCTCAGGACTGAGTGCCTTTTTTGTTGCTGTTATCCTGATGGAGCTTGTAGTCAGCAGCCACAGAGAAGAGTGTCAGCCAGTTGAAAATCTACCTGGGGCTGCCACCTGCTCCCCCAACCAGAGGCTTTCTTGGTGACTGGCCAGCTGGCAGCTGTGGTGCCCCTCCAAGCCCTCCAACCCACCTGTAACCCCACCCGTGGGATGGCATTGGCTGTGGGGAGAGACTGTCCCCAGGCAGGTTGCGTTTCCTGCCTGGCTGCGGGCATGAGGGCTCGCTGGTGCTGGGTCAGACACCGCTGGCTCAGGGGCGCCCTGCTGCTGGGAAACAGTGCTGGGTTTGCTGGGCCAGAGGCTTCATGGTGCTGTGACCTAGGGGACAGCGTCCCAGCTTATAGGTCAGGAAACTGAAGAGCAGACCTAAGGCTTCCCATGTGTAACTGGGACTTAAGACAAGCTCGGTGCTTCTGGGGGGGTGTTCGTCTTTGGCTCCTGGAGCGTGCACGGCAGAGGACAGGAACCTCCAGTACAATGGCGCGTGAGGTCTGTGTCTCTTCACAGAGCACAGCCTTTATGAAACGGCCACTTAGAGGTGTTCTTGGCGATGCTGGGCCCAAAGCCCAGGCCCGGCTGCCATTACCAGGGCGTCTGGCTCATGCTGGCTTGGCTCAGATCCAGGGGGCTGGGAGTTTGGCGCTTCCACGAGTCGACCTGTCAGGCTCCAGGGTGCTGGCAAGGCCCTTGCTGGGAAGCAGAAAGGTATGTAGGGTGATATGGATGGAGCCTGGCCCCAGTGCTGCCGACCTACGCAAATCCCAGCCTGCCTCGTCCCTGTGAGCCCCCCTGGAGTCCAGCCGCTCCTACCACCTCGCCATTCCCACTGCCAGACGGCTGAGCCTCAGTGGCGGCCCGTGTTGCTTCTGCTCACAGCACTGCATAAACTTTCCAGGGTTCCTCGGTGGAAAGCGGGGCCTTTCAGGGGGCTGCAGGCCGTGCTCTGCCTGGGACTCGCCCGAGGAGCCACAGGGCCTGCCGTGTCAGCCCATTCCGTGCTTCCTTCAGTGTCATGGCTGCCAGGAGGCCTTCGGACTGCTGACCCTGAACTTCCTCCCCTCCCCTCCTTTTCTTCCTTAGCATTCGGCCCCACATGATACATCAGGCATTCACTGATTTAACGGGATTGTGGCTCTCCTCCCAGGGGAACTGCATCCCATGAAGCGACTTGTCTGTCTCGCCTGCCATTGCGTTCCCTTGTTGCTCTCCTTGGCAGGCAGGCAATCTAATTTGTAGTAAATGCAAGCGGGCGTTTACTGTTAATGACCAGCGGGCAGGGGACAGGCGGTGCAGTCCATGTGGTGCCTCTAGTGGCCTAGCGGGCTGACGGTGTGGCACCCCGGGCATGGCTTGCTGGGTGTGAGTCACCACAGCCCTGGTCCTGTTTGGTCCTGTTTGGTTGTTTCTGTGGGCTGCCTGCTGCTTCATGTCCTTTCTGGTCCCTGTGTGCCGTCGTGGTTCACTGGGTATTCAGTTCCTGCTAGGGCTCGGGTGGCTCTTCTGAGCCCATTCTGCACACCCCCATTGGTCGCCCAGCGTGGGCTGAACATGGAGAGGAGGAAGGACTGGGCTCTCACCCGCAGTGAGTGGGAAGTGGTGTGCAGAGCCTGGAGGAGTGGGGTCAGGGAGTGGGGTCCCATGTTTCTCAGAAGGCGGAAAGTACCTTGGTGAGCCGGGCCCTGAGCAGTGGCTTGATGTTTGCCTTGAAAGGCGAGCTGAGCACCCAGGGAGGGCGTGTGGGCAGGTGCGCTGTGGCCTGCTCGCCTGCCGGTTACCGGATAGCAGTGAGGGCTGCTCCCAGCCCCACGCAGCACGGGAGGATACTTGTGGACGTGATGCTGTTGAACATGGAGGGGCCCTGAAGAGCCCTTCCTGTGTGATGCAGTGATGCCAGCTCATCTGTGGGGCGGGAAGGAAGGATGGTGGTTTGGGGGCAGGCCTATGTGGGTGGCCCCCGTGGTACAGGCTATGCTCTGTCTTGGTCTGGGGGCTGCAGCACAGGGCCTGGACCTGCTTCCACCTGCAGGTTGCACGTCCGCAGGATGTCTGCTGGGAACGAGGTGGGAGGAGCCAGGCATGGGCCTCTGCTTCCCTCCTAGGCTTTGCCTGTGTTTTGCAGGCTGTTAAAAGTGGGGTGAGCGTCGGAGGATGTACTCACTAGTAAGATGATTTCAGAGTGGGGCAAGCTGGCTCCATAAAGAGAACAGTGATGGGGCAGACTTGGGCTCAGGTGTGGGCTCAGGGGCAGCGTCTGATGGGTGACACTGGAGTCGAGTCCTGCCCAGCTGGTGTAGTCATGTCATAAAGATCAAGAACAGCAGGGACAGAAAAGGGCAGAAAAGAACAGCGAGTATGGGCAGCAGGGGAGGAGAATGGAGTGAGGTGGGACTTGGGCCCCAGGGCTGCTCAGGGTCTTCCCCCGGAGGGACTGTGCGGGGCCCTGAGCCAGAGCCCCTCACGGCAGCCTCGGAGGTTGGTAAGGTCAGCCCCGCTTTCAGGGTGGGGCACTGTGGCCGGAAGAACAGGGCCAGCCCTGGTTCTCAGCTGGTAAGTCATGGGCAGGGCCCAGCCCGGCCTGGCGGCTCCAGAGGCAGTGCGTCACCCGGTCAAGGCCGCCCGGGCTGCGTGCGGTTCTGACTGCTCTAACTCATGCTTTTGGTTCTGGCCCAGCTGAACATCCACGTGGGGAACATCTCGCTGGTGGACCAGTTTGAGTGGGACATGTCAGAGAAGGAGAACTCACCGGAGAAGTTTGCCCTGAAACTGTGCTCGGAGCTGGGGCTGGGCGGGGAGTTTGTCACCACCATCGCCTACAGCATTCGGGGACAGCTGAGCTGGCATCAGAAGACCTACGCCTTCAGGTGGGATTCCGGACGCGTCCCTCCCTCTCTCCTCCACAAGCCCGTTTTGGGGGAAAGACTTCTCCCTGTGTGTGGTGATACCTTTGGGACTCTCTGGAGCATCGCAGTACAGTCTGGCTGCAGGCGGCCCCAGCCAGCTCCCCTGCCCTGTGTCGGCTCATCCTGCCTCCTGGGTCTTAGCAGTGAGCTCCATCCCCGTTGCGTCGGGGGGCAGGGGGCGGATCTAAGGAGGCGGTGCATCTGCCCCTCCATCCTCCAGGCCTTCACGGGCCTCCTGCTCTCCCCACTCTGCCCAGAGTGGGCCCTCCGTCAGGGTCACCCCCACCAGGCTCGTCATCTGGCAGATGTGCATTCTGTCTCCGACAAGGGCTGCCCTGCACAGCCCTCCCCGGCTCGCAGGCGCCAGGGGATCCTCTGGCAGCCGTTTTTGACCTGCATGTTGTGGTCATTCAGTGAGACATTGCCGGGACCTCACTGGGTGCTGTGGAAGATAAAGAGTCATGTTCAGGCTGCCTGCAAAGGTGGAAGCGTAAACAGAACTGTAGACATTCCGTCCCCTGTCCTGTGTACTGGGGCGGGGGCCAGCAGGGGCTTCTCCAGAGAGAGACATGCCTTCCTGCAGGCAGTGGCCCCGCGGTGTGACGTACGGGCCTGGCAGGAGGTAAGACACGGTGATCGTCAGCTGATAGCAGAGCTTTCTGGCCTCCAGACTGTTCTGTCACATCCAGCCCTGTCCCCCAAGCTCCTTTTCCAGGCTGAGCGGGTGTGGGGGGTGGGGAGTGCCAAATGTCCGCAGCCAAACAGGATGTAAGGGTTTATTCTGCTCATCGAACTGTCATCGTCCTCATTTGGTGGTCATTTTTTAGGGACTGCAGCTTAGAATGGCGCTTGAGGAGAAGTACAAAGGTCTTTTTGCAAAGATAGGTCAGTTACTAGCGCGGGAGTATGTTTGTATCTCAGCTGATTCTCCCAGAAATCTCAAGAGGCAGCTTTCCTTTGGCTTCCTGTAAACATGAGCAAGAGAGAAGGAATGGCTGCTCACCCACGGGGCCCAGGTTCCGAGTCTGGGAAACCGCTCAGCCCCCGTTGGTCTGAGACCATGTGTCTGTCACCTCCTAGGTCCCTCCAGCAGCCCTGCCCTGGGTGGTCCTGCCTCACAGAGGGGGTCGGAGCCCAGAGGAGAGGCCTGGGCAAGCCAGGGAGCTGGTGTCTGGCCCGTGGCTCCCATGTCCTGGGGGAGGCCTGCTGGAGGTGTGGCAGTCACTCTGCGCTCCAGCTGTCAGGCCCAAGGCGTCTGGGGTGGCCTGGCTTCCCAGAGCTGACCCTGAGGCAGGGACGTTATGCAGGTCCTAGGAGTGACATTGACACCAGTGCCTTATCACCTAGAAGCCAGTTGAGTCAGAACAGTGTTCTGACTGGCAGATGCGAGGCTGGGGTTGGGGTGGGGAGTGCAACACCCTGAGGGTGTTGACACCTGTGGCCCATTCCTCCTCCTCTGACCCCCAGCTGACCCCAGTTACCTGCCTAACGCCTGTGTTGAGCTTGGGACTGTTGGCAGAGTGCCAGGTGCTGCTGAGCAGACCTGCGTTGGCAGCCCTGGTGGTCGCAGGTCAGGGCTTATAGATGGAGCCCTCTTAGCTCAAGCCAATTAACCAATTCCAGCTGTGTGGCCCGAGCAGCACAGACCTCTGTCCCTGCCACTGTCTCTCGTGCTGCGTGGGCAGGCTTCAAATCACTGGGATTGAAGGCAGTGCCGTCCCACGGGGGACGCTCCCCAGCAGCCCTGGCCAGCCAGGCGGGATGGCTACGGCCCGCCTGGGCTGTGGGGGGCATCGGAAGGGCTGCTTGTGTCCTCCCAGCCGACCCAGCCTCGTGAGCTCTCCATGCTGGGCCTGGCCGTGGTGTGTGCTGGTCTGGCCTGGGCAGCTGTGGGAGAGCTGTAGCGAGAGCTTAGGGCTGGAGGCTGGCTCCACGGGCTTCATTGTGCAGGGGCTGGGATTTGAGTCTCCTGACCTTGACCTGTCATCTTGCTGGGGTGCCACACCATCCCTTGGGAGCTTAGACCCCTCTTAGCTCTACTCCAGGGAGAGTCATCTGGCTCTCTGCCTGCAAGCTGCCACAGGGCTGGGGGCTGCTCAGCCCATAGAAAGCTGTACCCAGAGTTCCCTGGCCTGGTCTCTGCTACATACAAGGCTTGGCGACTGCTGAGTCATGTGACTCCATAAAAGGGGCTTTAAATTCTGGGCCTTCCACCCCATTCTGGAAACACCCTGAATTCTGGTGAGCCAGTCCTGTCCGTCTCCCCTCAGGCTGAGCCCCGTGTCTGGCTGGGGTGCCCTCCCTAGTGATGGTGTATTGAGTTGTGTCCATGGTGGAGCGGGGCAAACTGCTGGTCACAGGACATGTGGGAGCAGGACCAAGACCCCACAGGTTAGGGGAACCAGGGCAGAGAACAGGCCAGGTCGCTCCCCTTCAGCAGCGGGGCAGGCAGGCAGGCCCGATGCGGGTGAGCATGTGGCAGGTGGATTGGGGGGCCCCGAGCTCCTCGAGGACAGAGCTGCGCCAGGGCGATCTGTCTAGGTGTCCTAGAGCCAGCGGAGTGGGAACAAAGAGGACAGTGAATGACAGCATGAGGCAGGGCTCTAGGGGCGGGGGGGTGGGGGTAGGCGGCGCTGGGCTGAGCAGAGTGGGAGGGCCGCAGACACTGACCAAGACCTGCGGAGAGAGATGCAGCCAGCAGGTACCGGCGCCTAGTCCTGTGCCGGGCTGGGACAGAGAAGCGGTAGCGCCCACAGGCATGGGGCCGGGCAGCGGGTGAGCCTGGGGTGAGGTGGCCAGGAGGAGTCTGGGGACAGGCGGGGGGCCAGGGCACCTGGTGGCTGGGCCTGCTGGCAGCAGGAAGGCAGTGTCGCGGGGCAGCAGCAGGGTTAGGAGACCCCAGGGTCATTTTGGACTGGGGACCATGACCCCCAGAGGTTACTCCTGAAGCTCCGCCCACCTGCTGGCAGGATTTGCTTGTTCTGGGAGCAGCTTTACTGAGGTGGACTTCATATGCCACACGATTCACCTGCCTAGTGCGCAAGTCAGTGGTTCTTACTATATCTGAAGTTAGGTGACCATCACAGTTTTAGGACCTTGTCCTCACCCCAAAAGGAGGCCCCACACCCCTTAGCTGTCGTCACCCCTGTCCCCCAAGTCTCCCAGCCTTGGGCAACCACTGATCTACTTTCTATAGACTTGCCTGTTTTCGACATTCAATATAAACAGAATCATATATATGTATGTGGCCTTTTGTGGCAGGCTTCTCAGCGTAACATTTTCAGGGTCCATCCATGTGGAAGCCCGTGTAGGGAACCAGAACATTCATGCTCATTTCATGGCGGAATGGTGCTCATTGTGTAGATATGCCGCATCTTATTCATCCAGGCAGCTGACGAGCGTCTGGGTCGTCTCCCTTTTGGCTGTTACGAAGACTGCTGCTGGGAACCATGCACCAGCGTTTGTGTGAACGCCTATTACCAGTTCTCTGGTGGGGTCGCTGGGTCATGTCTGAGCGTTCAGAGGAAATTACCAAAGTAGCTGCGCATTGTACACCCCCACTGGTGATGTGAGGGCTCCGGTGTTGGTCCATGTCGTCGCCAGCACCTGTTACCTGACTTTCTGCTTGTAGCTGTCTTAGTGGGGGTGAAGCGACCTCTCACTGTGGGTTTGATTCGTGTTTCCACAGTGGCTTACGGGGATGAGTATCTTTTCATGTGATATTGGCCATTTGTATGCCTTTGGGAAAATGGCTGTTCATGTCCTCTGCTTTTAAATTATTTTATTTTATTTTAATTAGGTAATTTAGATAATCTATCATTTGTATTTTTGTTCTGGAGTTGTAAGAGTCCTTTATATATTCTAAATGAGTCACTTGTCAAATACATGATCTGCAAATATTTTCTCCCATTTTTGTGGGTTGTCATTTTCATTTTCTTGAAGCACCAAAGTCTTCAGTTGTGATGTAGTCCAGTCCATTTATTTTTCCTTTGTTGATTGTGCTTTTAGTGTGGTACGAAGGAACCATCACCCACCCAGGGTCTTGTCCCAGCACGTGTTGGAAGGACTGCTCCTTCCCCGGGGAGAGAGCTTTGGCCCTCCTGCTGAGGCACCTGCTCCTGAACGGGAGGGTGACATCAAGTTCATCTCCTCCTCCCCCCAGTTGAGTGGCCATGCGCGTAGGCTTCGCTCTCTTATTTATAGTGGTCCTAGTAACGCTTCCCAGCTGGACCGCCATATCATGTGACGTCATAAAAGTCTGATCACATTGAAAATGAACACCAAGATAAGTCCACAGGCTTCAGCTCCGTTGCTGTCACCTCAGCCACAGCCCTCCCCTGCCTGGGCTCTGTGGCCCCACCTGGACACTGTGGGGTAGCATAACGTCTGGGGGCCCTGGGGGCCTTGGAGTCCATGGAGCAGAACCCCCTGGGGAGGGGTGGGAGGCAGGGCCGCTCTCCTCCCACGGGTTCCCCCAGACCCTAGCCAGGCCTGCTGGCTCCAAGCCCTCCTATGGGGGTTGCTTCAATCAATTCTTATTTTAGAACAAGCCCACTGGAGTGGAATCTTCCCAGAGCCAAGGAGAGGTAAACAAAGGGCCTCCTGGACCCACTCAGCAGCTCTTGTTTTAATTAAGAGGAAAACATGTTTTGCTCCCCTCAGCGTGGGCTTGGCGCCTTTCATGTCTGTCCTCCTGAGGAAGGCGGCTGGGCGCCCTCAAGGTGAGGAATGATGTTTGGGTCTGTGGCTGGGTGGTTCCTGTTTTGCCAAACCACCATGATGGCTGGAAAACAGCTGTCAGGAACTGCTGAAGAGGGTCAGCCCCAGGGTGCCACGGGATGGGGGCTGCCGCTGTGCAGCCACTGGCCTCTGAGTCACCAGCACAAGCTCGGACTTCCGGGCCTCATGGCCACAGACCCCAAGGCCCAAGTTTCAGCAGCAAGAGGGTAGCCTCGCTTCTGCAGGGAGCTAGGCCCGTGCCCTGTGTGCTCACGGTCCCCGAGACTCCAGGCCCCCAGCTGCTGCCTGCCCGCTGGTCAGGAGTGGGGGCTCTGTGGTCAGGCCTGAGTGGACCCTCCTCTCCAGCCGGCCATTCAAGCAACCTTGGGCATAGGCGGCCCCTAGCCCGTAGGAAGCTCCCTCTGTGCACGTATGTTGGCTGCTTTAATAGTAGAAATCCTCTGCTGATCCCTCACAGCACCACTGTTCCCCTTCCCAGGTGAGGTGTCAAAACCAAGGCTGCTGCTGGACCAGGGGCCCCTCCTCCTCTATCCCAGCAGTGCCCTCCAGGCTGCCGTGGGCAGACTCCTGCTAGGGCTGCCGCAGGCAGACTCCTGCTAGGGCTGCCGCGGGCAGGGCTGGTGTGGGGGTGCTGTGTCTCAGGGGACGGGTGCAGGCTGCCCAGCTGGAGGAGAGGGAAAGGGGCCTGGTGAGGCCAGAGCACCAGCAGCAGGACACAGGCGGGAGAGGATCACAGTCGGGGCCACGCCCTGAGGCCCGGAGGTAACAACCAGGCCAGGGCTGAGCTGTCAGCCCTGAAGGTGGGGGGCGCATGGGCCTTCCTGGCCACGTGGCCTCCATGCCTCTTTAGCCTCCTGTCACACAGACTTGGAAACAAGGCCCAGGCCGGCAGCAGCTCAGCTGTGCTCGCACCCCCCCATGCTCCCGGGTCCCCCACCCCCACCACTGCTGTGTCCACTTGGCAGGAGGGTGCACAGGTGGCCCTCAGGGCAGTCGCCAAGGGACACCAGGGTGGGAGTGGTCAGGGGGTGAGGGTTCCAGACCCCGAGCAGCCAGCCTAGCCCTCTGGGGCTTAGTGGGGCCAGTGAAGTATACTGGGCGGGGGCAAGCATGTGGGACTGTGAGGGGCCGGCTGGCCCAGTGGCCCTGGGTGAGGGGCGTCAAGGACTCTCGGGGCAACCTCCCCTCTGGCTCTCCCTCGCCCTGTCCTGTCGCCCTGATGGGTGCTCCTGGCCCTGGACGCTGCGCGGGGCACACTCCTCTCCCCGCCAGCCCGTGATGACTGCTGACCCAGCCGCATTGCTCTGTCGTGGGGGCCCCTCCCCAGTCTCGCCAACCAGAGGCTCCCGGGTGGTCAGAGGGCCCACTGAGAGTTTGAAGGGAAGCCTGCGGGGTCGTGGGAGCAGCACTATCGTTGCTGGGAGAGGTCCTGGCATCCGCAGCAGCTCTGTCTTGAGCTTCAGGTGACAGCAGTGTCACCCGCCACCTGTCAGGAGTGCTGCTCTGCGTTGCAGGGCATGGGAAGGGCCCAAAGGGGAGGCAGAGGAGGGCGAAGCAGGAAAAGCCAAGGCATTCCTGTGTTGGGGGGGTGGGGGGCACCGGCAGTGGTTTCTGGGGGCTGTGCAGCTGCCGCTCTGGGAACTGCCAGTTACTCCTCTCCCCTTGCTGTCCAGTGAGAACCCCCTGCCCACGGTGGAGATCGCCATCCGCAACACAGGCGACGCTGACCAGTGGTGCCCGCTGCTTGAGACCCTGACAGATGCTGAGATGGAAAAGAAGATCCGAGACCAGGACAGGAACACGAGGTACCCCCAAGTTTCCCCAGCTGGCTCTGCCCCCAGGCACTGTCTCCAGGCAGGGGCAGGATCATCTCTCCCCCCAGTGACCTGGTTTCCGGGAGGCCAAGAGGTAGGCTCCTGGGTAACGAGTCCCAGTCTCGCCCGCAGCGTGGGTTTCTCAGCAGGGAACAAAAGTGAGCCCTTGGGTTGGGTCCGACAGACCAGATCCAAGTCTCGGGACCCCCGGGGACGTAGGCAGGAGACGGGCGGTTTCAGGGCCCCACGCAGCAGTAGGCTGAGGCCAAGGGAGGGCTGGGGAATCCCACCTGCTGTGTCCTGTCCCTGTGCCCACTCCCCTGGCTGCCCTAGAGATCCCTGGGGGAGGGCAGCCACCCAGGGCTGGAAGCTGGCCCTGGGTCACCTGCCCTTTCCTGTCCTGCAGGCGTATGAGGCGTCTCGCCAACACTGCCCCGGCCTGGTAACCGGCCCATCTGTGCTTGGCTCCCACGGAGCATTCAGAACATCGGACCGCCTCTCCCCCATTTTCTGGCAAGGAGGGAGGCAGGGGGCAGACGGGGGCCGTCCTGAGAAGTGCACGGGGCAGGCGGCCTTCCGAGTCACCCTCCCCCCCAGGCACACATTCCACTTGCTGAGCCCCCGGCCCCACCACCCCAGTCTCTGGTCAGGAAGTCCTTGTTTTTGGGTGCATTTTGTTTTTGTATAGGAGCCCCAGGCAGGGCTAGCAACAGTTTTTAAATAAAAGGCTACAGGTCATGTTCCGTTTCTTCCAAGTGGCAGTATAAAAACCAGAATGGGGTGACCCAGGAGGAGGGCCTGGCTGGGGGTAGTGTGCCCAGCCTCTCGCCCTTGGTTGCCTGTGCCCCAGGTGGGCAGGCAGGGGCTGACCGGGTCCCAGCCTCAGCTACTCAGGGCCTGGGTCAGAGCCCAGTCCGTGCTGTCCCTCAGGCTGTGCAGCTTCCCACCATCTGTGCCCCATGGGCCCTGATCGAAGGGACGAGTGACAAGTGTGGCTGGGGACTCAGAGGCGGGAGGCCCTGGTGCCTTAAGGTGACAGCCCCGCCCCCTCTGCTCAGCTTCATGACGCAGCTGTGGGCTCGCCTGGTGCCCTCGGGTTCTGCTGCCTCCCGGCAGTCCTGCTGCCCCTGGCCAGGAGTGTTGCTGCTTTGGAGTCCCTTGCAGCGGTCCCGTCCTGTGGGGGCACTGCAGGGGTGTCACCAGCCTGGGTACCTGAGGGCCTGCTGGCAGGTGTGCGCCTCTCTGACCACACCTCCCAGCAGCACACGTACAGGTGCCCTGGGCCCCTCCCAGCTTCTCCCTCGGGTCCCCTGTAAGGAGTGATGCACATGGAGCAGCACGCTGGCCCGGTGCCAGCCCCTGGTGCGGGTGGTGCAGAGGAGGCAGCCCGGCCATGAGACCCGCCTGTGATGAACCTGCCCCTCCTCTGTAATGTGGAAGTGTCCTGTCCCTGCGGAAGGGAGGTGGGGTCCCTGAGGGTGGCATGTGACCTCGGAGTGAGCACTGCTTGGACAGGGCCCCCAGCAGCAGCTTTTCTGAACAGCCCAGACCCCCAGCACCAGGCTGACACCTTCAGCGGCCGGCAAGTCTTCCTTGCCAGGACAGGGCTGCTGTGCTCCCCAAGAGCATGACAGGCCATGAGACACCCGAGTCCCATCCTGAGCCGCAGGATGAGCAGGGGCTCCTCCTCTCTGAGGAGAGACTGGGATGCTCAGCTGCCAGGATGTAGGGTGAGATGGGGTTGGTCCTCTGGACTTGGGGGTCCTGAATGTGTCCCAGGATGTGAAAGCTTCCAGAGAATTTGTACGCAAGCCCCCTGCCCTTTATCCAGATGTGGAACTTGCTGGAGCCCCAAGAGCAGGGGGTCAGCCGGGATTCACGGACGGCTCTGAACAAAGAGGAAGACCCCAGGCTTACTGGCCTTGGAAATGAGTGAGCTCCATTGCCGCCGTTTGCTCAGTCCCTGGGGCAGGACACAGCCCTGCGCCCCACGGCTGGCGGCATGGAACAAATGCTGGGCAGGTCGGCCCGTGGCTAGTGCGTCAGGCCCAGGGGCTTGGCCCTCACTTTGAGCACTGCCAGCCCTCCCCACTGCAGAGCCAGTTGCTGTTTCTTAAGGCTTCATTACAAAATTAAGGTCCTACTCCATGGTGAACACTTTCATCATCCATGACCACGATAATCCATGGCTGGAGGCGCCCTCATGCTGCCGATAAGAAACCATAATATGGACTGGTCTAGGGCAGTGGGGATGTTGGCCAGGTCGTCGATGCCTACATTACAGAACACTGAGCTGTGGGGTCAGATGAGGCTCCTGGAGTCTTCAATTAACGACAGAGACAGAAGTCCCCAGAGGTCTCTGCCTCAGCCAGTTGTAGGACTCTAAGTGGAAATATCTCAAGGCTTTGGGGTCTCAGGGCAGAGGACCTGGTCCTGGCCCTCCTCTGCACCTGACCATATGGGGCCTCTGCCAAGTCCATTAGCTGCTTGGCTGGAAAATGGGGCAAAGGCCCACTTGTCAGTTACTGGTAAGGGATGGAAGGCCTTGAGTGAGAAATCAACCCGGGGTCACCATAGGCGGGAGCCCCTGCAGACGTGGCCTGGCCCAAGCCCAGCCCAGCCACTGAAATCTGGCCAACCTCCTTACCAACCGGAGGGGAGCAGACGCCCAGTGTGGGATTCGCCTAAGGCTCCACGGTACTGGCAGGTCTGGGATGAGAACCTGATTCTGCCATTTGTGAGTTCAAAACACAGCTGGGCAACCTGGACAGGTTCTTGACTGTCTCTGAGCCTCCCACCTTAGCACCTACAACTGGTCTGAGAGGACAGGGCAGACTTAGAGTAGAACTGCACTCTGGGCCAGCCCCACCCCAAGAGCAGAGGACGGGCAGGACCACCCCTAGGTCAGGACCAGCAGCACCTGCTCAGCTTAGAAGCATGTGACCAGCAGAGGCAGCAGGTGAAGACCAGTGCTGAGGATGAAGAAGCTGCAGGTCATTCTGTTTATTTGGCTAGGCTCAGCCTCCAGGACACGTTGCTCAGCTACAAGCTGGCAGTGAGGGGTGGGGCCCTAGCCCTGGTGGGGTCACTGCTGCAGAGGTCTTGGTTGTTCCTCTGGGAGGGGCAGGTAATTGGGGTCCTCCTCTGGGGCATCCAGTAGCAGCTTCCTGTAGGAGGGGCCCATGCTGAGCTGAGGCCATGGGGTAAAGATCTGTGGGGGAGCATAGAGGGCAGGGTGTCATCCCCAGCACTCACAGGAAGCCAGGGGTCAGAAGCAGCCTCTTGCCTCCAGGCTGGTTGGGGAAGACATCCTCCAGGAAGTAGTAGATGTGGCCCACAGCAATCCCTGTTGGAAAGCCAAGGAGTACCCAGGCCGCTCTCCATGGTCCAGAGCCCAGGGCCAGCAGAACCTGCACAGCCCTGGAGGCCCAGCCAGGTCCACTCCCTCAGGCCTCAGAATATGGGTGCCCAGGATGGGGCCTGAAGGACAGGCTTATAGGGCCCAGAAGTGGGCAGAACCTGAGGAGCTCAGACTCCCACGGGCATCAGCAGGTCAGGCCTAAAGGTAGGAAATCTGTAGCTGGCTGGCTTGTTCAAGGGTTGGAAGAACAGAGGAGGCGGGGGGGCCAGAAGAGGCGGGTGGGGGCAGAGGAATGCTCCAGTGCAGGTGGGAGGGCGGGCTCTGGCAGAGCAGTCAGCCTGGGTGGTCCTCCTGAAGACCCTCAGCTACCAGACAGCCTGTTCGGGGAGGAGGGGTGCACAGGCAGGCTCACCCAGCAGGTCCACGAGGATCGAGTTGCCCAGCAGCAGTGAGAAGCCCATGAGCGCCCAGGGCAGGAATGGCGCCTGGAAGGTGAGGAGGCCGAAGAAGTTGACCCTCACCTGAGGGCTGCGGCGGCTCCACACATACACCAGCATGGCTGTTAGGGCCTGGCCCAGGAAGAACAGGCTGCCCAGGAGCCCCAGCAGCTGCGCCAGAGTCAAGGTGCGGGGAGCCCTCCCCTGGGGTGGGCCTCAGCTCCTGCCCCGGGTGGGACCACTGCTGCAGGGGTCCCGGCTGCTCCCCTGGGGTCCCCCCACCGGCTTCCCTTACCTCATCACCCCTAGGTGCCATGTTCCCATCAAGCGGTGCCTTTCCAGTCAAGGCCCATGTGATCTGCCCTGTCTCTACCTCACCCCAGCCTCCGACCACGGCCTGTCCCTGCCGCCCCCCAGCTGAGCACACGGTGCGCGCTCAGTACATCCTAAGCCGGAGTGAACGACGCTGTCCCTCCCTGGTCTGATGCCGTCTGGTCCCAAGGCCAACACAAGATGGGCACGGAGGCACCACGGCCTGAGGTCTCGGAACTCGGGAAGGATACGATCATAAGGACACCCCCGAAGACAAACATGAAGACGAAGTCGGCGGTGCGGCCACGGAAAGAGCCCTCCTCCAGCATGCGGCAGTAGCGGAACCTGCGGCGTCGGTATAGGAAGTGCCGCCCTGCGGGGTCTCCGTTTCCCCGCGCCCGGCCGCTCGCGGCCGCCTCCGCCCCCAGCCCCGCTCCCCGCCTGGGGCCTTCGGCGCAGGATACACGAAGAGCATGTTGAAGAAGAAGCTGAATCCCAGGGGTCCAAAGAAGAGGAAGTTGGTGACGAGCCTCCAGACCTGCGGGGGCGGGCGGTCAGGCACGGGGTGGGCGGGGGTGGGCGCGGGCCGTCAGGTGCAAGGGCGGGGCGGCCTTACCTGGAACTTCCGGAACACCAGATGCGGGTTGAAGTAGAGCTGAAAGGGGCTGAGAAGCTCCAGCTGCTGCGGAACCAGGGGCGCGTCAGGAGCCGCCCCTAGGATTCCACTGTAACTATGGAAACCCCCCCGGGCTGTAGCCATGGAGGTATCCCCGCCTTCCCCGGGCAGCTCACCACCGCAGCGGTGGTGACGACGCAGGCCGCGGTGTAGGCCCGCGTCACCGCTGGCACCTGCAGGAACTCGGTCGCCAGACCCTGCCACGCCATTGAACCTTATCAGACACGCGTGGCGGCACCTTGCTACGCGCTCTTTAACCCGCCTCCAAGCCCCGCCTCGCTCCTGCCTTCGGCCAATCCGCGCCGGATACGCCAGGCGCCCAGGATTGGGGGAGGGGCCCTGGGCCCGCTAACCAATAGGAAGAGGCTGCGGGATGCCGGGGGCGTGGGCGGGTCGAGACTCGGGGCCAATGAGCAGGCCCCACGGTTGAGCACGTGGCGGTTGTTGTGGTGGCTGTGGTGGCGGCGCGGGAGAACGTGTGGCCAATGAGGAACTTGTCGCTTTGCGGCAAGCTAGTGGGAGGACCCCCAGGGCCACCACGGTGGGGCCGAGATTCCTCAGCTGAGTAAAGATGAGACCGAGAACCAGCGAGACCGGAAGGGGAGGGCTGGCGTGGGGCGTGGTCCGGGCCCGACGGGTGCGAGGGGCGGGCGGGCCACCCCGGACCCTGGACGTCCTGTGTCTTCTGAGAACCGAGGACAGGGCCGCCTAACCCACAGCGAAGGATGCTCCCAGCAGCGTATCTGGACACGGGTTTGCACCACCCCCGCACGTTCAGGGACCCACTGGAGCATGCTGTCTGACGTGGGGAGTCTTCCTTGGGACACGAAGGTGCGATGCCCTTCTGAGCAGTGGGCAGTCTGAAGAGAGCTTCATTATTTTGGTGGAAAAGAGATACTCCATTTATTCATTCATTAAGTTAACCATTTAATCACTGACTATGCCCCAGGTGCTGTTCTGGGTGCAGGAGCTACAGCAGCCAGCAAAGGACGCTGTCCCTTACGGTGGAGCTGGAAGACCAGAACCTGTAGCTCTGTGCTAATGTGAGAGGCAGTGTTCACAGGGCACGGACTGAAATAGCCAAGGCCACAATGGTGGGGGAGGGGGGGTCCGGTGTGAGCCACCATGCTAGATGGGAGGGACCTGGGAAGCCTCTGTGAGGAGGGGATGCTTGATTGGTCCCTGGTGGCTTTGGCTGAGTGGAGCCTGGAGGGCAGGGAGGGTTGGGACGCAGGACAGCTGTAAGAGAGGAGTCAAGGGTGATGCTGAGGCATGAGCCACAGGCTGGATGAGTGCTGGTGGCCTCTATTGAGAGGAATGCTTGGGGGAAAGGAGGGCAGATGGGGAGACCTGTTCTGGCCTTGTTGAGTTTGGGGCATCTGTGTGATGTCCACCTGGCATCTGCGGTGTTGGGGGAGAGGTGGGCAGGCAGGCCAAATGTGGGCATCAGTCATCACCAGACCAATGGTATTTGTAGTCTTGGGCCTGCGTGAGATACGTACAGGGGGCAAGGATAGATGGAGAAGAGAAGAGGCCAGGCCTGGGCAGCTGGACTTCAGCAGTCAAGAGAAGGCACACCCAGCCAGGGAGGCCAGGGGAGGCTGAGTCCGGGTTCTGGGAACTGAGCCGGGAAAGGGCTTCAGGAGCAAGGCAGGGAGAAGCCCACGCAGACGTGGCCTGGGAAGGGATGGTGCAGGGCAGCTATGCCAGGGTGGCTGGTGACCAGGATAATGGGGGGATGTTAGGGAAAGGTAAGTGCTCAGATGGACATGTCTTTACTAACATGGGGAGCTCAGCCTTAGCCTTGGTGTGATAGATGAAGAATGCTTTGGACAGGGTCCTGAGGTCCCGGTGAGAAGACTGGAAAGGAGGAGAAGCAGCCAAGAAAGTTCTCAGATGGATTCCAAGAGAATAGGGGTCGCACAAGGGCTCTAAGAAGCGTCCCCTGGGTTCAAGGAACCCCAGGAGGGGAGAGGAAGCAGAGGCTGGGAGTTTGGAAGGGGGGTGTGCTTTGGGCTCAGGAGTGAGGCGAGGCCATGTTCGAGATGGGCGCAGCAGAGAGATCTCATCGGGGTGGAGGCCTGGCAGCAGGGCCAGATCGAGGGCCTCAGACGCCAGGCCAGGCACCTGCCAGGCATGCAGGAGCCAAAGAGGGAGTGTGTGGGGAGGTCAGGTTTCTTGTCAGCTGAGGAAGGGGAGTATTCTTGCCTTCAGGCACTGAGAAGGCACTGGCTGGCCCCCCACTCAGGGTCAAGCAGGGGCTAGCGGGAGGGGCTGTCATTGTTGACAGGGGTATCTGTCTCCCTTGGGATTGGGTCTGATAAGGTAGGCGCCCGGTTTGGGGGCAGAGGAGCACATTCCTGGGAGGCTGGGAGCCCAGGGTAGGGGCAGCTGGTGGGGCAGGATGCCCAGGGGAGCAGCAGCTGGGTTTTCTGCGGATGCACCCTTCGCAGAGCGGCAGCAGCCTCCAGGGGGAACTGAGGTCCAGTGGCAGGCAAATCAAGGCCTGGAGCAGGCTTCCGTCGCCAGTTCAGGACTCTCCTGCCAGTCTTAGGCCCAGGACAGCCATTTGGAGATGCCAGGGCCACTTCTGTGACCCTGGGCACCTCTAGACAGTTGTGGAGAGAAGCCCTGGGCACCACACATTCCCAGGGGCCCAGAGGCACAGGCTGGTGTGTGCTGGATGTAATGTCTGTTTACCTGACTGTCCTAAGCAGCACGGTGCAGACCTGCTGGCCGGGCTCACTTTCTCTCTCCTGGGCTGAGGACTGTTGCAGAAGGAGGGCCTGTGGTCCCCTGGCAAAATGACGATGGGTTCTACTTCCCAAGCCTCCTCTCAGGCCTTATGACCTCGCCTGCTCCAGAGCAAGGAGCCCTGGGGTCCCAGGTCTAGGATTCCCAGAAGACCCCTAGGTCCGGTCTCCAGGTTCTCCCAGTACTACTGGCAAGACAGCAGCACCCCACCACCACCACCACTGACACATGCCCACCAAGCCTGCCTTTAGCCTCACAGGCCTCACACACTAGGAAAGACCCTCACCAACCCCTAGTGACAATCTAGAAACCTGGGGTCATCCTGCCCCACCTCTCCCTGGCCCCACATGGAGCCTGGTGCTCCCACAGAACTCTCCAGCCCTTTCCCCCTTTTCCAGCGCGCCTCACCGCCACCACCGCCTCTTATTCGGGCCTTAGTGTCTCTCTTCTGGGGATGCCCTGGGTCTCTGGCTCATTCATTCATTAATTTTCCTCCCTTACAACTTACATGTTCTATTAAGAGAGGAAGAGTGTGTGTCCCTTACTCCAGGAAGCCCTCCCTGAAGAGACCAGAGCTCACCTATCTGTTATTAGGACTCCACACACTTAGTTTTTAAGTGTATTTTCATTCCAAAGGCCTTACATGCTGTGGTAAGAAACAGGAAGAATCAGGAGGTGTTTTTGAACTTGTTGGAGGCAGCTGTGCGTTCCTTTCGACAACACATGGTGCCCCCTGCAGCCCTGAGCACCCCTCCGCCGTCTTCTGGGGGCTCCTCAGGAGGGGCTGTGAGCTCAGCACCCACCCCCTTCCGGCACACGGCCCCCTGGCTGCAGTGGGTGGGCCTCCCCCACACCCAGCCAGCCCCTCCCGGGAGCAGCTGTGTCCCCGCTGGCCCTTCCTGTCTGGGTCTTGGGCTATTTTTAGCCCTGAATCTGGAACCCACTCATCAACAGCTGCTCATGGCCCAAGTGCAGGGGCAAAAAGCCATCCAGGTGGCCTGCATCAGGCCCTGGCCTGGCCCTTTGAACCAGTAGCAGAATCTGGACTTCTCAGGAATTAGCGGGTCTCTGAGTAGGATGGGGAGGGAGGAGACAGTGTGGGGCAGAGGAGGATAGTATTAGCCAGGCCTGACAGGGAAGCAGTCTGTGCTAAGGGCCTGAGGTGGCACTGGGGCAGGGGTCAGAGAAGGGAAGGTGGGGCAAGGAGGAGGTGCATGCAGGGTGAGGCAGAGCAGGGTCATGTAGGCTGTGGTCTCTGTCCAGGGGCCGTGGGAAGCCCTGGGGAACTTTTCAGTGTGGTGGTGAGCTTACCATTAGATGGTGGCTCTTTGGCAGAAGAAGGGGACACGAATAGAAGCAGTTGTCTGAGTGGAGGAGGATGTGAGCAGCCTGCAGTGGTGGGCACGTGACAGACAATGGGTCAAGGAGGTGGAAGCCACAGCACTGGCAGAGGGCCAGGTGGGAGGGAGATACCCGGTGTTTGGGGACAGCCTGGGTTTGGGGTGCTGTGGGGACACGGCTGCCTCAGGGAAGCCCTCCCTGACCACCCTGGCCTGGTCCTCCCAGCTCCTTGTCACACTGCAGAAGCACTGGGCCACACTCTCCTTCCCTGGCATCTGCTGTGGTGTCAGCACACACCGGCCTCAGAGACCTGCACACCCGGCTAGCTCTGCAGCCTCAGGGTGGCCGTGGGCCCTGGCCATTCCCCGCCCCTACCACGGGCCTCAGTGCCCCTGTCTGTGGGCTGGTGGGGAGAGTCCACCTGTAGAGCCTTGTGCAGCTCAAAGGTTATATTCTGTCCTAGTGTGCAGGCGTCAGAGATTCTGGGCAGGTGCCCCCTCCTGTGACAGTCGTGGCTGGCCTCCCTCTCCAAGGCCAGTCTCTCTGCCATGCATGAGTGAGAGCACACTAGGGACCCTGTGTCCCAGGCCGGTGTCCTGGCCACGGGCTCCTGGCCCGGGGCTCTCCCACGCCTGTGGTCGGGCCTCTCCAGGCCAGCAGGAGCACTGCCTCAGCCGCGGGGTGGGAGGGGATGGTGACGCAGACCCCACCCAACGCAGGGAGGGGACAGTGACAGGCTGTCTGAGGAGCAGCCGCTAGGTATTTTTAGAACAGCCAACCACAAGGACATTCTTCTAATTAAGATGGTTTCAAAATCTATCCGCAATCAACCCCATTGTTCAGTCCTCAAATATCAAAGGGTAGCCATGTGGGGCAGCCTGGTGTAGGATTATCTTTTCTTTCTTCATTCTTTCTTTTATTTGCACCAGTAAGTTGGAAATGAGACCCAGAAAAGGAATGAATGCCAGCTCTGAGGAGGCAAAGCAGGACTTGGGGCAGAGTCTACAGGAGCCGTCCCAGAGCTTTACCCTCTGCACCGCTACCCTAACTGGGGTTCCCGTCTAGGCTGCAGCCCCCATGTTCACTCGGTCTAAGGAGTCTGGGACCAGCGTGGGGATCAAGAGAAAGCCAGGTGCCTGTCCTCAGGATTCCCAGCGCAGGGAGGGCCAACACACATAGGGGCCTGAGGACGCGGGACCTGAAACGGGCAGGTCTATTGCTACCCCTCATTTTACAGGCAAGCAAATGGAGGCTTGGAGAAAGGAGATTATCTGTTAGAACTTCGGGAGCTCTGTTGGGGTTGCCTGCTGCCAGGCCTGTGGCTGGCCTGCTGGGCTTGGTGGGGGCTCACTGCCCACCGTGGCAGCCTCTTGTCCAAGGCCAGCAGGCCTTCTGACCTCTGCCCCCATGCCCTTTCAGGAGGTTCCTGGTGTGGGGCAGAGATAGTAGACTGGGAGGAACAGGGAAGACAGAGAAAGGAGGGGCCTAGGAGAGCCTCTGAGCAGCCTTGAACCAGTGGAGCTGCAGGCTGCTCCCTTGCTGGGGCTCTTCCTCAAAACCTGACAGGTGAGGACACCGAGGCGGGGGCGGAGAGGCTGGCTGAGAGCTGCCCAGCCCACTGGTGGTCAGGTGCTAGGTACCCCAGTCCTCAGAAGGGGTCCATCTACCACTCCCAATGATGGATGGGAGGGGCAGGGGGCCTTGGGGTGCATCATGAGCCCTGCTCCAGGGGAAAGGCACCTGTCCAGAGCAGAGAGCTGGGCACAGAGCAGGCCGAAGAATGGTGGGGCTGGTTGCTAAACCTCCCAGCTGCCGCCCAAGGCCCTGGCCACCTGGTCCTGCGGGCTGGAGGCGCAGGATGGAGGAAGTGAAATCACCCTGGGGCGGGAGGGGTAGGGAGACGCCCAGGGGCTGTGGGGGCAACTTCCCCCATGAAGTGCCGGTGCACCTGGAGTGGCACTCCGGCGGGCCCTTTGCGTCCTTGCCACTGCGGAGCCCTCGGACGCAGGCGCGCGCCTCGGTGCCGGCTCCTGCAGAGTTGGGCTTTGTCGCCCCCTAGCGGCCGCAGCTGGTCTCGGCCATGTCGGGCAAATCCTGGGAAACCGGCGGGGCCAGGGTCAGGAAGCCGAAACCGTGGGTCGCGCTGCTCGCGCCAGCCCGGGTCCTCAGGCCCGGGTAACGGGAAGAGGCACATTTCGGGCCGTCCCCGGGTCGGAGAGGCGGCTCCTGCGGGGGTAAGGGGCAGCAGAGCTGGCCTGCTCGAGGCTGGCGCGGACCTTGTGCCGGCGTCTTTCATTTTTGCTCTTCCCTGCTTCCTGCTGAGTGCCAGGGGCAGATCCCCGCCAGCTCTGGGCCTGTTTCCCCATCTGCGGAGTGAGGTCCCAGCGTTTGGGGAGGAGAGTAGGGCCTGCGCTCCCACGGCGAGTGAGGGGATCACCACCCATGACCGGGTCCTGGCCGCGCTGTCGCTGACCTGCTGGAGGCTGTGGGCAGGTCACCGCCCCTCCTCCGCTCCCACCTCTGCTTTCTCACGGGGGGAGCCGAGACTAGGTGAGAATCAAAGTCGGGAAAGCCGAGGGCTGGAAGAAGCAGGGGGTGTTCTTTAAACACTCCACAAATTCTCGTGTGGGTTGGAGGCGCAGTTGAGGCCCGGCCGGCAGAGTGGCGGGGGGACTGGGGGTGCTCATTCCCAAAGGATCTGCCGGCTGGGTTTGGAGATCCAAGAAAGATCGGCTCTTTCTTGTAGGGTTGTAGGGTTGTTGCAGGCACGTGCTTGACCTTGTAGTCTCAGGAACTTCTGAAGAGGAAGCTGAAGCCACCCACGTGTCAGCAATCAACACCAGCTGTTGCCACAGATAGGCAAATCCATGACCTTCACATACTCAAGGTGAAACTCCCAGTTAATGTTTTCCCAGGAGGAACCTCAAGCTTCCTGGCTTGGCTTAAGAATAGTAATTAATAGCTGGAGAACAAACGCACGGCGGTGGGGGAGCTAGGTGTCCAGGTGGCATTTCAGGAAGGACCCTCGGGAGGAAGGTAAGCAAGATGGTATTATCACAGTGGTGGTCCTGGGTAGGGTGTAGCCTGGCGGCGTCCTGAATTAAGAATGTTAAACCCAGTTTTGAAGTTGATACTTATCCATGTTTGCCCTCAAGATTTTACTACATATGCATGTATTCCAACCCCACAGCAGACATAATGTGTGATTTTGTTTATTTCTAAATTTAATATAAAGGCTTTATTATGCTCTATGCAATTTTCTACAACTTTATTCATGCAACATTGAATCACATACAGTTGCTACTGTTCCCCTGTTCATTGCGTTTCACTGATGAGTGGCATTCTAGTGCACACCAGTTATTTCTCCGTGTTCCTGATGATTGACATTTGGGTTGTTATAGGTTTCTGATACTACAAACAATGCTGTATTTGTAAACAGAAGTTCTTGAGCATGGGATTAGAGTTTCTCTAAGGCAAACTCAGGAGTGGAGCTTTGGGAATTGGTGGGTCACCAGTATTTGCAATGTACTAGGTATGATCAAATTGCTCTCTGGAGTCGATGTACCAATTTACCTTTTCATCAACAGTATGTGAGAGATCCAACTGATCTACCACCTTAGTATTGGCAGAAGATGCCAGTCTGTTGAGTGTGAAACAAGATGTTCTTGTGGATTTAATTTGCATTTCCTGATTGCTAATACAGGACAACTATTTTTTTTTGGCCACTTCAGTTTCCTCTTCAGTAAATTCCCTGTTCATAGCTTCTGCACATTTTCTCTTTTTTATTGTTATGTAGGATCTCTTTATTCTGAGTACTAATACTTTGCTGGTCATAGGCTTACAGGCACTTTCTCCTAGTCAGTAGCTTTTAGTTTCACCTTTTTATGGTGTCTTAATGCGAATTTTTTATTTAATGATGTAAACCCTCGTAAGAAACCTATATGGTTTATCCTTATTATCCTGAGGTTATAAAAATATCCTATATTTTCTTTTAAAGTGTATAAAAGTAAAATAGTGATTTTTGCATTAGGCTTGGATGCACCTGAAATGATTTTTATGGCTGGAGGGTGAGGTAGAGATCCAATTTCATTTTCCTCCACATAATCAATTGTCCCAGCATAATTTATTGCCCCATTGTTGCCCCAATGATTTTTTTAAAAAAAAAAAAAAAAAAAAAACCATGGCTTTGAAAAAAAAAACCCTGAATAAATTAGTAATGAAATCAACAATGCATTAACAGCAACAATTACTTTATGAGCATGTTGTTTACCCCAAGAATTCAAGGATAATTTACCATTAGAAATTCTATTGATGTAGCTGAGCACATAAACAAAGTAGAAAACCCCTATGATCACCGCAATAATTGCAGAAAAAGCATGCAATTAGCAACTGCATAAAACTAACATTTTATTTTGTATTTTTCCTTAAAATGCATGGTGTTTGTAGAAATGTTTAAAAGTTCAGAGCAGCAAAAATCAAACAAAAACCAGGCATGAGCAATAGAGATGTGACAGTATCCATTCTGGTGTGTGTCCCATCACGGTTTTTGCTCAGATGACTTCTTAAGGTCTGTTTCTGTGACCACAAATAGCATCTTTGACAAGTCTGGTTTTGGCTTGACCTTTATCCAACTCCTGGATTCCATATAGGGCCTGAGAAGCCCAGAGAAATAAAAGATTAATCCAGCCCAGTGGACCCTGGGTTGGCTCTCCTCCCAACGCACCCTGATCACAGGCCGGGACAGGCTCTCTCATAATGGACTCCCTGGCAGCAACCCGAAACCGGTTCTCCTCTCTGCCATTCCAAGTCACCGGCCTTTCCAGGACCGAGAGTGAGAGATGAGAACGGCCCAGAGACTGGTGGGTCTGCCTTTCGGTCCCTAATTCTGACTCTCCTCTGGAGAAAGGGTGGGGACACTTGGATTGGGCGAGGGTGGCGATGTCTGTGCAGAATCTAGGGCTCTGGCCTCAGAGAGTGACCGATGACACTCCCGGGCAGCAGGCAGGGCTCCGCATAGGGGTAAAAGCCCTGGCGGAGGGTTCCAAAGAGGCGGCGGCGCAGATGGTCCGAGGGGAAGCGAGCGAGCGGCAGAAGAGATTCACGCCGGGGCGGCAGCGCGGGGCGGAGCGGGGGAAGGGCGAGGGGCTAGGGCCGGAATTGCAGGCGAACCTGGAGGGAGATCAGAGCCGCCGCCTGGGACTTGCGGGGGCGCAGCAGAGGGTGCGCGGGGGGGGGGCCTCCGACTAGCGCTCCCTTCCGCTTTGCAGAGATGGACCCCATGCTCAGCCGAGTAAGTAGTGAGATTTTCAGCCCAAGCGCTGCGTAACGGAGGGATGGAGAATGAACAGGAGCCGCCATCACGGCTTTGGCCCCAGGGGAACCGCTCGCGGGACCCCAAACGCCCCCACACCCCGTGCGCCTTGCGCGTGCGCCTCGACCGCCTTCCGCGCGCGAGCCTAGCGGTTCCGCTAGCCACTCTGGGCTCGGCCGCGCGCTCTGGCCTCCGGAACGCTTTGCGCGAATCTTTGGCAACCCAGGCTTCCTCAGTACTCACTGCGCTTGCGCATCCCCTGCGCTTCAAGAGTGGTTTGCGCCTCTCAAACTCCCACAGCGCATGCTCCTTCCTGTCGGCCCCTCCCCCCCGCCTGTTTAAAGGACTGCATCTCCCTCCACTCAGTGCGCGTGCGCCTCCCCCGTGTGGGGGCTGGAGCGTCATACCTTCAGAGTGAAACCCGACCGTGCACACCCGTCTTTCCACGAATGCTGCAGGAAAGTGTGCGTGCGTGATGCACTCCTGCGATCTGCAGAGGTCTGAGTTACAAAAACTGCCCGGCACGGGCATTTCAGAGGAGGGATTGCAGACAGACGTGAGCTGCACAGGCGCAGCCACTCGAAGGCTAAACGAAGGCGTCAGGGGTATAATAATATCCTGTGCTTGTTTGTACAGTGGAGTTAGGTGCTTCATTCAGACGAGCACAAGCAGCTGTTTACGCTCAGAGGTGGCCTGGGGGGCAGTGCAGAGTTGTGTGGGGTCACTGTCTGCCGCAACAGTGGACCGACGGTATCCTAGGCTAGCATCCTTCACAATGCCCACGCCGTTCTGGCCCCTGCTACCTCACCCTGTCCTGTGATGTTCCCACCCTTCCCTCTCTCCCCAACCTTCATCTCCTTTATGCCGCCTCTAAGCTCTGTCCTGAGGTCCTGCTTCACAGAGAAATGGGGCAACCAGGAAAGAATGCCCCAACTGCCCACCATCCATCTCTGGGCTGCCCCCCAAACTACACTGATTTCTTTCAGCTGTCCTCATGGTGCATTCTCTCACCTTCAAGTCTTTGTGCAGATACTACCTTTCCAGGGCATATTCCCTGACCACCCTCTCCAAACACTCCCTCTCACCCTTCCTTGCTTCGAGTCTCCTCACACCAGCTGACATTTCACTTGTTTATCTTGTTACTGCCTGTCTTTCCCCACTGGAAGGAAAGTTCTGTGAGACCACGGATTTTGTCTCTTGTTCACTGCTCTCTCCCCAGCCCCAAGGTCACTAAGTTTAATGCCCAGAGTAGCAAGGCAAGAAGTATTTATTCACTGCACAGTCACCATTATAGCCAATGTTAACCTTAAAAGTTATTTTACTAGCAAAAATGGGTTTTGCTATTTGGAAATAGCAGAGAATAGTGTTACCAAGTCCAAGTCATCCCACTTGCCGCATTACATGCTAATAAATAGAAGATAAGTTGTTAGGGCAGAGAAAGTGACTTCATTCTGAAGGCCCGCAGACCAAGAAGATGGTGGACTAATGTCCTAAAGAACCATCCTAACTTAGGGTTGATTTCAAGCTTCCTTTATATTAGGGAAGGGGGAGCAGGATTGGGTTGAGGTCAGGGGGTGACAATGGACTATAGACATCCAGATGTCAGCAAAGGTCTGAGAGTTGTTGTGACACCCCTTGTCCGTGGCTAGTGGACTGCAGCCGTTTTGTGGCTGTGGGTCTGGCCCTGATGTGCCTGTAAGTCCTTGCCAGTACACTTGTCATTTTTGTACATTTTCTTCTGCTCAGAGAGGCAAGTTTCGGGTAAGGGGCTGGTTGCAGCAATCCTAAGTCATGAGCAAAATTCCTTCTGTTGACTAACAAGCCTATATCTAGGGCCGCAGGGCTAAGCAGAAGCTTGTTGTCCCAAAGGTTTAGTCAGCAGAGGAGACAGATAAACTATGAAGGCAGAGATACCCAGCTTTTCCACTCTGTTAATATAGTAATTCAGGACAAGAAAGGTACTGGAAAACCATAGGCAAGTTTGGAGAACCAAGACCAGCTCTTTAATAGAGGAAAGGCCGACTTGGATAGGGCTGTTATAAACAGAAAGTCCATTGGACTAAACTGGGAGGTCCGAGTATCGTGGCTTCTCATTGGCTGGGCTGTTGCTGGGGAAGAGGAAATCCTTCCTCCTGTGGGGCAGTAAGTAGCTAAAGCAGTGAGGACTTGGAAGGCGCGTCGCTCGCAGTTGGGTCTGTGATTGAAGAGGAGTGGTGGCGCCTCAGAGCTTCTCCGACTGACCTCCTGACCCCACTTTGGTGAGGTTTCCCCCTATTAATTTTCACAATACTGTTTAAATGCTTTTCATGACCACGCATGGGACTAGGCTATCCCCACGCGTGATCTCAGGGAATTGAATAAGCCCTGCTGTCTTAGAGACCTGCCATCATTCCCTGCCATGTGCTCTACCTTTCAGGGCGTATTGCCTGACCACCCTTTCCAAACACGCCCTCTCACCCTTCCCTGCTTTCAGTCTCCCCACACCAGCCGACATACTCTATATGTTCCTTGTTTATCTTGTTACTGCCTGTTCTGTGAGGCGACCGTGTCCGTTGCTCCTTCCTGCAGATCTGCTCTCTTAGGGGAACCCAGCCTGCGTGATTTGGTGTGACTCCCGCGCGACCAATTCCAGGCTCTCAGCCGGTTGGTTCCCCCCAGTGGCTCCCAGCTTGGGAGGAGGTTCCTTGGGCTTTACCGGAACTGCGGGCAGCCAGGGTGCCTGTCGTGGACATGCCTATAGACCAGGGGCAAGCTCTTGGGGGGGGAATCCTGCCCTCCAGATCTCCACCTCCGCCTCCCTACCCCAGCACCAAATGGTGAAGGCCCGTCAGTCATTTGTCCAGCTGTCCCGGCCCGCCAGCAGCACAATTCCTGGCTGGGACAGTCACGTGATACTTGACTGACGAGTAAATAGACAGTCCTCAGGTTCTGGGGATTCTTCAGCAGATCTTTAGCCATATATCCTTCTGCTTGAAACTTGTATTTAAGTATTAAAAAAATAAATAAATTTGACTTGTAAGACTTTAGATCTGCAGAACAATTTGCCAGAATAAGAAAGGCAGTATGATTTACTGAGAAGACATCAACAATTTGATTTTTGTGTAGTCACCTACTTTGTGAATATCTAAGAAAATATCTGAAGGAACTAGTTTACTGTTATGCCTTTGGGGCAGTGAACTTTCAGCATATTTTAAATTTTCAAAAATTTTAATGAGCATGTTATTTTGTAATGACAAATTATAGGAGGAAAAATAGAAATAAGATTGAGAATCCCTTAAGAAAAACCTAGTGGGCTGGGATATCCAACATGGAGTCCTCGTGGCCGGGTGCTTTGGTAGTTCTCGCTCCCAAAGGGTGTCGCATTAGGATACAAAGCTGTCCTTCATTGTATCAAGTGGGTGTGGTACCACGTGCACTCTGGCTGTCCCCCAGCCTGGAGGTAGGCATCTCCTCCAGATCCAGCAAGGAAATGACTCAGAGAACAAGGGAGTGGAGGCAGAGCTGGCACTGGGGCCCAGCCCTGCCAGCAGTGCAGTGGCTGCTCTTGGCTGCCCCATACACCCCTCAATCCCTCACCCATGAAGGTCCATGTGGCCCCTTCTGTCAGCCTCATTGCACAACAGGCTGGAAGGCAAGAGGAAGCCCAGCCGCTCTGTTAGGAAATGTTTCTTTGGGGTGACTCACTGGGGCTCAGGGGCTCCTGTCCTGCCAAGGGCGGAGCTTCACTACCCTGGGTCCCTGCTCAGAGCATTGTCTTTCCGAGCCGCAGCAGCCATGCCCATGGACAGTGGGGCAAGGAAGGCCGGGAGCTGCTGTTCATCTCGGGAAAATGCTGGTGCGGGGTGGGGTAATGGGTGAGGCAGGTCCTGGACTTAAAGCAGAAGGCTGGAGTTCTTTGCTAACTGCCTCAGTTTCCTCATCTGCAAAATGGAGACAGCATTGCGTGGTTCAAACAAACTGCAATGCTATGATTGGTACCTTCTAGCCCTGGGAGGGAGGTGGAGGCCTCTATTGGTCACTGTGCACCCTCCCCTTTCTCCCCAGATTCAGGGCAGAGTCCTGCTCCTAACCATCTGTGCAGCTGGCATTGGTGGGACTTTTCAGTTTGGCTACAACCTCACCATCATCAATGCCCCAACCTTGGTATGTACCTTCCATGCCCACCATCACCAACCCACTGGGTCCCGGACAAGGGGTAATAACCGTTCATTTGGGCCTTCAGGCCAACATCCACTTGGTGGCGCTTTCTCCTAGGTGGCCACCTCCATGGGGATGTCCCACAGGCTTTGCAGGTTCTAACCCAGCTCTGCATCCTCCCTGGTACCTGCATGTCTTCCTGAGTCCCCTATGTCAGCAGAGGATTCCACTCTGCACCCAAAGACTAGGAGTCAGCCTTAATCTGCCTCTCAGATACCAAGTGATTCCCAAGTACCTCTAGTGTGCAGCCATTTCTCCCCGTGTCTCTCCTGCCTGGATTGCTGGCCTAGCCTCCTCATGGCCTCCCAAGCTGGATCACGCCACTCCCTGCCCAGAAACATTCTGTGAATAAGAACAGGCTTATCCACCTGAAGTTCAAGGCCTCCTGGGATCAGAACCTCTCCACCTGTCTCCCATCTTCATTCTCATCCATCATAACCCCTGCTACCAAAGTGGGTTAACTGCAGCTCCACAAATGCACACAGCCCTTTCTTTAAGCCTCCTTTGGCTGGGAGGCCCTCTCCGCCCTATTGCACAAGCCCCTCAAGGACCCCCCCAACCACCAGCACCCTCCTGAGGTCTTCCTTCAACAGTGCCCCAGTTGGAAGTCACCCTTCCACCCCAGCCCTGGCGCAGGGCAGCTGTCACCAGTCGGGGTGTGTGCTGGTCATTTGGGGCCCCCCATCCTCCTGCTAGTTTGCCCTCAGTGCCTGAGACCCCGGCACTTGATGCTGGCCTGGCCGGGCCTGTTCAGTAGTGCCTGTGCCTGTGGGGAAGATGAATCTTTTAGCCCCAGCGGTAGATGCCCGCCTCTAACTTGCTTAAGAAGGGTAAGTCCTGTCACATAGCTGGTTACGATGTGGGGCTGCGCACCGTGTGGGGGGAAAGGCTGCAGGAACCAGGCCCCAGGACAGAACTGGGGCTCTCCCAACCCTGCTGGGCCTCATCTTCCACCATTGGTGGCGCCGTAGACTGGGGAGAATCTGATTGGCTGGTTTGAGTCACATGCCCGATCTAGGCCGATCACATGATCAGGAGAGTGGAGCACATCCATGTGTCAGGTCTGGGTCAGGTGGCCATGTACGTGGAGGGGACTGTAGTTGACAGTGGGAGAGAACGTCCCCCAAGGACATTGTGTTAGCGTTTAGCAGGAGAGAGGGACACGAACCTATTCTGGGCAGAAGCAGTTACAGCAGCCCAGCCCCTTGAGGATGAAATAAAGGGTTTAGAAAGGAGGGCGGCAGGTGCCCTCAGGCCTTGTTGCCCATGGGCCATCACTGGCCCCTGCAAATGGGACTTTCTTGGCCTCAGAGACTCCCCCTCCCTCCCACTGCCCTGTTTGGTCACTTCTGAGGAGTCCCAGCCTAGGGCAGGGGAGGCTGGCCCTGGTCCCAGCAGCGCTGGACAGGTCTTTCCCCCAGAGGGACCTGGTGGGCACTAGGCTGACAGCCATTACCTTGAATTGGCCTGGGCAGGGGAGAGCCAGCCCTACACTTAAACCCGCCGTCCCCCTCACCTCCACCCGCATGACCTGTGGGGAGACCAGCCAGAGACTGACGTTTCCTCTCTAACCAGGGAAAGGGTGTCAGGGCTTCCCCAAGAGCAGTGATTCTGGACCACATGGCTTCTGTTCACTTACCTGGAGCAGCAGCTCTGGGGCTGGGCTCCAGGGTTTCCTGACTGCCTGGCTGCAGCCTTGACCTGTGGCTGAAGCCGTGGAAAAGTAATTTCACTTCCCTGGGCCTAATTCCCAGTCTTAACAATGGATGGAGTGTGCAATGTGCACCTAACAGAGCACTTACAGTCGGGGTCCCAGAGAAATGAGGCACAGTGCGGATCAGTAGTTGTGGATAGCACAAAGGAGGATTCAGGAAGGACTGAGTGGGGCATTGAGAGCCCAAGGGCAGGTACACAATCAGGAAGGGAAGAGCCGTGTGGCCCTGTAGCCAGCCGGAAGTGACCTCCCAGGGAGGGGGCCCCAGGGGCAACACCCCTGCCGCCTCCCTCTGATGGCCTTCCAGTCCTCACCATAGGCCTAGTCCAACTGGAAGCCAGTCACCAAGAGGGCCCACTGATGTGAGCCATGCAGGTGGCTTCTTGGGCCAAGCTTGGGGGCGCAGGTGACAGTGAACTTGGAGGGGCAAACAGGGGCTGTTCAACACGGGGCCAGGGAGCATTGGCCAGTACAGTGTCTTCCACAGGGTAGGTGCCCAGGTGAGTTTGTTCCTGCCCCACGGAGGGCAGACCTGGTGTCTACTGTGCAGAACCAGAGCCCCATGGGGAGAAGGTCTGACTTGTGGAGCCCCCAGCTGGGACGCTGAGTGGTATCTCTGTCCACAGCACATTCAGGAATTCATCAATGCGACGTGGCAGGCGCGTACTGGCCAGCCGCTGCCTGCCCACCTGGTCCTGCTTGTGTGGGCTCTCATCGTGTCCCTGTACCCCGTGGGGGGCCTCTTGGGAGCACTGCTTGCGGGGCCCCTGGCCATCGTACTGGGAAGGTAAGTGCTCTCTGTGTGCCCCTGAATGCCCTTTCATGAGGGGCGTCCCAGTCTGCGGGCTGAGGAACGTGGAAGAAGGAAGATGTCCTGGAGGCCCAGGCCCAGATCAGCCTCAGCCAGCCCCTTCCTCTGCCTGGAGTTCCACCGAGAGAGTCACATTCCCAGAGGATCTGGAAGAGGCAAGAGGCCTGTGCTCAGAGGGAGGGAGGCCCGCCGGTTTCTAGTTCTGCATCGGCCAGCAACTGCTCTGTGACCGTGAACAAGTGTTTTCTTTTTGGGCCTCATTTCCCCCTTTATATCCAACTGTGGCAATTCTTGGGTGGCAGACGAGAGAGCCTCTGGTGGGCTTAACTGAAAATCATAATAACTGCAAGGATACTGGAGCAGCTCATAGAACGAAAGGACGCACTCAAAGGCCAGGCCTTGAGCAGGATAGGATGCAACGTGCATTGAGGGTCTCAACAGCCAGAGCTTTGAACCTTTCTCCTGGGGAGGCTGCCTTCAGTGCAGCAGCTCCAGCCACTGAAGTGGAGCAAAATGCATTTACCAGATAAATATCCACAGTCAAAGTACTTTATTGATCAATAGCAGTGAGGAAGCCACATATGGTATGTTAGTTACATTTGGAGTTCCTGCTGGGTCAGATTTGTTATAATCTGTCATTCTCCATTCTCTAGATACAGGAGTTCTAAGCTTTCGCTCATATTCTGCCCCCGACGTGCTGTTGGCTTTTAGCAGAGTGCTGACCTCCTCTGGGCTCCAGTTTCCCTTTCAGTACAGTGAGAGCTTCGAAGGGACCTGCATGACAGCCCAGGTATCGGGAGCCCAGAGCTAGGGCTTCGTCACGGTGCAGGAGCAGCTGATATTTCCAGTGTCCCCTTCCTGGTTTACCGTTTGTCTGGTTGAACTAGACATGGGCCACCCAGCCGTCCTGAAGATTCTGAGAAGTGACATGGAGGGAAATGTGACGGGACTGTACTTGGCTTTCCACGTGTCCTTCCTTTACTCCGAAAGTCCCTGTTTTTCCTCCCTAGGGTTTTATTGAGTCCAAGACACTAGATATCAGGCCCTTTGTTTTACAAAGGAGTTTGAGGACAGCAATGCTTTCTCTGATGGTATAAAGCCATAAAAAATGAGTTTCGTCATTTCAAGGCAGAAAAGAGAGTAATTTAGGGTATTTGAGGAAGGGGAGTGGGCTTATGACCCTCTAGACATACCACGAGTGATTCTAGTACAATGGCTCCTGGGCATTTCATGTACTTTAGACTCCTTGACACAGTTCACAAACATGCACGCACAGGTCTGATCAGGGCTGGCTGGACTTGCAAAGAGGGGTCCCCAGAGCTAAGACCCCCTGGACTGGACCTGAGCATCTCTTGTTGTGCTCCGTGCTCCCCAAGGAAGAAGTCCCTCCTGGTGAATAACATCTTTGTGGTGGCGGCTGCAGTCCTGTTCGGCTTCAGCTGCAGAGCAGGCTCCTTCGAGATGATCATGCTGGGAAGGCTGCTCATGGGGGTCACTGCAGGTATGGCAGGAGGGCCTCACCCTGGCTCTCTGTTCCTGATCATTCATTTATTCCCTTCATTCATTCATTTATTCTCTTTAGTCATGTTTTTCATTCATGCCCACCTTTTTTTGCAAAATGATTAAATATGGTTTACCTTTAAAGGCTCATATAACTAGACACTTAACGTAGATACAGGAAAATGAAAAAATTGTATGGGGTGGAAGTACAAACATCCCCAAACCGACATTAACAGAGGTCCTGTGTTTGAGCAGTACTCTAAGCCACGAGTCCCCTTGCAGCCAAAGTGTGAAGGCATCAAGGGTGAGTTCTCTGCTGTTCCCTGTGGAGGCAGAGTTGCCTGTTAAGGACGCCTCAGTTTCTGGGGCTGGTCGTGAGAGGAACCAGAACTTTGAGTGCATCCACCTGAGCTTTTAGGGGCTCCTATCAACAAATCCCTTGACTCCCTACTGTTTATAGAGCCAGGTGTCAGTGTCTATATTATCTATTTCTGTGAAACAAAGTGCTCCAAAACTTAGTGGCTGTGCACGCTTCCAGGTGTGAGCATGAGTGTCCAGCCCATGTACCTGGGGGAGAGCGCCCCCAAGGAGCTCCGAGGAGCTGTGGCCATGACCTCAGCTGTCTTCACCGCCCTGGGGATTGTTATGGGTCAAGTAGTTGGACTCCGGTAAGCACCCCCACCATGTGAACTGAGTGGTTTGAGGAGTATCAGTAAAAGCCCTTCTTGACCTAAATTTCTCCCCTACCCACCAAGTTGATTAAGGCGTTGCTTTTTTTGTGTTAACGTGTTGAAACTGTCTGCATCCATCTGGCCAATAAACCAAATGGGAATCAGTCAGCCACACTTCAGTGGCTTTCCATCCATTCCATATAAGGGGGCAAAAAGCAGGTCTTTACAGAGGAGAGGGTGAAGGTTTGGGCTTTTAAAGGGGGACATGTCCTGGTCATGCCAGAAGAGAGAGGAGTGAGCAGAGCCTGGAGCCCTGGGAAGAAGAGGTGCTGGGGACGAGGTGAGGCCACAACCCTGCCTTATCTTGGGTCCCTACTTGGGTGGAAGGGATCTTGGTGTCCAGACCCAGAGCTGGTTAGGAAGAGGCACAGAGTAATGCAGACATTCTTCAGGTCAGGCAGGCAGGGTGTGGGGGCAGGGGGGCAGGGCTCTGGCAAGGAGGTTTCTGGCATGGTTTCTCCTCTGCCTCCCCAGGGAGCTCCTGGGTAGCCCACAGGACTGGCCCCTGCTCCTGGCCAGCTGCCTGGTGCCTGGGGCACTCCAGCTCACCTCCCTGCCCCTGCTCCCTGAGAGCCCACGTTACCTCTTCATTGACCGTGGAGATGCTGAGGCCTGCCTGGCAGGTGAGTCTCTGACCTCAGGTCCCAAAGCACTCTTGACCAAGGGGCACATCTTCCCAGAGCATGTGGGTCCCCATTTCTTGGGATTCCTTTATCAGGGAAAAGCTGTCCCTCTCTTTGTGCCATCCATCCACCCCTTCAAAAGTGCCTCCCACATGCCAAGGCAGCAGGTAGAGCAAACCCAGCTCCTGCTGTCCAGGAAACCCAGGTGGTGCAGAGAAAGAGCTCCCCTCCCCCAGTACATGTGAGATGAAACACCACGTAAGGCCTAGTGGCCCAGGGCCAACTGGGTGCTGGGACTATGGCCTTATCCACTATCTATGGCCACAGTGATGATGGTCAGAGAACAATCCCCAAACAACCATTTACTGCATCTTCTCATTTATTCACTGGGCTAGCTGCATGACGTGCTGATCTCGGCTGGGCTGGCTCTGGTGTTGGGCGTCAGCTAGGGATTGGCCAGTCCAGGTTGTCTGGACTGGAGCGTTTTAGCTCTGCTGTGAAGGCCTCTCCTCTCACTCATGGTACCAACAGGCAAGCTTAGGAATGCTCATATTGTGTTGATGGTGGAGGCACAGAAAAGGAAATCCAGTTGCACGAGCACTTTCCAAACCTTTGGTCCCCTCACGTCCACTAACATCCCATTGGCCAAAGAGTCACATCACTGAACCCAAAGTCAAGGGATGGGAAAATTGATGGCATATCTTCTTACAGGTATAAATATAGGGAGGGCTGAAGATTAGGGCCCACCAACGTACTGTTGTCACTTTGCCATTATAACCACAATTATTGTTCACATCCCTCCCCTGTGCAAAACGTGCTTAGTGCCATGCAGGGCTCCCCAGAATCTCATCCAATGATGGTATCAGCCTTGAAGCCCAGGATCTTAAGATCACGTCAAATCTACGTGAGCTTCTCTTGGTCCAGAGACCTCGGAGCTAGAAACACCAGTCCTCTGTTCCTCCTGTGCTGACACACAATGGGGAAGGTGGGACACCGTGACTAGAACTGACCCTCGCCTCAAAGAAGAGAAGGTGGGAAGCAGAAAGCAGCCACTAATCCATAGCAGTGGGAGGTGCCCCCTGGGAAAATGCTGCCAGACTCCCCTGCCTTGGGGCTGGGGGATGTTGCCCAACCAAGCCCTGGTATGCCTCCTGGAAGGAGCTCCCCAGGCCGTGCTTCTGCCCTCCAAGATGTCCTTCCTTTTCCATTGCCTTCCTTGACACCTTCTGCAGCAGGCATTAGAGAATGTACTCGTAGGAAGTTGGGGCTTAGAAGTCTTTACATTCCAAACTGTCTTGGTTTCTTTTCGTCCAAGCTAGCAGAGCTTTTGTCAATACAGTTTTCTCAAAAACTATGTGAATTTTCTATGTATTTGATTTATGTGCCAAAAAGCCACACCCACAATTCTTTTTGAGACATGCTTCTTTCGTAAGACCAAATTACTAGAGTTTTGGGCATGTCAGGCTGCTGTGGACCAACATCCTTCAGCTCTTCAAATGCCCCTTTTTACAGCCATGAGGGTCTGTGAGGTGCTGCGCTAAGCCAGTGGCTCAAGGGCAGTGCTCTGGGTTTAATCTTTGTTTTCAGGTTTTAACTTAATTTGGGACTCTTTTTGCTAACTGGAGAATCTAGAGATGAGAAACAGGTTAATTTTTTGTTTTTGTTTTTTATTAAACCAACCTAGCAAGTTCTGGCATAAGTTAAATTTAATTAAATGTGTTGCCTCTGAAGATCTTTTTTTTAAAATTAAGGTATCATTGATATACACTCTTATGAAGGTTTCACATGAAAAACATTGTGGTCACTACATTCACCCGTATTATCAAGGCCCCCCCATACCCCATTGAACCTTCTTGGAGGCTGTGAGTCTGCTGCTGTTTTGTCCTGAAGGTCTTTGTGAACTCATGTTTTCTTATAGTAAACTTAGAATACTCTGCTAAAAGCAAACCAGTTCGTGGTTTCACCATTCGGCGACCCCTTCATCCTAGCCCGGAAGCCCATCGTGTTTGCCCCCTTCCACGCTGTTTCCTGCGTACACAGGCTTTCCTTTTTCTGCCTCCTCACGGTCCTGTGCCTGGTCTTGGAATCAGTGCCATAGATCGCAGGTCCTAGTTATGGTAGCACCTACCCTGGGTATCAGTTCATTGGTGGGTTTTCTGTTGCTGCCTAACAATAGCAACATCTCAGGTGGCAAATCAGAGAAGCAGTGGCTTCATTCAAGCCTCTGTGAGCTGTCTGGGGTCGGGTGGTGCAGGCTGGGTCTGGCTGCCGGCTCTGTTGCCCTTGGTCACTCGTGCAAGTCAGCTGGGCATTGGTTGATCTAAGAAGGGCCCAGGAGGGTCATCTCTGCTCTTCCTGGGACCAGCGGGCTAGCCCCCACCGTACATTTTTAAGATGGCAGAAGAGCAAGTAGGAATGAGGAAGGTCTCTTAAGGTTTGGGCTGCAACTTGTCCACCCTCCCTACAGCCCAGAGTGAGTCACATGGGCCCCCCCGGGGCTAAGGGGCGGGATGCATACTTGCCCCGTTACTGCAGAATCATGCATGGATGCAGGGAGCCCACCATACGGTTCTGCGGCAATTGTGCCCTGTCTGCTGTATCCACAGAACCCTGAGTTTCTAAAGCGCTTTATGGTCCGTGGTGCTGTGAAATGACCAGCCAGGAAGACGGCCCCATCTGACCAGGGGGGCCCAGAGAGAGAAGGGAGTAGGGCATGGGGCTCCCTGTGGGGGAGCAAAGCGGGGTGGGGAGAGGAGCTCAGCGCCCTCTGCCCGGCCCCGCCCCGCCCCAGCGCTGCAGCGTCTGCGGGGCACGGCGGACGTGGCCGCGGAGCTGGCCGAGCTGCAGGAGGAGCGCGCCGCCTGCCGGGGCCAGCGCGCGCGGCGCCCGTGGGAGCTGTTCCGGGATCCGGCCCTGCGGAGGCAGGTGGCGAGCCTCGTGGTGCTGAGCAGTGCCATGGAGCTGTGCGGGAACGACGCGGTGAGGCCCGTCCCCACCCCCGGGGCCGGGGCCGCGGGCGGCAGGAGCCACGGAGGCTGGAGGGGCTCTGCGCCCGAGCCGTCCGCTGCCGCCCCGTCCAGGTGTACGCCTACGCCTCGTCCGTGCTCCGCGTGGCGGGAGTCCCCGAGGACAAGGTCCCGTACGCCGTCATCGGCACTGGCTGCTGCGAGGTGCTCACCGCGTTGGTCAGCGTGAGTCCGGCCGGGCCCGACTCTCCGCCCGCCCTGGGAGGGGGTGACTCTGAGTTCAGCCATTTCTCCCTCCAGGTCACTCTGTTAAAATGCAGCGAGTTAGCATTCATTGAGCACCTACTGTTTACCAGGCCTTCACACCACCTTTAGAGATGAGAAAACTGAATGACGTTGGGTGACCAAGGTCCTCCGGGAAATTAATAATGTCTTCATCGTGTGAAGCAATAACTGCCTCTGCCCTCCCCCCCACCCCACACCGGCTTCCTCCTGAGGGCCCTGCCCACTGCCGGCCGGTGCCCGGCCGCTCACCGAGGGCTCCTTTCCTCTGCAGTGTGTGGCGATCGAGAGGGTGGGCCGGCGCGCGCTGCTGGTCGGGGGGTACTCCCTGATGACCTGCTGGGGCGGTGTCTTCACAGCGGCCCTGTGCCTGCAGGTAGCCGGGCGGCGGGTGCGAAGGGGGGTGGCCCCAGCAGCCCGTCCCCACCCGCCTCACCAGCCCGCGGCCCTCCGCGCAGAGCTCCTCCCCCTGGGTGCCCTACCTGGCCGTGGCCTGCATCTTTGCCTTCATCCTCAGCTTTGGCATCGGCCCCGGTGAGTGGGCTCCCGCAGCTCTGGGCCCTGCGCTCTGCTGAGGGGGCCTGGAGGCCTGGGGGAAGGATGGGTGGATGTGGTGCAGTGTCGCCTGCGCGCCCCTGCCCACCTGTGCTGAGGGCGCGGGTGGAACGCCTGGAGAAGGGCAGCAGAGGCCCCGTTGCTGGGGGCCAGGGGCGGGAAGTCTGGGCAGGGTGCCCTGGCTGGCAGCCCTAATCCCGCTCCTCCCTTTAGCCGGAGTGACAGGGATCCTGGCCACGGAGCTCTTTGACCAGACGGCCCGGCCTGCTGCCTATATGGTCTTTGGGGCGCTCGTGTGGACCACGCTCTTCCTGGTCGGGCTGGGGTTTCCCTTCTTCACGGTAGGCCCTCCTTCGGGGCGCCCTGCTTCAGGGTCCCAGTCAGCGTGAGAACCCCGTGGGAGGCCCCCTCCCGGGCAGATGGAGGCTGAAGGTGGTGGGGCTTATCCGATCCTACAGACAAGTTGCTCAGCACCACGTGCCCTGGGGCCTTCTGCCAGGCCGAGCCGCACCAGCTCCCGAGGGCCCTTTTCCTTCCTAGGAGGTCTTGTCCCACTTCCTCTATACGCCTTTCCTCGGGGTCTGCCTGTGTGGAGCAGTCTACACTGGCTTCTTCCTCCCTGAGACCAAAGGCAAGACCTTCCTGGAGATCTCTGCGGAGCTGCACAGGCTCAACTTCCCCGGGCAGAGCCAGGGCGGCGTGTGGAGGGGCCCGGAGGCCAGCCGGGGCACGGAGCTCTAGCGCTGCCGGTGCGCTGGTGCCCGGCTGCAGCTGCTGCTCTCCTTCCTGCTCAGGGTCCTGGCCCTCTGCACTCACAGGCCCCTGCATTCGTTGGTTTAATGAGTGCTTTCTGGGCTGGGCACCTTCTGCGTGTAGGCACGGTACCAGGTGCGTAGCCTTCGGGGGTGAGTCAGGGAGAAGGGATCCGGACTCCGTACTCCCCATCCAGAGGCAGTTAACAACTAACAGAAAACCAATAAAAACATAATTACAAACTCCAGGAAACGCAGTGGAGGAAAGTTCAGGCTGTGAAGGTGTGCATATCAGAGGGGCCTGATCTAGTTTGAGAGGAGGGTGGTCAGAAAAGGATTTTCTGAGAATTGATTTCTTAAAAGATACTTTATTGAGGCATAGTTATGTACAGTACAGTATATCCGTATTATATCCTCAGCTTTGGCATCGGCCCCGGTGAGTGGGCTCCCACAGCTCTGGGCCCTGCGCTCTGCTGAGGGGGCCTGGAGGCCTGGGGGAAGGATGGGTGGATGTGGTGCAGTGTCGCCTGCGCGCCCCTGCCCACCTGTGCTGAGGGTGCGGGTGGAACGCCTGTACATTTGATGAGTTTTGACAGCTGTCTATACCCATGAACCCACCACCACAGTCAGGGCGCACCTTCACATCACCCTGAAAGTTCCCTCATGCCCCTTTGCAATCGGCAACCCACTCCACCCCCAGCCCCAGGCCACCACTGACCTGCCTTCTGTCACTATAGGTTAGATTTGCCTCTTTTAGAATGTAATATAATTCCACACCATATATGCACATTTGTGGCTGGCTTTGCTCTAAGGTTTTTGAGATTCATGTATGTTGTTGCACATGTTAGTGTGTATTCCTTTGTATTGCTGAGTAATACTCCACCGTGTGGATATACCACATTTGTTTATCCACTTACCTGCTGTTTCTAATTCTTGACCATCATGAATAAAACTGCTATAAACATTCCTGCATGAGTTGTTGGGTAGACATATGTTTTCATTTCTTTTGGGCAGACGAATTGCTGTTTACTAATACAATGTCTGTTTAACTGTAAAAGAAACTGTTTTCCCAAGTGATTATAGTGTTTTACATTCCTGTTAGCACTGTGTGAGAGGTTCCACATGCTCTGAACTGCCATCAGTCCTCGGAGTCAGCCTTTTTAATGTAGCCATTCTTCTGAGTGTACCAGGGCACTTTGTTGGGGTTTAATTCTGACTAGTAATGTTGAGCATCTTTCATGCGCTCCATATGGCCCTTTATGTATCTTTTATGAAGAATCGCTTCAAATCTTTTGTCCAATATTTTTAAAAAGACTTTTTAGAGCAGTTTTAATTTCACAGCAAATTTGAGAAGAGGAAAATAACAGAGATTTTCCATATGCTCCCTGCCCCCACGCATGCACGGCCTCCCCTATTGTCAGCATTGCCTGCCAAGTGGTACGTGTATTATAATCCATGAACCTGCAATGACCCATCATAATCACCTAAAGACGAGGATCTGCGTTAAGGTTCACTACTGATGTATGTGGATTTGGGCAAACGTGTAAGGACATGTATCCACCATTACAGTATCATACCGAGTGTTTTTACTGCCCTGAAAATCTCTGCTCTGTGTAGTCATCCCTCCCTCCCCCTAACTCCTGGCAACCACTGATTTCTTTACTGTGTCCATCATTTTGCCTTTTCCAGAATGTCATACAGCACGCGGCCTTTTCAGATAGGTAACATGCATTTAAGGTTCCTCCACATCTCTTCATGGCTTACTAGCTCAGTTCTTTTCAGCACTGAATGATACTCCATTGTTCGGATGAACCACAGTTTATTTATCCATCACCCACTGAAGAACATCTTGGGTGCTTCCAAGTTTTGGCAATTGTGAATGAAGCTGCTCTGCACAGCCATGTGCGGGTTATTTTGTGAGCAGGCATTTTCACCTTTGGATACACACCAGAGAGCACGATTGCTGGATCATAGGGTAAAAGCACACTTAGTTTAAGAAACTGCCAAGCTGTCTTCCAAAGCAACTAGCATTTTGTTTTCTTAGTAGCAACGACTGACCCTTCCTGTCGCTCCACATCCTCTCTCACCCTTGGTGTTGCCGGTGTTTTGGATTTTGGCCTTTCTAACAGGCGTGTGGTGGGATCTCACTGTTTTGCCTTTTCCTGATGACAGAAAGTGGAGCATCTTTTCATGGTTATTTGCCATCTGTATAGCTTCTTGGTGAAGCGTCTGTTAAGGTCTGTGGCCCGTTTTAGATCAAGTTGTTTGCTTATTATTGATGTTTAAGAGTTCTTTGTATATTTTGGATAAAAGCCCTTTATCGGAATTGTCTTTTGCAAACGTTTTCTCCCACTCTCTGGTTCATCTTTTCATTCTCTTGACAGTATCTTTCAAAGAGCAGAAGTTTTTAATTTTAAGGAAGTCCCACTTATCAATTCCTCCTTTTATGGATCATGTCTTTGTCATCATAGCTAAAAAGTCATCACGTGGTCGTGGCCATTTAGGTTTTCTCCTAGTGCCCATCATTTTTAATTGGTTACTTTTTTGTTTTAGTTTTAGGCATTCGTTGTACTTTCTGGGTGCCACGACTTTGCTGGATATCTGCATTGCAGATATTTTCTTGCAGTCTGTAGTTTGCCTTTTTTATGTTCTTAGTAGTGTCTAAGAGCAGGATTTTTCATTTTGATAAAGTTCAATTTATCACTTTTATATTTTATGATTCATGCTTTTTATGTCTTAAAATATCTTTGCTATCCCACCATTGCAAAGATTTTCTTCCAAATGTTTGACGGTTTTTGCTTTTACAGTTATGTTGATGATTGATTTTGAGTTAATTTTCATGTATGTGTGAGATAAGGGCTGAGTTTTGTTTTGTTTTGTTTTTTAAAATGCATGTCCAGTCATGCCAGCATCACTTGTTGGAAAGAACATCTTTTGCCCCATGGAATTATGCTGGTGCCTAGGTCAGAAAATCAGTTGACTACTGTTGTGTCATAAGGAGTCTGACCTTTAGTGGGAAGCAACTGCCCAGTAAGTGAGGGGCAGGCAGTGGGTTTTCTGGGGAGAGAGAAATCTAAGTCGGGGTCAGGAGAGAGAACCTTGAGCTGGCTTCCCAAGGACGGACTCACAGGGTTCCTTTTAAAGCTAGAGCCATTCAGAGGCTGGGAACACATGGGAAGGCAGCCCCTGTGTGTCTGGAACTTCGGACAGGCGCCAGCAGTCTGGGAGCCCAGCTTCTCTCTGCCTCTGCTCACCGGCCTCCCCAGCTTACTCTCGGGCTCCAAATGGCCACCCTGGCCGCTATGGGGCTCTAGTGAAGGTTTTTGAGAAAGGATCCGTTGGCAGGTACCCTGTGAAACTCCACAGTGCACAGCCTGTGAGCAGGACAGGCATCGGGTGGCATACAGGTCTGTGACTGCATCAGACACATGTCAGCGCCCTGGTCCCCAGCATGGGCTGCCCGGGCCCAGGCCTGGAGCTAAGTGACATTCACCATCCACCCAGCCAGAACTGTCTCTGCTGAGGTTTGCTTCCCTCTGGGAGTGTGGGATGGGCGTTGCAAGCCCTGTTGCCTGGGAGCCCCTCAGCAGGGCATGGATAAAGGACCTGGACTCTACTGATAGGAGAGCCATGCTGAGAGAAGCCGGGCAGACAGGCCCAGGTGTCATGTGGGTTTAACCTCTGCTGTGCACATATCCGGGTGTGAGCAGGAACCTGCAGCCCATGTAGCTGTGGGAGCACCCCGGGGGCCACCCGGAAGCTGTAACCGAGGGGTCCCAATGGGACAGGTCGGGCTTGCCAGCTACCACCTACGTGTAGGGCTGTGGGTTCCAGTACAGCTTTTGTGTCCTCAAATGTTTCTCAAGTCTCAAGGCCTGAAATCTCCCAGTTTGGGTAAGGGTGTGAGGCCTTACCTACTGAGTGTGAATCGCCCTGTGAGACCCCACCAGGACAGGGGGGACAGCAAAGACTGCATGGAGTGGACGGTGACAATGACAGAAGGATTGGAGGGAGGGTGCCACACACACACACACACTCACATGCACACGCACACACGGCTCTTTGGAGGCTGACCATGAAAGCCTGTCCACGGAGGCCAGGGTGAGGAGGCCTGGAGATGGATGAGTTTCCAGCCAGAGGAAAGCTTCATGGGGGCCACCAGTGTTTCTGAGTGGAGACAGGAAAGCCCTGACCGAGGTGAGGTGCAGGAAGGGAAGCCGGTACCCACTTGGACTCCATGGGGAGGAGAGAGAAGGGCTCTGATATGAGTGGGGGTCCTGAAGCCAGGCTGGGAACTTACCCTGCAATCACGGGGAGCCCGTCCCTCCTACAGTCTCTTCCCCACCACTGATGACCAGTGGCCCACGCTTTGTGCCCAGGTGGCGCATGCGCCTGCCTCCTCGGTGTCTGATGACCAGTGGCCCACGCTTTGTGCCCAGGTGGCGCATGGGCCTGCCTCCTCGGTGTCTGATGACCAGTGGCCCATGCTCTGTGCCCAGGTGGCGCATGCGCCTGCCTCCTCGGTGTCTGATGACCAGTGGCCCATGCTCTGTGCCCAGGTGGCGCATGCGCCTGCCTCCTTGGTGTCCCGGGTGAGGATCTCCGAGGGGATCTGTACACTCAGCGGTCGCTGTGAGCTGCTCGTGGCTTTTCTCGGCTCTCCTCGGGGTGAGTACGAGCCGGCTGCACTGTCGTCTCCTGTGCTGCTGCTGGAGCAGGCTCATGCCCTGCAGACTCCTGAGCAGCCTGGCCTGGGCTTTGGTGGGCTTCCGGGAAGAGGGGGGCTGGTGGAGACCAGGTGTGGCAACCAGAGAAGGCAGGCCCGGTCGCCCACCCTGCCTGGCGATGAGCCCATCTCCTGAATGCATGCTTCCAGTGCAGTAAGATCAGGCAGCATAGACTGAGCACCTGCTGTGTGCCAGAAACTTTATACTTGTCCTTGTATCTCGTTTAATCTTCACAGAAGTCTGTGGGATGGAATTTCCCTCCCCATTTTGAAACCAAGGCTCAGGTAATTTAAGTGACTCAATCTAGATCTCCCTCCTGGCAGTGAACCAGGTCTAAGGGTCCCATGGGGAGAGCTGCCACCCCTGGCTCCTCTCCGTGTGTTTTTCCAGCTCATGGTTGTCTGACAGCTGCTGCACATCCAGGGATCATGTCCAAGTTCAAGGCAGGGTAGGACGAAGGGGGTTGGGTGGCACCTCAATCAGCAGAGCAGCTGCTTCCCTAGAAACCCTGTACATTGCTGGAGCCTCAGGCGGCTGCAGCGTTGCCAGGGGCCCTGGGGCAGCGACTAATCAAACAGAACTGAGATCCTGCCAGTGAGGAGCAAGGGGGAGGGGACTTCAGGCAGGTCAGCCGCCACCCCTGCCCACACCTGTGCATATGTCCTGTTGTTCAGCACAGTTACTGACCCCTACTGATGCCCAGGGTATTATTTTTCTGTTGCTCCTAGAACACATCACCACAAATTTAGCAATTTAAAACAACACTCATTTATTATCTCACAGTTTCTGTGGGTCAGAAGTCCAGCATGAAGCGACCGCATGTTCTGCTTAAGGTCTTACATGGCAAAGTCAGGGTGTCTCTAGGTCAACTCGGGAAGAACCCACTTCCAAATTCACTCAGGTTGTTGGCAGAATTCAGTTCCTTGCGGCTGTATGACTCAAGCTCCCGGCCCCCTTCATCGTCAGAGCCAGGAATGGGCACATCGAGTCTTGGCCTCGAGTCTGACTTCCCCTCTGCCTCTTCTCTCCGACTCTAGCTGCAGAAAATCCTCTGCTCATAAGGGCTCATGTGACTACATTGGACCCACCCGGATAATGCATGAAATCTCCCTATTTTAAGGCTCATAACCCTAATTACATCTGTGAAGTGCCTTTACCATGTAACGTAACATTTGCAGGTTCCAAGTGTCAGGGCACGGACAGTGCTAGAGGTTCTCGGCCTCCCCCCGAGGTGATGGGTCAGGAGGTGGGCAGACAGCAGTGGCCAAAAGGGGTCCCCGCCATCACAGAGCTGACCACCTAGCAAGGAAACAACTCACATAGAAATATGGTGATGGTCTCAAAGGTGCTGAGCGCATTACAGGCCCTGCCAGAACCTGGAGCTCTAGGGGCTTTCCCAGGGAACTGAGCCCCAGCGAGATGAGGGAAGGTGCCAGCAAACTGCATTTCAGGACCAATGCCTGTGCCAGGAGCCAAGGGCCTGGCACCGAAGGGCAGTGTACAAGACTCAAGAGAGCTGGGGGGGTGGGCAGGGACCAGGTCACACCCAGGGCATTGTACTGCCTCTAGTATCGGGGACTATCACCAATATTTAGGCGACCTGGTCCTCACAGCACCTTTCTGGAAGGTGGACACTACTCTGATCCTCAAATTCCAGGTGGGGAAACTGAGGCTCTGAGAGGTTAGCCAAGTGTCCAAACCAGTAAGAGGTGGGGCCAAATCGCATCACCTCCTCAGATGCCCTTCTAGAAAGATGGCACTGACTGCTACTGGGGAGGGTAAGAATAAATGGCAAAGGCTCTGAGGCTGTCCTGGCCAGGAAGGCTCCCCGCTGCTGAAGTAACAAGCTGAAAATGGCAGTGGCTCACCCACTGGGCAGTATGGGTGTTCCCCCAGTGAGGCTCCGCCTCGTTCCTACTTCCCTGTCTCCGGGAAGGCAAACCAGGGCTGGACCTTGAATCTTCTTCCTGGAGTCACGCTTGTCCCCCGTGTTCTCATTGCAGTGGGCAAGGCCAGTCACATGGCCAGGTCTGCTGCAGGCAGTAGGGAAATAGACTTGTCCCCTGTGGGCAGGCACCCCGGGTGTTACCCCAGGGTCGAGGGCAGGCCAAAGGCAATGCCAGCTTAGCAAGATGGCGGTGGTGTGGGTGGGGAGAAGCGAGGGTAAGGGGGATGGTAGAGGGAGACACCTTTCACTGGCAGACCGGATGTGGGAGGAAGTCATGCCCTTGGATTCGGACACAGATTGCAGGACATACCGAGTCAGATAGCTGGGCTCAGAGGAGCAGCCCCAGGCTGGAGACATGGCCTCGGTGCACAGGTGCGTTGGTCCATCAGTGGTGAGAGAGCCCTGGGCACAGGTGAGACTGTGGGATGGAGGAGCCTGGGGTCCAGGAGGCTAGCTGCTCCCACAGGCATGAGTGTCCTTGCTGAATCACATGGCCATCGTCAAGGCCAGTATGTGCTGTGCCATCTTAACTGGATCGCACCTGCCAGAGACCAGGGACAGGATCTTCCTGGGGAGCTCTGAGGTCTTGGCCAAGTGCAGTGTACCCCCTCAAGCACCTGAGGGAGATCTGTGCCCTACTGCACACCCCGGGGGACTCCTCAGAGTGGGAGCAGTGGTGGCCACTTAACGCAGGCCCTTCTGCCTGGCGATGGCAGGGCCTGCAGCCTCATCCCTGGCCCTCAGCACGGCCAGGGCCCAAATCCAGTGGCTGCCCGTGTGTCATTCCCCGCCATTCATTCAGCCCTTATCACCCACTAGATGCCCCCTGAGCCTACCATCAGTGGAAGAGACAATTCACCCAGGGCTCTCTGGGAGGGCATCCCTAAAGGACCTGGCTAGGGTGGGGCTTTCCTTGTTACAGAAAAACCTGGCCCAGATCGCTGACGGAAGAACCAAGCTGCGCTCGGAGGTCTTGGAGTGTTGAGGTTTTATTTTTACACCCATGGACTCAGAGGGGAGTCATCTCCCAAGGTCTGAGCCCCAAACAAAGGCAAGGGGAGCGATATATATCTTTCTGCTTCTGTATCTGCAGCATTGCTACATGCACAGCAAGCAAGCAAGGGGAGTGAGTGTTGGGAGTGAGTGCCTGGTGGAGTGGGGAGTGAAGGGGAGGGGGAAACAGGAGTTTCTGCTGACTTTGCCAACTGGAGTGAGGAAAAATGCTGTTTGCTGACCTTGACGGCAATATTTTCCTTATCATCCTGTGGAGCTCAGGGAGTGAGGCCAAAGCCGCGGCTGCTGACCGGCTTTGACCTGTGGAGCTCTCTGGGCCCTCTTCTCCTTTCTCCTGCCCTGGGGCTTCTCGGCATCTTCATCCACCTTAAAGAGCAGGGGTGTAGGGAAGGCGCCTGGATGGTAGCTCCAACCCAATGGTGGCAGCTCCCCTCCCACCCATAGCAATGACCAACCTCCTGTGAGAAACACACTCACTGGTCCAAATTCAGTAAGTGAACACGGGGACAGGACAGCGGGCGGAGCGAGGTTTTAAGGACGATCTTACAAGATGGGGTGTCTGGTGGGCAGGCACACCTGGAGAGTTTGGCGCCAGTGATTTATCTCCTAGTGCGCGAGTCCCTCCCCCGGTTCCTCGTTGGCTGAGTACTACAGGGTTCACAGTCTTCCCCGGAGGTCGCCTAAGCCAGTTTTATCTTTCCTTTAAATTTGTCTTAATCTTATTGGTAGGTTTAAAAAAGTCATCCCCCACCCTCAGCCCGAGCAGCTTCCACCATGTGGCCCTTTGTTAATACCTTACTGTTAAAATGTTTATAGACATCCTAGTGGGAATAAATCACATTTAGGTTTTATACTCTTTCCTAACACTCCGCACTGGACACACACACACACACACACACGCGTGCGCGCACACCCAGGACTGTAGCCCTGGGGCACATGTGGCCCCGGAGACTCAGGACACACGAAGGCTCAGTGCGTGTGGTGGAAGGAGCTGAGACTTCACCTACTTGGCCGGCTGTGAGCAAGGGGCCATCTGTCCCATTAACCGCGAATCCCCACCTCCGGGTACACAGACGTCGCTGAGTCAACATGAGTGACGAAATTAAAGGACTAACCAAGAAGCGAGTGTGTGGATAAAATTGTAATATTTCCAGAATATCTCACCTGGCTTTAGTGCATCTGCATCCGCAGGGGTGGAGAGAAGTACGGCTTTAGTACATCTGCATATCAATGGATGTCCCTTAAGGGTGGAGAGCAGTTCATCTCCCTACGATTACCTGGGCGCCGAGGGCGTGTCTGACCCAGAGGGGTGAGGGGGAGTGCTGGGCTGGCTTCTGCTGGAGTAGGAGAGAAGCGGCCCGGACTGCAGTTTGTAAGCAATAAATGGATTTTAAACCTTATTTCTCCCTTAGACTGATTTCGATTTTAGAGGTATTTTGCCCTGGTATTTCCTTTCCCCAGACTTACAGAGGGACACGCAGATTTCTGGCCGCCACCTGGACAATGGCAGCGAGCGGCCAGCGAGCCGAGAGACCACGCTAGACGCGCCTAACTGTCCCGCCACGGGGGCGGGGCCGCCGCCGCGATGACGTCACCAGGCGGGAGGGAGCCGCGGCCTGCAGTGGGCGGGGTCTGCCGCTCGCGGTTACGTCGCAGGAGGCGGGGCAGCCGCCGCCAGTGGGCGGTGCTGGGCCGCGTCACGTAGCTCAGGTTCGTGGGGCGCGGCCGCGCGCGTGTCTGTGAGTTCCGGTGAGATTCCCCGTCGTCCCTCCGCCATCATGCCGATGTTCGTGGTGAACACCAACGTGCCCCGTGCCAGTGTGCCGGACGGGCTGCTTTCCGAGCTCACCCAGCAGCTGGCGCAGGCCACCGGCAAGCCAGCACAGGTTTGCCGGAGGGAACTGTGGGGGGTGGGCGCCGGTCCCAGGCTGCGGGCAAAGGGAGGCGACTCCGGGGTGAGGGTTTGGGCGGGGAAGGGACGCGGGGCGCCCGGGCCGGGCGAGGTCGCTCAGGCCCGCTAACCGCGCCCCTTCCCCTCTCAGTATATCGCAGTGCACGTGGTCCCGGACCAGCTCATGGCCTTCGGCGGTTCTAGCGAGCCGTGCGCGCTCTGCAGCCTGCTCAGCATCGGCAAGATCGGCGGCCCGCAGAACCGCTCCTACAGCAAGTTGCTGTGCGGCCTTCTGGCCGAACGCCTGCGCATCAGCCCGGACAGGTGCTGGGGGCGCGGAGGGCGGGGGGCCCGCGCGGCGCACAGCCGGCGAACCGCAGCCCGCTGAGCCCGGTTTCCATCCCCCGCAGGATCTACATCAACTACTACGACATGAACGCGGCCAACGTGGGCTGGAACGGCTCCACCTTTGCCTGAGGGCCTCACGGCCCAGCAGGGCCTGCACCAACCTGCACCAGGCCGGCAGCCCGCAGTATTCGGCCCGCCCCATCCCCGGGGACCCCCCCCCGCCCCACCTCCGTGTCGGGAAAAATAAATGGTTTGGAGACTAGTTTCCCTCGGGCTTCCCTGGCTGGCGGAGGAGTCGGTGCAGGGCTGGGAAACCAAGGCTGGGAGGGATGCCGACTCAATCTGCCCTTCGGGTACCTTTTGCCTGCTAGCCTTTCCTATACTCCCAGCAGAAGCCCCAGCCTTGGTTGGCATCCTGCCAGGGGCCCCAGACAATCACTCAAATGGGAACCTTCCATTCAAGGTTTGGGGCTTTGCCCTCCCAGGACAGGTTCTTGACGCACCCATTTCCCCACCAGGGCAGGGCCACCACGTGGGCTGGCAGGGAAGAGGGAGGGGGAGGGGTCAGGATCAAAATCTGATTGGCCTGAGGGGTAGGGGCATCAGCTGGGCCTGGACCTTTCAGCCCCACCTTCATCTTCCAGGTAGGCAAAGGGTACCCAAGAAGAGAGCCTTTCCCCCTCACCCCAGGGTCACTCTGCTAGGCTGGTACCCCAGTTTCTTAACCTGGAAAATCCAGATCTGGAACTTTGGGACAGTGCTCGGGTGTGGTTATGAGGGATGGTGCCCAGGAGGTGGAGTTCTTGGTCATACTGCCCTCTCCACACCTAGTTCTGGGCCTGGGCCCTGCTGTCTGCACGCCAGCCCCCACCACAACAGTCACCTGAGAAGCACCAGGCCTGTAGTTCTGGTACCATTAATGTTGTATTGTGTAACAGCTCTGGAAAGCCTTCAACGGGCCAGTCAGCCCACTAAGACAGTAAAGATCTCGGTGTTGATGGCACAGTCAGGAACAAAATCAGTGTCAAGACCAAGTGGGACTGGGGTCTTCTGGACGGGGTTCCTTCTGCCCAAGTGCAAGGGGCTCCTTCCCTGGGGGTGGTGATAGGGCAGTTGGCAATTTCAGGACATACACTTGGGCCATGAGGGCCTTGCCTTCCCTCCTGTCTGTCCTTCGGGCTGGAATACCAACCTGCCTGCCCTGAGAGCCTCTATGGACCCTGGCAGAACTCCTTCCTAGTGAGGCCCAGCTCCTGGCACTGGGAACTCGTGTACCTAGAGCTGTTACAGGTCGTATCTTGGTTAAAGTGAAGGGCCAGCTTGATCCCGTATTGCCTGCTTTGTGGGAGAAGTCAAGTTCGTATCGGCCGCTTGCAGAAAAGGGGCTCCTCTGGCTACATGAACCCCCATTCCTGGGGGCTTGGGAGAGGTGGGGCCCCACCTCTGGACTCCTGCTGGCCCTTTGCTGGAGAGAGTTTTGGTCTAACTCAGCCTCTGTAGGCAAGAATATTGTAGGTGGAGGGCGACTCACAAAGTTCTTTAGAATTTAAGTGGACTTGGGTTTGGAAGCTGAGGGCCTCTAGGGAAAAGGGTGCTGCCTGGGCCAAGCCTGCAGAGCCTGTTCCCTCTGACACTGGGAGTGAGGAGCAGGCCTGTGTATGTGCAGGGGCCTGGGGCCTGGGTGGCCATGAGCCCCTCTGGGATGACTGCCAGCGCCACAGATTCCCTCTGGCATCTGTGCGGCAGGAGGAGTCTCCCGGCCCAGGCATTTGTCCTGATGGCGACGTGAGAGCCACCCAGGCCCCAGAGCTGCCGAGCCCAGTCAGCCGGCAAGTTCCACCTGGACCCACCCCCTCCCTCTCTCCTACCATCACTGCATTCTTGGCAGAGTCTGGCCTCTTGCCAGCTCGCTAATCTCTGCTGCTCGCTCCAGGTCCTGGGGTCACTTGCTGCCCTTAGCCCCCAGTCAGCTCAGTCTGGGCAGCCAGGTTTTGCTTCTAGAAGAGCAGTGGGGGTGGCCAGGGTGACCTGGAGGAGGAGGAAGGGGGACGCCCGAAGGAGTCTGGGAGGGCATGGCCCGTCTTGGCCCTTCTGTCTGCTGCGGGTGTGGGGATGCATCCATCATAGATCTGAGCTCCTGCTGTGTGATGGGGCCCTGGCCACAGCCCCTCAGCTCTCATGCGTCCTCAGCGCCCCAGTTTCCAACTTAGACGTCTGCTCTGCCCCTGGCCCCACAGTGGCCTACTCTTAGTCCTTACCTCTCTGAGCCTGCACAATACATGGTCATGAAAAAGCAGGGATGGGGTTTCCTTGGCAGCTAGTCCGACTCCCTCGTTTCACGGTGGGGACACTGGCCCCGGGTCCTCTGGGTGTGTGGGTGCTGGGCTGGCTGCCTCCCCGGGGGTTGGCCACTTGATCACCCCACTACCCCCAGCTAGGGCTCACCGAGTGGCGGGCATCTCTCCAGCTCAAATTGGGGTCTTGGGGCCAAGGGGGCAGGCTGGCCCCATGCTGAGTTGGGGGTGGCTAGAGGGCCCCTCGGGAGCCAGGAGAGCTGGAGCGTGGCCTGCTGACCCCTGAACCAGGCTTTGGGGCCTGGTGGCCAGCTGGGGCCGGGCATCTGTGAGGCAGTGGCTCCTTGGCGTCTAAGGAAACTCGGAGCATCGGCGGGTCAGGGAGCCTCCATTCTTGGCCCTGCCCACCATCCTCTGAAATCTGGAGTGATAACTGGCCCTGCATGCCAAGGAGAGCAGCGGCTGCCCTCCACTCAATCCTTCTCCTGTCACCCCCAGCCAGCCCCGTTTGCCCCAAAGCATGGGCTCCATTGCCCACCAAACAGGCTGTTCCTTCCTCAGATGCCAGCAGCTGCCCAAGGGCCACAGGGCTGCAGTCAGCTTTCGAAACAACAGCAGAAACTCATTTCCGAATGACCTCAAATTGAGGTGCAGAACATGAAGGTGAGGGCGCAGACCGCTGCCTGCTCTCCGTCAGGGCTCTAGTGCCAGGTCATCTGCCCGTGGGGACCCGGGCCTGCGGGATGATGACTGTCCTCACAGCCACTGTTGGCAAGAGCCAGCTGGCCTCGGCAGCCCTTCACCTCACCTTGGGGTGCTGGCGCTTTTCTGCATGGAATGCTTTGTGTCCCATATGCCTGCTGCTCACAAGCCCCATGCTTCTAGTGTTCTGGGGGCTCTTCCCTGAGGCCCTGGGGCTTTGTTCGGCTGGTGAGCTGTGGTTTCTCTCCCTGTGTTCCCAGCAGCCTGTGCCCAGCTCTGTGATCCCTGGGACCATGATCCCAGGGGCCTCCAGGGCTTGCTTGTCTTCTCTGGAGAGCTTAGCAGTGCAGGCTGTCCCCAGGCCTCCCACCCCCAGAGAGGCCTTCATTGCAGAGACCCCACTGCCCCGGGCCCAGCTTTGCTGTTTCCTACCCACTCCTTGAACCTGATCCCAGTGACACAGGAGTCCGGTGGCCGCTCTGCCTTTCTGGCCCCACTTTCCTTCATCTGTGAAGTGAAGGGCCTCGCCAGATGTCCTTCCTATGCAATCCCTCAGCTGTGGAGCATGATGGTGACATCTCAGCCCCAGGAGCTCGTTAATGCGGGTCGCCAAGGGAGGGGACAGGGTGAGCAAGTAGCTTGAGCCTGTAGCCAGCTCTTGATAAACTGAAACCTCTTCCCAGGCAGGTGGCCAGAGAAACAAGAGGACATGGGCAGGTATCGCCACCTGGAGGAGCCACATAGCCCTACAGGAATGTTCCCTGTGGACCCCAGCCCACTGAGGGGCTCACCAGTCCCGGGAACTGGTGGGTCAGGCCACGGGGCTATCCTGCTGCCTCTAAAGCAGTAGGTAAACGTAGTGCAGGGCCGGCCCTGAGCTTAGGATCCCCGTGTTTCTGGGCTGTTGATGTCTTTCTTGACTCCTTGCCCCACCAGACAACTAAGTGTTGGTCGCCATAGCTGTTTCTGTAAAGCCCGCTTCTGCCAGCCCAGCACCCCCTCCCCAGCTGAGCAGTTGTGAAGCTGGGTCTCAGCCCTGCAGGCCTCCCAGTGAGGATTTCAGAACTAGGGTATGCGGGTTATGGGTGGGTGGGGGGTGAGGGCACAGTGCAAACCCACCAGCCGTTTGTCCAGATTTCCCCTCCTAGTTAAGTGAGCACATCTCACTTCTGTTTGAAACCGACATGAGACAAAAATTGTCAGTTTTCAGAAACTGGCCCTGTCCCTCGCTCTTGGAGCCTCAGCCCCTGTCTGGCTGGGGACAACGGGATCCGGACTCGATAGTCTTCTCATAGGTCTAGGTGCCAAAACATCCAGACAGGGCTCCCCATCCAAAAGCCACCAATGACAAGACTCATCTCCCATGTCCCCCTTTGCTCCTGTCCCCTGCCACCAGGTTCTTGTGGACCTAGTGTTTTTCTCATTTTAATTGGAAATTTATTTACAAGGCTCAATTCAGAGCACTGCAAGGATCCCCAGAGAGAAGCTCCTTTCCTCCACAGGGTCACTCTCAAATCCCTCCAGAGATACTTTATGTATATACAATAAGGCAAGTATGTGATAAATAACATCCCCTCCCTACCAACTTTTCTTTTTTTTCCTTCATGGATGGTAGCGTATTCCACACTAGGTTTGCACTTTGCTTTTGCTTTCCACTTAAAAATCTATCTCAGTACCTAAAGCATCCCCTGCATTCCCTTGTTGGGACTGGCCAGTTCCATATACCCAGGCCAGATCCTGATGGTTTAGGCTGTTTCCAGCCTTCCACCCTTAGCTCGGCCTCACTGAATTCCACACGTGTAAGTGTATCTGTGGGAAAGGTTCCTAAGAGTAGAATTGTTTGGTCAAAGGTGATGCTGTTTTAATATGGGCAGATGTCCCTCTTAGAGGTGGGGGTCTGAGGTCCCCCTGGAGCAAGCTGGGGCTTTTGTCTGTCTGGTGGGGAAAATGCTCTTCTCTCAAGCCCAGAGGTTTCTGTTCGCATTTCTCTTCTGAGATTGAGTGTCTTTTCATACAGTGAAGAGCCACTCCCTTTTCCTGGGAACTAAGTTAAAGCCTCAAGCCCATTTTCCCACTGGACTGTTTGTTTTAAAGCTCTTTATGTATCAGAGAAATTAACCTTTTGCCATGAGTTGCAAATATTTTCGCCCAGTTTGTCATGTGGCTTTTGACTTTGTGGGTAGGCTCTGGAGACACACTTATCAAATTGGTGCCATTTGTGACACTTTTAGGCTTTCCCCACTCCACAGTTACCAAACTATTTCCCGTGGT